ACACGACCATCTTTTACACCTCGCAGGGAAGTCTCACCAGCAATTCCGACCTGCCAAAACAAATAAGCAAACAACACGGTTCAAACTTCAAATCACGAACCTTACGTGACAAACAATGAAGTATCGCAATCTTTTCGTTGCTACAAGTTTGGCACTTGTTACCAATGCTGCTGCCTTTCCAACTCCAAGTACACCAGATTCACCAACATCTGACTCGCCAATATCCGATTCTGCTTCCATCTTTGTGCCAATTCGAACCAAGACAGACACAATTTCTGCTTCTTCTTCACTGCACAAGAGAACTGATTTAACTGATTACTATTCACGAGATCATCCCAAGCATCCTTGTCATGGTATAACTGACGAGTTCAAGTGTGACTTGACTCTCAGTTTGTGGTGAGTTCACTTGCAATGGTTTGTTTTGTGTTTGCCACTTGTTGAAGTCTCTCATTTGCCTAGGTTTTTTGAAGCTCAGAAACAAGGATCTTTGCCTGCTGACAATCGTGTATGGTGGGCTCAGAACAACACCTTCTTGCAAGATGGTGCTGATGTAGGGGTTGATTTAACTGGTGGATTTGCTGATGCCGGCGATTACATCAAATACGGTCTTCCTGGAGCTTACGCAACCATGATGGTGGCCTGGGGAGCAGTTGATTATGCTTTAGGCTATCTCAACGCTGGGCAAGCCAAGTATCTCTTCGACACGATCAAATGGGGAACCGATCACATCATCAAGAGCCATCCTAAACCAGATGTCTTTTATCACCAAGTTGGAATTGGTGATGTTGATGACGACTATTGGGGAAGGCCTCTCGAAGATCGTGAGTGAAAAGTTGGGTTATGCTGAAAGCGGCTTGTTTGTCTTTGACTTTCTGACAAGAAACAATCGCATCGCCTATTAGCATTCCAGGCTCGTACTTCTCTCCGAGTTGATGCTACTCATGCCGGCTCGGATGTGGCAGCGCAAGCGTCGGCTGCTCTTTATTCCGCCGCAATCGTGTTTCAGTCCGTAAATCCCACCTATGCCAAAACCTTGCTTTCGCATGCTCGAAGCCTCTTGACCTTTGCTGATCAGTATCATGGTACATACGATCAGTGGAATGCTGATCCTAGAGCACACTATGGTGAGCGCGAATCACGAGATTTTTCCCATTCAAGACCATTTCTGATCTGATACTTGCAGGTTCAAGCGATTACAACGACGAGCTCGCTCTTGCTTATGCCTGGTCGTATAGAGCTACCGGTAACAAGACCGACTTGGCGTGCGCTGAAACTATATGGGTTGACAATGATCTTGGCGACAATGATGCTGCCCCAGGTTGGGATAACAAGGTATCAAAATCTGAGAAATTATATTAACAAATATAATTTGGTTGAAATGAGACTTTACAATAGGTCCCGTATGTCACTTCGATGCTTGCTGTCCTCACCGGAAAGGACGTTTACCACACTTCAGCCGAGAGATATTTCAATCGAATCGTCACCGCTCCAACGCGAACTGTTTCAAATCCCACAGCGTCAAAGTATGGCATGTCGAAAACTCCCGGTGGTCTTTTGTGGTTCAGGTACGTAGTCTATGTTTCTCGCTAGAATGCTAAGAACAATATTCATGATTTTACTTGAATCAACAGATATGACTCGCCTCCTTCACTCGTCAATGCCATGGCTGCATCTTTCGCAATGGCTTACTACATCGACCACGGTTTCCCAAACACAACCTATGCCGCGTTCAGTGATGGACAACTAAAGTATGCCCTCGGATGCAACCCAAACAACATCAACTACATGGCTGCATCAAATCCAACTTCACCAAGAAACATTCACCATCCATACTCGGAATCCTCGACCGTCGACGATCCAGCTCCAAACAAGTACCCTCTGTATGGTGCCTTAGTTGGTGGACCGAACGTACATGATGTGTACTTTGACAAGCGGTCGAATTGGGCACAAAGCGAGCCGGCCTTGGATTACAATGGTCCTCTTACTGGCTTGTTGGCTAGAAAAGTAGCTCAAGGTGCGAGTTTCAGTTGCTAGAAATTTAATAGTAATAGTAGTCAAGTATTTAATAGTGAGAAGAGTTCTAATAAAAGGAACTAGTTAATAGCATTGCAAAATACGTTTGTTGTATCTTGACCAACGTGTGACTCGCAAGAGTTTGAAAAGGGGCGAAAAGGAGAAAGGCGCCCATCTTGCTGGATCACCATTCAAAACAAACACCAAACGTTTCAGCAAGCCCTGACACTTATAGATTCCATAGAGCTGACGCGGTGAGAGAGGGGCTCCATCGGCTGTACTAAAGGATCTGTAACATTTCCAGCTACTTTCGTTGGGCAATCAAGTCAGGATCAGTCTAGAACGATTCTCAAACCTGGGTGGGAATTTTTCACTGCCAACGATGGGCAACATGCCTTCAATGAGACTCTGGATACAATTCTTTGTAATATTTTGTGCGTCTCATGTACTCGCTGCTCCTACTGGCAACTCGCAACAAGCTCCAAATCCAGTTTCATCAAACAAGTGCGCATTTCATTCTGAATTCATAACTGCAACAAACCAATATCTGATCTCTGTACTGATAATCTTTAATTTAATTTACTAGAATTACTGATACTTACAACCGACAATACGTCTTCCATCCCTGCCACAATGTCACGAATGAATTAGAATGTAACTTGATCATGTCTTTGTGGTTTTATGAAGCGCAGAGGGAGGGAGTGTTGCCATCGGATACTCGAGTCTGGTGGGCTCAGAACAATACATTCTTGACGGATGGGAAGGATGTTGGTCTTGATCTTGTTGGAGGGTAAGTTCGAGAGAATGAAGGAACTTCGGAGCTTTGGTTGTTTTGGAGGGATTTGGGCGATCGGAAAGATGCAGAACGTCTACGTTGTCTTGTTACACTGCAATTCGAAGAGATACATCCTGGACGTCGGGATTCTCATAGAAAATGATCATTTGATCTAACTTTACATTTTCCCTTATTCCTAGTTACAATGACGCAGGCGACTATCCCAAATACGGACTACCTGGCTCTTACGCCATGATGATGCTCGCATGGTCTGGAGTTGATTACGCCCACGGATTCCAGCTCGCAAACCAAACCAGCTGGCTCCTGAAAACTATTCGTTGGGGAACCGATTTCATCATCAAGTGCCATCCTTCTAAAGATGTATTCTACTATCAAACTGGAGTTGGAAATGATGATGATAATTATTGGGGGCCTCCGTTGCAAGATCGTAAGATATTTATGGGTCAATATACGTTATCTTGAACCTGACATTCAGTTCTTCCCATAGCATATCAGCCAAGAAAGTCGTTCTCTCTCAGCCCCAAATTACCTGGTACTGATGTAGCCGCACAAGCATCAGCCGCGTTATCAGCTGCATCAATCGTTTTCGCAGCCGTTGACCCCACATATTCGGCTCTCTTGCGACAACATGCTCGAGACCTACTAGATTTCGCAAATTTGTACCGTGGCAAATACTCTGCCCATCTCCTGGACACAAGACAACACTACGGTTCCTCCTCATACCAAGACGAGCTCGCACTAGGATTTATCTGGTCGTACCGTGCTACTGGAAACAAGACTGACCTCGCTCAAGCTGAATCATTGTACAAGAAACACGGGCTTGGAAATGTACAGCCTGATCCACCGTCTTGGGATTTCAAGAGCCCGTATGTGGTGGTGTTGTTGGCAGCGCTGACAAACCAGGCTGTCTATGTTAATGATGCAAAAGCATACTTTGCCCAAATGATTAATACACCGGTGGTGAAGACGGGAGCGAAGCCTGCCGTGTTTAAGACGCCTGGAGGATTGTTGTGGTTCAAGTAAGCTTCCTATTGTATATTTCTGGACTTGAGAGATGTGACTTACTTTTTTTTTCTCTACCTTTAAAGGTTTGATTCCCCACCATCATTGGTAAACGCTCTCGCAACAAGCTATGCCATGGGCTACTTTACCGACTTTGTGAACTCAACCATCAGCACCACCGCATACACCCAGATCATCGACTCACAAGTCCGCTACGTGCTCGGATGCAACCCAAGAAAAGCAAGCTATGTCGCTGCATCAAACCCTACTTCACCAAGAAACCTCCATCATCCGTACAGCCAAAGCAGCACAAATATTAATTCCAAGACTCCTAATCTGTACCCTCTTTATGGCGCCATCCCCGGAGGCCCATCTGTGACGGACGGGTTCCAAGACAAGAGAAGTAATTTCGATCAGAGTGAACCAGCGTTGGATTATAACGGGCCGTGGGTTGGATTGTTGGCTAGAGCAGTGGGTCAAGGACTTGATTTACAGTGTTTGGCGAGTGTGTCTCAGTAGAAGAAGTGTGTGTTAATGTCTAGAGTTTGTCTCAGTTGGAGTAGTTAGTCGTCGTTGCCCAATAATAGTGCACAGGCACAGAAGTTTTTTTTTCAGTCAACAATTTCATGTAATCGTAAAATATCTTTTACAATGGCTCAAATACATGGATATATAACTCTTATGATCTACAATCTCTCTACGTTTTGACTCTAAAATGTTTCTACGTTTCTGGCCCAAGTTGACAGGCAGGATGACCATCCCAAGCCACCATAATCAGTTCGTTTGCATACGCAGCATACACATGAGCATCCGTAGCTTGCACAGAATACACTGGACTTCTTGCCTACACCAAAAGAGGATCAGCAGAATGACTAGAATAATATCAATGCGATAATATGTACCCTCTTCCCACCAATAAACACACTCCTAGCACCCCTCGTAACTCTATTGCCACTCTCTGGCAAATATCGCATATCAAACAATCTAATAACCCCGTAATGCGACGTCCCAAACACTAGTCGCCTCCCACCTGCATCCACCGAAATACAAAACAAGGCATAATCATCCGCGTCTTCAATTGTTTTAATACACGGATCTGGCGATCGTACGTCCCATAGTTTGGCAGTCCCGTCAAATGAGGCGGAGGCAAACATATGAGACCCTGCGGGTGATAGGCCGAATACGCTGGTTCTGTGACTAAAGAGCTCCTTGTCGAGGCATAGTCCACTTGGCGTGACTGTAAGTAATCGAAGTGGGCTATTGGACGAGTTTGCTTTCCACTGCGTGCTGCCTACTGCTATATAGTTAGTGTGTGGGACTGTCGTGAGGGATGTGAACCGGTCCTTGTGTTCTGGGGTTCTGACTTGTAGGGCGTCGACCTCACTTCCATCGGATGGATTATATACTCGTATTTTTGGGTCCACACCGGTGGTAACTAGTCTATCTCGATGCTGCAGGATGCCTGTAATCCGGTGTTTGCCGGTTTCATGATTCGTGAGGATACTCCAAGCTGGAGTAGCAAACAATACAGCTTCATTCGGCGACTGGTATTTCAGGTCGTATCGTTCTAGCCGTCCTGTCTCGTCACCTGTATAAACAGCGGTCTTGGAGACCGACATGCTCGTCACATCTAGATCGTCTTTATGTATGCTCATTCGGCCACACCATTTACGGTTTCCCTGAGCTACTGAGAGCGAGTATATATCGATTTCTTTGCCGTATGCGACTGCGACGTCGCCAGATGGGTTTAGTGAGATTAAGGGCATAAAGTCTTCGTTACGGTAGAAGGCACGTGCTTGGTGTGATGGTCCTCTGGCTATGAATTTCGTCTAGAAAAACGAGCAGCGTCAGATGTAGATCAATCGACTAAGTTCCTCCGGCAGTTGACCAAATCAGCACTGACCATTTTAGTTGATGACACCGTTCCCGATAGAAACTGACGATCCGATCTGCAAGCAAACTTTAGTTTATCGATAAGAGACGCTTTATCCAGGTGTGGAGATGGCCAATTCCGTATGTCAAAGTGCTGTTTGTGCCAATAATTGGAAAGAGCGTCTTCGAAAACATTGTGGAGAGACCGGCAGGCTAAAGCGACCTTCGAAAGTTCGGGCAGATCACAGAAATTCAGTATCCCGATGATGAGTTCGTGCGGCAGGGTATCTAAAGTTGTTGTCATCGTGTTTAAGTGATGATCGTGGGTTTGAAAAATGTTGGGAAGGCGTGTTAAGGAAGCTCAGCAGAAAGTTTAAGCTGAACGCATTTGAAACAGTGGACACAGTGGGATTAGTACATCTCGCGAGCTTGGGAACGTTTTCGAATGTGTCTGTACAATTAAATTGAAAAAAATTGAGGTTTGCATGAGTTTAATACAATTTGAGGTGTGAAGTAACGACATCAATCTATTATAAACAAAATGCATTAGTTCCAATTGAAGAGCCAGCAGTCTGACTTGCAAGTTCAAAATCACCTTGGAGATGGGAGCTAAGACGAGAAAAGGATGTCAGTGACGAAACTCTTCAGAACGTACATTCCATTGCAGCAATTACCTGGTCCAATAGCTAACACAGTCCTGGATCCAGCTGCTATCTGAGTACGTCCGGCATCTCTCACAACTCTGGCGACCAGATTCTTTGACAATGCAGCGTTCATAATATTCACCAATTCCTTTTCGTCGTCAACCTTGAGACATACTTTTGCTTGGCCTTGCATTTCCCAGCGCCGTAAATACTAGAAAAACGAAACGTGTTGAGTGACTGATGATAAACATGTCGTGTGATCTTACATCTCGACTCGCAACTTGACTAGCCTTGTAGTTTGCAAGGGTAGCATGTCCAACCTGAGCAGCGATTTTGCCTTTTGTCATGTTTAGATCCTTTCTGATAACTAGTACCTGTTGTTGTTCAAAAGTAGGTGTTAATGTTTGATGCATTCGCTCGGATCATACTATTAAACATTACCATCTTCAGACCATCTACACCCTTTTTCGGTTCTTCTTCATCGTCAAAGTCTACTATATCTGCTGGATTCACCGGCTATAAGGCAGAAAATGTTACATTTCGAAATTTCAAGGTCAGTTTCTTTGTAAACGAGATGTATACTTGGTAGCCTCCTCCGTTCTGACGGCCTCTTAAGTTTCCGACTATGAAGCCTATGAGGATGCACACTAGTGCTAGGATGAAGGTCTTGACGTCAAAATTTGTCTCCATTATTGTGTCGATAGTGTATGGCGGCGAGGAGGTGTTTAGCGCGTGTTTAGAAAGGCGTTAACCTGGGGCGTTGAGCAATATAACAAGATATTTTCTTATAATAAACGTGTGGACACGGTTACAATTTAGAAGATTTAGATTTAGGTGGCAACACGTCGATGTTAGAAACAGCCTCGAAATAGTCGAGCGCTTTGGCTGCGACGGTCTGGCCCCATTCTTGCACAAAATGCCTTTGGGATGAAGTAGGTTTATAGGAATCTGGTTAGTATCTGAGTTGACGTTCAAAAGTCAACGTGTTTCTCGTACCCAGCTTCGGGCAAATCAAGAATCGCACAACCAGAGCTAAACAGTGATGCTGTAGCTCTCATCACCATTGATCCAATACACGGATCCTATATGGCGTGTTTTGGTTAGCAATGCCTTATAAATGTCTACGTAAACCGAACTTGTTGCAGACAGCTCGCCATACCTGATGCCCAATGGCTAAAAACACTTTGAGATACGCCGCTTCAGGCGATCCCAACCATTCTCTTGCTCTAAGCCCCTCTGGAGGTCCATTCTTAACCCCCTTTTCGGGCACCAGATTCGGAAACGCTCTCGCACCTGCTTTGTACGTAATATCAGGGAATGGAGCATCGTATGCATCCTTTTCAGCTTGTGACAAGTTAGCGTTCCCGAGTCCTAATGGTGAATGTGGATCTGATAGTATTTCAGATACAATCATGTCGGGTCTGTCGTTGCACCATTGGCGCCAGATGGGGAAGCCTGGACGTATGCGCGCAGCTAATGGGAGGCATGTGTTCATTGCTAGTATCCGATTGAATCTGGTTGGCATGTCCATTGGGATTGTTAAGCCAATTATTCCTCCTAGTTGAAAGAGTGCAAGTTTGTATCAAGACTCGTCGCAAGGCAGTTGCGTTTACGCACCCCAGTCTTGGCAAACTAGAGTAATATTCTTCAAATCCAGCCTCGTGATTAGGCAGAGTATCGAGTCCCTGTGTAGTTCAAACGTGTACTCTGAAGCCTCGAGTGGTTTATCAGATCTTCCAAATCCTAATGATTAACCGATTGTAAACTGTCTCATGGTAAACTGCAACAAAGTAAAAGCATTTACCTATTAGATCAGGCACGATAACACGTCTCCTGACCAGCTTCTTAACACCACCAGTCTTGCGTCGCCCACGACTGGCCAAAAACACTGGAACCATTTTACGGTACAAGTATCCCCAAGTCGGCTGGCCATGTAAGCACAAGTAGATCTCAGTCGATACTTCACTTTCGCTAGCTCCATAAACGAGTTCTCCAGAATTTAGATCAAAGATGGGTGATTGCTCATCAATGTAAGACATTCGCAAGTGACCATATTGGATGTAGTGAGGTTTGTAATTGTAGTCGGGCAAGTTGGTGAATCGTTCTTCTGGAGTTCTGACTGCCTTGAGGGCTGCATTTGGTAGCGAGTACATATTCGTTGTGTTTGTTGTTGAGAGTCACGACCAAGAGTTTTGTTATACCGATCGGCCAATTGTGGACCGTAAAGCGTTCGTGCTGAAGTACGTATAAGCGTGATGGCCTTCTTTTACTGTCCTTTGGTGTGATGCACCATCTATCGTACGAAAGCCAAAATACGTATTACTTGACATTTCTTGACCTCGCTCCAACATTCTGTTAGGCAAGAACACTCTTTACAACGCGTTAAATCTTCATTTTCCACGTCATTTTGTCCTTCATTTGCTGCGAACATGGCTCCTCACAACGTCCAAACTTCATCAAATCCTCACCCCACAAATTTAATCCAAACAATTTCATTAAACAATCACCACATAGCGTATAGCATATAGATAGGATACAGGATGGTAGCCACCAACTCGACCGTGCACGAAGTGACTGTGACAGCACCCGTCAACATCGCCGTCATCAAATACTGGGGCAAGCGAGACACTGCTCTCATCCTCCCAACAAACTCGTCATTGTCCGTCACCCTCAACCAGGACCATCTGCACTCAAAGACCACCGTACGAGCTGATCCCTCCTTCACATCCGATACCCTCTGGCTCAATGGAAAGGGTGAAGACGTTTCGGCTTCCAAACGTCTAAAAAATGTCGTGTTGGAAACCAAGCGACTACGCAAAGAGATGGAGGATCTAGCTGCCAAACAGGGAAAGCCACTACCACCATTGTCTTCGTATGGACTCCACATAGCATCAAACAACAACTTCCCAACTGCTGCTGGTCTGGCTTCATCGGCTTCAGGATTCGCTGCCTTGACGTTTGCCCTGTCGCAACTGTATGAGCTGCTAATGAATGCTAGTGAGGTGTCACGTCTTGCCAGAGTAGGCTCTGGATCTGCATGTCGCTCGCTCTTTGGTGGGTTTGTCGCTTGGGAAATGGGTATAGATGCGACTGGTGTCGACTCGCTGGCCGTCCAGGTCGCTCCTGAAACCCACTGGCCCGATATGGAAGCACTGATATTTGTAGTATCGGATGCCAAGAAGGCTACATCGTCTACCGAAGGAATGCAAACGACCGTCGAAACCAGTGACTTGCTACAACACCGCATCGATAAATGTGTGCCAGAACGTATGCAGGCCATGATCACAGCAATCAAAGCCAAGGACTTTGATAGCTTCGCTGAAATCACCATGAAGGACTCCAACCAATTCCACTCTGTATGTCTCGACACGTACCCACCCATCTTCTACCTCAATGATACCTCCCGTGGTATAATCCATCTCCTCACACAATATAATAGCATGTCTATCGCTGCTGGAAAGGGATACAAATGTGCTTATACATTCGACGCTGGTCCAAACGCTGTCGTATACTTGCCCAAGGGAAACGTCGCTGAGGTACTTGCATTGGTCGAACACTACTTTGCTCCACCTGCTAATGTGGATGTGAATGACTACTATGGTCGTGCATTGGATATAAAGAGACCGGATAGTATCGAGCATGTCACAAAGGGTATTAGGATGGCGAGTTATGAAGCTGGGTCTTTGAAGAGGGTTATTTATACCTCTGTTGGTGATGGTCCTCGTGTACTTGCTGCTGGATATGATGCTGCTATATCTCTCTTGAAAGCTGATGGTCATCCTCTTCATACCGTATAAATAGGAAATAGTATATAGGATGACAGGGGCAGGAGCCAATATTACCAAAAAAACGACGTCACAACAACACTACACCACATATAGAAGCACATCGTATACAAAAACCCAAAAAAATAGTAATCAAACTCATTCTTTATAAAAAACCGTAATTGTATTTTATATCGTATTTTGAATGAGCCAAAAGTAGATTAGATTTACACCATAGCACATCTCGACCACTTGTTTTTATCGACCAGCTTGTGGCGCCGAAGGAGCACGTTTAGCAGGTCCAGCCTTAGCATCAGCCTTTGAAACCTCCACCTTTGGAATCGTGGGGCTTGTCGCAGCATTCGTGGCAACCTTCTTACTCAATCCATACGTAGCAGCTCTCGAACTCGCAACTGTAGCCTCCAGCTCGACATTCAGATACTTTTCAACAACCTTAGCAGCTGGTAAACACTGTCCAAAAGCCTCTAGCAAGAGTGGTTCGCGACCAACAGCAGCAGCCCAGTCAGCTTCGGAGACACGGCCGTCACGGTCTTCGTCAAGGCGTTTGAGGACGAGGTCTACCAGGTCTTTGACACCGTCTTCGTCTTCCTCTGAGCCGCGGACGAGACAGTTGCGGAGCATTTGGAAGGTTTCTTCTTTGGAGATGTAGCGATCGCCGTTTAGGTCGTAGACTCGGAAGCAGACTATGTGGTGGTGTGATGGAGTGATGAGTGTGTAAGGTGTTGGAGCATTCTAGCACAGTAATTTCGGGGGGTTTTTTTGGCTTTTATTCACAAGTAACACTTACATCGTAAACGCTCTTCAAATTTTCCCTTGAGGAAGACAGACATGCCTCGCACATGCTCGTCGAATGAAATGTAGTTGTCGGCGTCACTGTCAAAGCATCGAAACACTATTGCAACAAGTCGTATGAGTCAGTAGACATAAGACACCCTGTCATATCGTTTTCAAGCAACATACCACGATCCATCAACAGGGAATCATCAACACCAAACGTATCAGCCAGCAAATCACGGAAACGGGCACGATCGACACGATCGGTCTTGTCAGGCCCCAGCTCAGCGAAACGGCGCGTGAGGGCTTCTAGCTCGCCTCTTGAGACTGGCGAGTATATGTTGTTAGCTTCTTACTTTGCCAGGCAAGGAGTATGTAAGACTTACAATTGGTGATTTTCAGTAACTCTTCAATTGGGAGACGACTCATGGCTGGCTATAGCTTGTAAAACAATTTAGAAATGTTGGCGTTGAGGTTGTTGGGCCAGGAAGCGTTTGTCCAAAATTCCTCAATCATGTAACCTGGGGGTCGAGTTTTTTGCTGCGTTGAGAGTCTGTTGGTTGCTGGAGTGGGTGGATGACGTGTATGGTGTCAAATGGCACGAGATTCGTGGTCGAGATGCTTCATCGATACGTTGTGTGAGGAGGTGTGAGATATGTTGGTAGATGTGCTTAATGTTGAGGTTTTCACATAGTTCTTTGAAAGTTCCCACGTGAAAAAAGCGTGTTTTCGAGCTATATATGGTAAAATAAAAGCATAGAGCATAGTATAGCTCTTCCTTTCAGTTGTCGCATATGTGAACTTCCCAAGTCTTCCGCACACAGACAGACTTCAAACTGGGAATCAAACATAGAACTTCACATCTATAGTCACTCCCGATCTAAACAACAGGCTTTCTTCCAACTTACTTGCTAGCTTTGGAATTAGTCGGAACGTCTGCAATGGAAAAGCGAAATCAGCCAAAGATCTATCTGAATGGCAAACCGAAAACCGTGTCAACTCCAAGTGGGAAGAGACGCGTATTGAATATCTGAGACGTATCGGATTGACTGGAACAGGGAACAGATTACGCTGTGGTGAAGGTACGTGGTGATCAAAACATTTGCGAGCTTGGTGTGTTGTGGTTTCGTAATGATAGCTAAGGTCAAAAACTCACCCGTTACTACTTTTGGGACGTATAGGAGGATGTGGATCAGTACTGTCATGGTATCCTCGTATGATGCATATCACGCACCGGATCGTGTAAGATCTTGCAGTTCATACTGCCGTTTTTTTTGGTGACACTTGTATACCTATGCTGATGCCTCCTATTATATATCCCGGCACCTATCAGTAAACTCCTGTCTTGCCCCACTAATCTCCGTGGAAGGCCAACGCGTAATCACCGTCAAGGAATCGGAAACGTGTGCGCGGAGGAACATTGTCCTTCTGGAATTGTTAGAAGTTCATATGGATTGCTGAAGCAGCATCCTGATGCGTCCGAGTGTCATATTGATGCTGTTTTTGATGGTATGTGAAGGCTGTGATGTGGGCGTGTCTACTGCAAAACGAACGGAATACGAGTCCTTCAAGGCACGCCCATACATGCCACTCGAAACTGTATCGAGCTTCCGTAGCCTGCCGATAACCGATGAAAAGACCTATAAATCACAAACCTCGTTAGCGTAATGTATTTTGAGAATCAAGAGCAGCCCTTCTGCCTTTAGCAGACTTGTCAAATTTCCACCGAAGATACCTACGAAAATAATAATAAAGTAGCAGTCTCTTACACGAACGTGACTCTTCATCACCAGCAAAACCGGCCTTGACCATGTTTGATCCATTCACGAGGAGGACCTACAATAAGCTGCACGTCAAGTGCGATGAAGAGAGGATCCGATGCAGCACCACGGCACGAACATATTCGGTGTCTTCAACGGTCATGATGGTCAAAAGCTCTGACAATCCAAATTGGAAAACACCGAACCATGACGCAGAAGGGCGATGCAGTCTCAACTCATAAACAACATCCCTCCCAGCAGTGCATTCGAGTACAAGAATCGTGTGGTGGTTCCAGAGCTTCCTGTAAGGAAGAATCCAAATTATTGGCAAGGCAACCAAGGAAGGTTTCAGATTTGCTGGCGATGTCACACGTCAGTTAGAGACAGCATTTTACGTGGTGTAGCAGCGTGCGATTACATCATTCGTTGCATTCGCTGGATCGTTGTAGTCGATTTCGAATTGTAAGGATCCAAACCATTTACGGGCAAAAGCCTGAATTTTCCTCTTACTGCAATTTATTTTTGGATTTCTCTATATCTTTGAAAGATTTCGGTATATATCTCCTACACTGATATCACTAATATTACCCTTCGCAACTATCCAGCAACAGAAATGATAAATGACTACTGTGAAAAAGGATTGTAGTTAGTTCGATGTTCATTTTTGAATCAAGCAATTGACGGGCAGTGTTTACATTTCTATGCTTAGAAGCATTCTAATAGAGGAAGAATGATATCAGTAAACATGTAAAAGCGGTAGAAAATTGAGAATAAGCTGAATAGAATACTCACTTCGGTGGACAATTGATGGACCAGATTCATCATATTCTTGTTTGGAGATCCTAATTGAGAAACACCATAGTTAGCAATCAACGCACAATCTGAGGACTGAAGAGTTTAGCGACGAGTTGAGATGAAACCAAATACATACCACATCTGTTGGAAGGTGGACAACGAAGCCAAGATGGAACCACCGATCCAGACAGAGTACTTTCGTTCTGGGGGAGCAACGATCTTGATCTTCATGGATGAAGGAGCAAGAGCAGTGATTTCTCGTTGCATACGGTCAGCAATGCCAGGGTACCTGTGACGGAGAAAGAAAGATCAGATTGAACTCCTAGATTCGTGACTTCGAACAACGACTCCACCCAGTCACTTCACCCAGTCAAACAACTAATCAAGCAATAGACTCACATGGTGGTACCACCAGACAAGACAATGTTTCCGTACAAGTCCTTACGAATATCAACATCACACTTCATGATAGAGTTGTATGTTGTTTCGTGGATACCAGCAGCTTCCAAACCCAAGAATGAAGGTTGGAAGAGAGCTTCAGGAGCACGGAATCGTTCGTTTCCGATGGTGATGACTTGTCCATCGGGCAATTCGTAGCTCTTTTCCAAAGCAGAGGATTGAGCAGCAGTGGTCATTTCTTGCTCAAAGTCCAAGGCGACGTAACAGAGCTTCTCTTTGATGTCACGAACGATTTCACGTTCGGCAGTGGTGGTGAATGAGTAGCCTCGTTCGGTGAGGATCTTCATCAAGTAGTCGGTCAAGTCACGACCAGCCAAGTCCAGACGGAGGATGGCGTGGGGAAGCTAATGACAAAAAAAAATTGTAAGCAAATAATGTTTGATATACTGAAAGAAACAAGCCAGTGACCTCAAAGTAGACTTACAGCATAACCTTCATAGATTGGTACAGTGTGGGTAACACCATCACCAGAATCCAATACGATACCAGTAGTACGACCAGATGCATACAATGACAATACGGCTTGGATGGCAACGTAGAAGGCTGGGGTGTTGAATGTTTCAAACATGATTTGGGTCATCTTTTCACGGTTAGCCTTTGGGTTGAGTGGGGCTTCAGTCAATAAAACTGGGTGCTCTTCTGGAGCGACACGCAATTCGTTGTAGAAGGTGTGATGCCTAGATAGAGGTACATAAAGATGTAATCAGGAAAAAGAATGTCTTTTTTTTGCAACCATCGCCACGCAGACAGCATTTTCAACTGTGAGAATAACATACCAGATCTTTTCCATGTCGTCCCAGTTGGTAACGATACCGTGTTCAATTGGGTATTTCAAGGTCAGGATACCTCGCTTGGATTGAGCTTCATCACCGACGTACGAGTCCTTTTGGCCCATACCGACCATGATACCTTGGTGACGGGGACGACCGACAATGGATGGGAAGACCTAGTTAGATGATTAAAGACTGATTAGAATGTGTTTTGAGAAATATGCAAATCTCATATGGCTGAGTTGGAAAATTTCCAAAAGTATGAACAATGGAATCAGGATAAGAAAGAATGTTCAACATCACTTACAGCACGGGGTGCGTCATCACCAGCGAAACCGGCCTTGCACATACCGGAACCGTTGTCAATAACGAGCTAGAAAAAACAAACTGGTGTGAGCGCGCGGGTGGCGTTGATGGAGACGAACAGCATCGAGAGGGCAGCGAATCGAGTAGATGGCATCAAGTTTGAGACTTACGGCAGCGACATCTATAAGTGGATGAATGGAATAAACAAGTTAGTGATTGATGTTGTTTACATTGTTGATCTCGTCAAGGGGTGAAGATTGAATATTTTCGAATATCATGAATAATCCGACGATTGCAATAACGAAACAGCAGCAATAGAGGGGAGCAAGCACTTGCCATCGTTCATTTTGAAAGAGTTTTTGTTTGGTTATATATGGGAGAGAGTACTTTGTTGTTGTTTGTGGTGTTGCGAGTTGAGTTGTGAGATACCGTTCTGGTTTTTGTGATTCCAGAAAGGAAGATGATTGGCCAGTGAAATCAACTGAAAAACATCTGGTTGCGCAGTAATGGAAGCGTTTTCTTTCTTTCGGCGAAGCTTCTATGCTCTGATCGGACTCAAACACGTCATATTGTTCCTCTTCTACCTCTTCTGCCCCTCGAATGCACTAACTCTAAACTCTAAACCTTTTGTCGACTTCACCAGGCGGCCTTTTGATTATATCTATTTTACCTGGAATCGATCTGCATTATAATGTTCAAATATATAACATATTTATCATACATCGTAGCTCGCTTCTTCATCATCCCTCCTTTGTCCTCTCTTCTTCACACACCAAAACGACAATTAAGTTATTTATAACATATCAAACAATCTTAACCAAACAGTGGTCCACGAATACGGCGAGCGAGTTGCATGTCCTTTTGCATGAGAGTAACACGCTTGGCGTGCACTGCACACAAGTTCCTAGTAGGTGTGTATTTGATGAGTTGTTGGTTCTTGCATGGTCGGCGGTTCTTGCAACAAGCCGTTGGTCCTCCAAACAAAACGATAAAGGCATGGATCGTTCTTTTTTCAATGATAACAGGCTTGTCTGATCAACAACAAGAACAGAAGAATCTGAGTCAACACTCACGAATCTTCAAACAGGTGAACCATGTATGCTTCAGCAGCTTCCTGCAATGCCATTAGGGCATGTGACTGGAATCGCAGCTCGCCATCGAGAGCGCCACCAGTCACATATTCTTGAGCTATTTCTCTCACCTAAGGTAGTACATAACGCATGTGAATTGGTTAGTAAGGGCCATGACGATGACGATATGGCATGATAAGACAAATGATGCGGTTGCCATATCATCCCCTTCCTGACTGTCGCGACAATGACGACATCAAGGATGACATGGCATTCCTGAGTGATTCGACCATAGTGGATCATTCATAATAAGAAGCTATACACGTATCAGGCTCGATAGCGTACCAGTCTAGCAAAGGGAAGTTTTCGTATAAGCAAGTCAGTAGACTTTTGGTATTGCCGAATTTCCTTGAGCGCGACATCCCCAGGACGATATCTCCGTTTGGTAGTTGATGGTCTTGATCGTGGCTGCGGCCCTTTGATAGAATACGAAGATACACGTTAGAATAGTTTATTTTTGTTGTAACTAATGGTCGTCAGGATCATCATCATCGTCGTCGTGTTTCAACCTGATTTATTACAATCCAACGGCATCCAAACAAAAACAAAACGTGATAGATACTAGTTCAACAACGTACTTGCAGCAGCACCTTTAGTAGGAGTGGCGCTTTTACGTGGCGCCCTTTTAGTTCTTGCCATCTCTTCTCCAGCTCACGCAACGAACAAATCCTCAAAATCGAACAGTTTTGTTGCTGCGTTCACGTGTTTGAACTCTTAGAGATGAATCAAAACGCGTCATTACCTTAATCTGAGCGTGGATACCACTAGATCCTCGCATATTCAAGGTCATATAGTGTCGTAGTGTGAAGATACACCTATTGCTTCTCTTGACTCGCATTTTGATGAAGAAATGTCCATTTTAGCACTAAGAACGACGCATTCGAATCGCTCAAAGAATCCAGAGTACTTACACCTTGCGATTCACCGTGCAACACGTCACAGATCCAGCTCATACATCAATAATCTTGCATTTCTACAAAACATTCGTTCGCATCCAATTCCCAATACATATATCGAGATGGCCAAAAAGAGAAGGAGGGCAGAAGAGCCAGAGGCCGCCGAACAAGAGGACGAGACTGTAAAACCTGTTGCTCATGACTCCAACGACAATGTCGAGCAACAAGCCGATGACAATGTCGAGCATGAAGAGGAACAAGCAGAGCAACCGCCCACTGTAGATCCAAAGGTCGCTGCACGTCTAGAAAGACTAGCCAAGGCAAAGGCTGATATGGCAAGTACATTATAACTTAAAACCGTCACCAACATCGACCACAAACACACATCTGACATTCTTCACTCCCACCTAATAGAAAAAGGCAACCGCAGCAAATAGAGCTGATGCTGCCACCGAAGCATCACGAAAGAAGGGAGGAAACCCGAAAGAATCATTGAAGTTGGAACGGAAACGACAGGAAGCACAAGAATTATTGGATCAGCAGGAAATCGAAGAGAAGGGTGTCGACTATGAACGTGTAAAGAATCTGTCGTATACTGTAGAGGATGCGGAGGCTTGGGAACGAAAGCTGAAGGAGAAAGCAAAGAGACAGGATAATGGATTCACTGGTATGTGAATTTAATGTTACTAATATCTGCTTTCTTCCCCCGTCAACCACTGGACATGTTCTTCGTATTCTTACAACGCCATACTAACTATACCCATTCTCTATAGACTATGCACAAGTAGCAGCCAAAAAATACAATAAACAAATCGCAACAATCTCACCAAATATGGCTCGCTACCATGCCGAAAAGGAAGACGCCAAAGCACGGGCATCTGTACTAGGTGTATCTCAAGAAGAAGCGTTTTATCGAGACGCTAACTCAATGGCGTATGCTGGATCCAGCAAACCATCGCAGGCTGCTGTAGACAAGCTATCCAAGGAAGTGCATGATCAGATTGCTAAACGAGCCAAGTTCTCAAAGAGGAGAGCCTTCCATGAAGATGATGGTATGCTGTGTTGTTTAGTGTATTGTGAAGGGATTGTCACACTGAAGTGGATGCTGAAGTCTAATCTGATTACCTTCTATTTGCAGATGTTACATATATCAATGACCGTAATATGAAGTTCAATCAAAAGATTGCACGATCCTATGACAAGTATACTTCCGATATCAAGGTATGATGCTCGATGTCTTTGCTATCTATCCTTGCTTCTGATCTCATTGTCTAATCTCATCACCTCGCAATAGGCAAACTTTGAAAGAGGAACAGCTCTATAAATACTTTATTGCGTTTGTCTTGTTTTCGTGTATCGCATTGTTTCACACGACCCAAACAGATATAATTTGCATCCTTTGTATTCGAACACTAGGCTTTTTTTTGTCTTTTCTGTGTACGCATGGTTCAAGTTCTTCAACTTTCTTACTAGGATTTCTCGCTACTTGCTCCAACGCACGACTTGGGGGGGGGGGGGGGGGGGTCGTGCACTCGAATCATTCAGACGGTGCATGATATCTAGAAATTGTCATTTACTGTTGGGCAAGACAAGGATACGGGACAAACTTCACGCCCAAACTCTTGGGATTAAAAAATCACTTGGACAGCAAAAGACATGTCTTCAATCGTAATAGATGAGGATCTCGTTGACTGAGTGTAATTACCCATTGTTGAAAAGCAAAGTGCCAGAGTTACCTTGTGATTAGATACGGATCCTGACTTGGTATCGAGTTCACCTTTCATATGAGGCCTACTGGTTGTCTACGGTGTTATCACATGGAGAACCCGCTGACGGCTGCTGTTGCGTGGTGCATACCGGCGCCTGAGTGCACATCACGAACCCATCGACCCAACAGAGCCCAGCCATGCCCGGCAGTGACAATAGGGCATACGAGAATCCAATACACAAAACCTAAGGTGTGAAGCCTCTTTAGAAGGCAAGTGCTAGAATTGCTTGATTAGATCCAAAGACTCACTTGATCAGCAGCAAGATCTACTCTTCCACGATATAGGAGGGCCTTGGTGGTGGGGAGACCCGAGATCTAAACTTGCGGCAAAAACAAATTTTTGTTGCAATGGTTGATGTCGGTTTCGAGTGATGGCCATTCGGGCATCGGCACATCAAAAAGAGCGACACAACGCTTAGATACGATCATGTTTAAAGTAATGGAGGTGAGGATTGATTCGTTCTTGGCTGTTGGACCTATTGTATGCAAGTAGAATGTCAGATGTTTCGGCTGCCGCTGCCGAAAACAAGGTCCAGAATAAGATAGTACATCAATAAGAGAGCTAATATACTTTTGCAGAGTTGCTACATAGTAGATCTATCCCTCTGGGCTTGATCTGGTACCTCTATTGTTGGATGTCTTGGTTTTCGAGTTTTGTTTTGTAACAACGAATTGAGATTATGACGATTCAAATTCGCAAAGTCCACTCAGGAGGATATGCTCTCATGCAAGTAAAAAGTCTCTAACAGTAATCAACTACTCATGTCATTACCGTCCGATCCCGACAGTACGCGATTGCGTCCAAAAAACAAAACACATTTTCAAGTTGCACTAAGGCGAGCAACTGGTACGAGACAAGGAAATAAACAAAATCTCGCTTTTAGGCGGTATACTAGGAAAATCACTGTCGAAGTCTGTATGAAACTTCTAATACCTTTTTCTTGCCCTTCCACACACACAATGTTTATATGCAAATAAAGTAAACTATGCACAAAATTTATACAGTAAAGAGACGGCTACTTCCATTGAAGAAAATGAAGCTTTGATGGTGTCAATGCCACGATCGTGTCCTTTGTTGGATGGTTTGTTCGAATAATGTCCATTATCGTGTTGCTCGGAGCATTAGAGCCATAACCAGTGTTGGTGCCTGGCAAGAGATACTCCCGATAGTTAAGCTGGCAATCTTGTCCTGTTTGTCGTGGTGGTAGACTTGTATTTTCTGGTGCTGCCCAGACTCCCATCTTTACAGTGGTATTTTCTCAAAGTCAGACCAATAAAAAACGGGACAGCTCGAAAATCATCGTACCGTTGTGATACCACTGTCTCCAGTATCTCGAGCGCAGACGACCACAGGTTTTCCGAGATGTGGTCTCGAGAAAATGCATGACCTAGTCATGGAAGTTGGTGCTCCTTGAAGCTCGATTATATAATCACGAGATAACTTGGTTTGGCCGTCTTCTCCACTAAAAACAGACAGGACTAGCTTTTCAGAACACCATTGGACATGATCATGACATGTCACGACACGTACGCAGACATGACAGACACTTGGTGACGCATTCCACCTCCAACATTGGCTGGTGATCTCCAGGTAGCGAGACATGAGCTACTCTCAGCATCGTAAGAGAACGAGGTACAAGTACCTAATCGAGTGAATCCCAAAAGCAAAACAATGAATATTAAAGGAAATGGAGAAAATGCAACGGTCCCGATACCAAGCTCAACCGAAATTACCAGCTTCCGTTTCCAATCGTGAGCATCGAACATTGCCTGGACTACTGGCAAATTCGTCCACAACAAATACACCAGCGGTTGATGCACCCAATAGCTTGTTTCCAAGACCCAGCAGTGAATGAATACCTCGACCTTGTCCTCCAAGCTCAGATCTGTTGCTGAGGTTGAGGTATGGTTTTGCATGGAATCGTATATCGTAAATGACCAGAGAGCCTGTGCTTAGACCCGCACACAACAAGTGTTCACTGGCAGGTAAAAAGGCACATGACCACAGTGGTGCATCACACTTGAATCTATAATATATGAAGACCAAGATGTGAGATAATCAACGAGGTGAAACGTCTCTCTTTTTCTCACCGATGAACTTCATTATTCGTTCGTAAGGATGTGAGACGTATAGACTTGTCCATCGATGCTGTAGCAATGACGTCAGGTATATGCGGCGAGATCTGACAATCACGAATAACACTCTCATGCAACGTGATATACTCGCTTCGATTCCTCTCGTCCATTTTGATCTTGAGAAGACCATGGTTATTCGCCTGTGAACCACGAGATACCAGCAATAAATTCTCTTGTGGATGGTATGCCAGCACTCTCACTGACTGAGACTAATAGCGACAGATTAGGACATCGAGACACAAGAATGCCACTGGAACTTGGATAGCAAGTGAATTACATATACATACCGCTGCCGTAAGAGGAGTGTTTGCACTATACTGATACTCTCTTGATTCTTCGGGACGAGGAGTGGACTCGTCTTCTACGCTTTCGATGCCCATATTAACCAAATTCAATCTGCAGAAATGTGATGTGTCAGTCGCTTGCCCAAAAAAAAAAATCCGGAAGGAATGTCCAAATGAGCTTACTTTTGCTGAAGTTGAGCATTTTGTCGCTGCAACTGAGCATTCAACAACACCATGTTGGCATGTCGTTTTTCCAAGTTTGCAATCTCCTTTCTAGCCAAATCGGCCTCCAATTTAGCATCATCACGAGCCGTCACGAGTCTGTCACGTTCTGTTGAATCTATTGCCACAATATTCTTTGCGAATAGGGGCCGAATGTCCTTTGTGGTAGCTGCACGTCTTAAACAGAGCAAACACATGAGAACTTTAGTAAGTTATGATGGACAGTTGGAGAGTCATTACATCATACATACTTGCATGTTGGACAACGAGCCTTCTTTCCTGATCTTGTAATCCAGTCTGCAATGCAGCTACAACAAAGAGAAATCGCTTCAGTCACTTTAATCTAAACGATACCAATTTCGAATCTATCGCACCCCCTTCCAAAAAGATGTCCACATTTCAGCGACACGATTCCATGTTTCCCTCCTGACGTCCAGCTATCCATACAAATAGAGCATTCCGTATCTACCTTGCCATTTGCAGGTGACGATACAGGGTGGTCAGCATCCGTGTCCATGGCCACATCAGCCTTTGCTTTGACAGCTACATGTTGGAAAGGATCATCTTCGTCATCGTCGACTACTATAGGCCGGTTGTCGTCTGCGACATATGATGTATCGTCATTGTCGTTTGATGAGATTGTTATTGGTTGTGCTGCGATGTTGTTTAGATTTGACATTTGTTTAGATGTCTATGTTCCGGTACAGTGAGTTGGTAGTATGGTAGATGGCATTTGAGTTGCCAGTCATGACCAGCCTCGGAATGGTGACAATGCGATTGTGTTTCGCTCGCTGTGACTAAACGTTGAGAAATTGGTCAGTTTTTACTCGATGAAGCTGGTAGATGAGGCTATAAATTTAATAGATATACACTTATTGCAGTTACCTGATATTAAGATCAAGCTCCTACTCAGACAGAACGGAAAGGATTTGAAATTTTGAAAGCGACGACCGCAGTTCATGAGCATGATACCGTGAGCGGCGTGAGTACCCTTACATCAGCCAGTATTACTGTAGTGTTCCTGGCAAAGAAATCGCGTACATTGACTCGTTAATCAAACTAATTGCCTAATTGCCAAATCGTTGGCTCGATTCAAAAGCCTTCGTATTGTCGTTTATCAAAGGCAAATACAATCAGGGTATCTAACAGCTAAATGTATTACCATTGCTGTCTCACCACAAAATCATAAGGATCCATGCCGATACAATAGCATAGTACCAGTTTAGGGAAGGACTGTGCGAAGTCGAGTTTCCATTACTCATTGAGGGGTTACAGTTGCTTTCGCTATTGAAATCATAATTCGTTATTAGTTCCGAGTCTTTGAAAGTAGAGGCAAGCTTCATATGTTGACTTACTTGGCACATGATGCAGGCGTAGCACCACTTTGTGCCGCTGTCGCAGCAGGGGCTGAAGAAACTGTCGCAGTACTGGTACTGCTACTGCTCAGTATTGGAGGAGACGCATTGTCTGCTAGCATCACAAACTCCTTGTCAAACCACGAGCCAGTTGTCGGGGCACTGCTGAGAGCATCAACGCCTATAAGTATGAAGAATTGTGAGAACTGTGTGATTAAAACTGCTGAATGCGAAAAATTTACCTAAAGAATTGCTTGGTATACAGTGAGGATCTGCACCAGCAGAACCAGCGACACTGCTCCCGTCACTATTGCCCGGTGGCTTTACCCACACAAATGCATCGACTTGCGATGCAGGATTGGATGTTGGGCGCTCGCCGATACCAGCGCCTTTAACATTACACCCTAAAGAAAATCAAGCGTTGAAAAGATGCACGTCTCGTCATTCCTATGAAATTCTCAAACATACACGAACTCCACGACTTGCGTACACCAATTCGACCTATTTATGTAAACGCAAGTTAAGATTACCAAAAATGCTTGGGACTGATTACAGAAACATACCTGAGCGACTAGTATCAACAAGCCACCGTGTCGGAAGTCCAACAGCAGCAAAAGCAACATTAATGCTCTGTGTATACAAATTCTCATCAATATTTGGATTCCCATTATATGTTCCATTAAGCAATGGACATTTCTCTGTTGCGGGACAAATCCCTTTGCCATCAAATGCATCGTAGTTCGCCAAGTTACTGCTAAATCCCCTTATACTAGCATTCGGATTGATGGATTTTGCCAGATTCATAACATCCTGATATACAGGAGCAATTTTTCCTTCATATACGGGTGATCCCAGCAACCCGCCGTTAGCGCAATCAACATAAATGGTAGTGTTTGGTAGTGTCGAGAATTGGGCTATAGCGTAAGCAATAGCAGCCGGATATGTTGCGGACTCGCTGCATCCACTGGTGATGAGGTTCGCAAGAGCGTCTGGCTCGATTATTAGCACGAGTTTGATGTTTGATGACTTGTTGCTCAGCAATGATACGGCCACGTCAACGAATTGGGTCTTGTATTGTTCAAGATCCCCAGTTGGTATCTGGCCAGACGATGCAGTTGCGGAGCAGTCTCGACCTGAAATAAGGAAAATGTCAGTTCAACCCTGAAAGGTGAGAAAATGCCATCAAAGTACCTGGAATGTTATACACCACAAACGACACAACGATTGGTAGCCCATCTGACTGGTTGGCCGCATTACTGAGATGCACCGGTATACTTTGAAGAGATGCGATAGACGACAGCCATGTAAAAGTTGGGTATGTGGCTACTTTTTGAAGTACTGCAACTCGTGTTGCATTACTCGAATACAGAGTAACTGATTTGTTCACATTTGCCGCGTAGTCCGGCGAAACGTACTGTAAGGCAAGGGTTGTTTGCTGATGGCGGTGATCCTCCGCTAGGTGTTTGGTATGCAGAGACCATCTGCGCATTTGAAACTATAAGAGTACGTGTATTAGAAACATACTTAAAATGTGATACATTTGAGTAGCAAAGTTGATCATCATGCATAGTATCACTTCTTTATATTTTGATGGTGTTGGAAAGCAACGCTAAATCCTACTTTTGACGTCAAGCTGGCCATTCATAATACATGAATTGGGCACACTCGTAGCTTTCAGCTTCTCATACCTCTCGAGAATATGCACAGTGAAGATAAGATCCAGAAACAATACCCTCTTATCATGTTCGTTCGATGTGAAATCAAAACTTGGAATCTGCCAACGGTAGCAGTATTAGTTCAAATTGCAGAGTCCAACACCTTTGATCAAACTGTTTCTCATCACTTACTAAGATCTATGCATCGATGAAAACGAGTACAAAGTATCGTCCTTTTTGATAAGTAGACCTGTTAGCAACTCCACTACGACAATGTGAGTTTGACAAGACTCGGTTCAGAAAAGGATACGGATCTCGGAAGGAAGCAGCACCTGATGCAGATATCTTATTTCCTTTAGCTGTTGGTGAAGTGGATAGTTCGGTTCTTTAGATAACTGTACGGAGGTTGTCTTTCATATTTCTTTGACGAAGCAAGAACGCAAGAGGAATTTCCGGATGAAGGAAGCAACTATAACAAGCATTTTTTGACGTAACCGCTTTTATATGGACGCTGAAAGATGAAGCATCTTTGCTTGCTGGTCTGCATTGTGACTATCTTGGTCAACTGTCTGTCAGTTTGTTCGCCAACACACCACGATGAATCCCACAGCATCAGAGAAGTTTCTCCGACCCTGACAATACCGCAAATGAACATTACCAGCAACCAGATACTACGAAGATTCTTATCGCTAACCGATCGCTACGAACTTGTTTGTAGTATCCTGCTTACAAAACGATAACATGAAACCCCATTTGCTTTCAAGCTTATTAACACACAAGCGTTTCTGGTAGACTGAATTTAATTGAAAGACTTGTATACATACAGAAGCAGAAATGAGGTCGTATTAGATACTTGAAAAACTACTGTGCGAGTGTTTGCGACTAAGTAGCTAGGATTAATAGCCAAGAAAGAATTGCAACATTGCTCAAAGTATGAGCCTAAGAGGTGAAAATGATGTTAGTGGGTTCTCTCGATTCTTCAAGAAACAACGAGATACTAAACTTGTTGAGCAGAAGTATCAGAGGCAGATTGGCGACTTGCCATACATAACTTGATGCTTTGGTGGTATGGGTTGACGCAGATGCTTGTCGAATAACCGATGCAACAAATTTTGCAGGAGAAGCATTATCAACCAGCATGACAAAGTGTGCGTCAAACCAAGCACCTGCAGATGGAGCTCCGCCTAACGCGTCTACACCTAAAGAACGCGACGGTCAGTCCTGGTTTTGACGTTCACATTGACGTTTACATACCGAGAGGATCGGTCGGCACACAGTGAGGATCGATACCGGATGTTCCGTTGCTAGCACCATCACTATTTCCGGGAGGTTTCACCCAGACGAAAGCGTCAACTTGGGATGCCGGATTCGATATTGCGCGTTCGCCAAGTCCAGCGCCTCGGATGTTGCACCCTAAATGTCATATGTGTAAGATTAGCTACTGAGGATTCTTAAAACTGAGGAGTTCACTTACAAGAGCTCCAATATGTACGAACACCGATTTGACCTGCAGATGCCTTTAGAATTAATTAAATACATTCTCCTATATTGACGCAAATCTCCTGTACCTGAGCGACTAGTATCAATCAGCCATCGTGTAGGCAATCCCGCACTGGCAAAAGCAGTATTCATAGTTTGGGTAAAGATATTCTCATCAATACACTCGTTTCCATTATAAGCTCCGTCAACTAACGGACAGTATTGCTTTGCGGGACAAAGACCTCTTCCCTCAAACGGGTTATAGTTGGACAGATTACTGCTGTAGCCTCGAATACTGGCTTTAGGGTTGATAGCTTTGGCTAACGTCATGACGCTTTGATACATAGGAGCAATTTTTCCCCGTAGACCTGGTACGCCCAACCAAGGGCCGTTTCCCGCATCAAGATAAATCGTAGTGTTTGCAAGTGTAGAGAATTTTGCTATGGCGTATGCGATAGCAGCGGGATAGGTGGTCGCCGAGGCACAATTATAAGCGATGACATCTGGGAGTGCGTCAGGTTCGATAATGAGCACGAGGTTGATGTTTGATTGTTTTGTGGCAAATAGTGTGAGGATGGGATCGATGAATTGGGCCTTGTATTGATCAAGAGCACCAGGTGGTATCTGACCAGGAGATGCAAGAGCTGAACAATCTCGACCTTTGGAAAGAGATAACGTGAGTGTTTTAGACAAGTAGTATCACACGCCTTGCTCAACATGCCTGGAATGTTGTAAATCACGAACGGAACGACTATTGGTCGTCCATTCGACTGATTGGCTGCATTGCTGAGATGAGCCAATATGGTGGAAATGGCACTGAATGAAGATAGCCATACAAATGTTGGGTACGTGGCGACCACTTGAAGGAGAGCAACACGTGTGGCATTGTTTGAATACAGAGCGACAGACTTGTTCACGTTTGCTGCATAGATTGGATTCACATATTGCAGCGTATTGAAAAATGGATTTCCCACACGATTTGCAGCTCCTCCATCTGGTGTGGAGTACTGTGCAAGCACTGCAGTGTGAAAGAATTGAAGAATTAGAGAGAGCCATGTGTTTCGTGACGGGTGAATGAATTCAAAACAATTTCAAAAGCTTGGAATGCTTCAACAATTCCACTCTCTGCCAATGAAGAGCCTCAAGGAATGCGATTTTGGAAGATGCTTTCGTTTTCATTGATTCAATGAATTTTGTCAAATGGTTCAGATCAGGCCTTACCAGTAATCACGATGGCACTGTAGGCGACGAAAGCAACGAGGCAGTGTTTCCTGAGCTGCATTATGCTCGTGTGTGGAGATGACAATCGATCTAATGGAAGATGAGTGGAAAAGTTGGCAGCGTAGGCGAGAGGGAAGCAATATGAGGTTTGGGATTTGCAGAGATATTATTAATACTCATAAGATAAAGGAAACGTACAGAAGTCCTTACCAAAGTAGTAGGAATGGTTGGGCGATCTGCCTCAACAGATGTAGATGGGTTTTGTCACGGTTGATCCACAATTGTTGGCGGTGAATGGAAGAGGCCTTACAGCTGCTTCGTGATGTTGTCCAGTTAGCTACAATCTTGAGCTCACTGCGTGCTTGATCTCTGCTGGTTGTGAGTGAGAGCCACGTTGACGTTTCGACACGAAGGAGACGACGACATCTGGTGCCAAACACTATGATGTGAGACTGTATGTTCTTGAGCTTGTAGAAACGGCATGAAACGCGTAAATTACTGCAATGGTCCTCGTCTCGTTTCCTAATCGAAACGCGAAACTCGTGATCTTAAAGACTGCAAACGAGAGAGAGAGAGAGAGAGAGAGAGCTATACAGTTGTGTTTTCCCATCCTAGCATATCACTGGAGCTACACTCGTCAGGTACTCCAAAGTGTAGGAGCTTTCGAGTCGATTTGGTTGTTTTTGGACCGATTGCACTTGACAGGTACAACCAGCAGCGATGAGGTGAACATTAGACACTTTTGATTACATGAACCTTGTTATAACTCATTTTTGCTTACCTTTTTCTCATTAAACAGACAAACATCGACAGCAAACTCAAAACATCATCGAATCAACGACGTGTGCCTCTCTTCAAGAACAACTTGCTGCTATTCGTATGGAGAAGAAGAACGAATGGCTCCACCATCAAAAGACAAATCCAACACCTCCTGTAGCTGCTGCCATCACAACTCCCATCAAACCCAATAATCGCACGCCACTCATGTATGTTTTAGATTTCGACTTGCATGGTATTGCTACTGATATTGCAAAAAGACATGAATTGGAGTCTGAGAAAATTCTAAATGGATTGATACAGGTAGGTCATCACTATTTGAGCAGCGCCTTGTTTTCGCTTGAAGTAAAAGTTATTACTAGGTTTCTTTGTCAAAAGATCTGTCCTCGGTGGAAGAATCATTACCGGAAAAGTCGCTACCCTCTGTCAAACTACAAGCGTCAGAGGATTCGCCTTATCTGAAGGCAGAGCTCGCACTAAGACCTCGTCTTGTTGCTTTGATGTCACATGGTCCGATGGAGAAGAGTATCCAGTCACTCATGGCTTATGCACATCAAGTCAGTGTATGGATGTATTCTGATTTTACGTACGTCATCGTAGAGTAACCCTTTTCTTCCTTCGCTTATCAGCAATCATCATCCAAAATCCAGTCAATCACACGAGTTCGTGCATTGTCTGTGCTACTCCTTTTTAATCTGACGCCCAATTTCTTGTATTCGCAGGCCCAGTATTGCAGCCACTCTTTTGCGACTATACTACTCGCTTTGACTTCCGTTAGAATTTGAAGCATCTCCAACGAGATGCTCACAGTAAGTGCAGTGGCTGTTGCTTTGAACACCATCCCTGCTTGTCGTCTTTACCATATGTACCTTCAATCTCACACCATGGGTGAAGGAGGCTTGCAAGTTCTCTTTGCTGCATTCGAGATGGATGACTTTCCTGACGAGGAGGACGGAGGTGAAGCTGAGGAAACGGTTGGAGAAGAGGGAGAAGTGGAAGGAGAAGAAGCTACACTCGATGATGATGATGATGATGATGATGATGATGATGATGATGATGATGACGATAAATCTCAGTATTAGATTTTGTGTAAATTGTATGGCGCCTGTGAAAATGTAACAAAACATTGTATTTGAGCCTCAAATAGAAGCCAATTTCTCATGCAAGATCAGGTCTGGCAAATCACATTATAAAATCAAGTTTGCTTGATTAATCTCCATAATAGTGTTCCGGTACTACTAGTAGGCGCGTTGGTCAAATGCTCAAATGTTGAGGCGTCCAGCAGTGTGAAGCTTAGCACTGAAAACAGATACAAGAAAGCGTCAGAATCATGACTGATAGGTATATATTTGTATTGGAATTACGTCAGGGTCTCCTACTCGCTAGATCTTGAGCATTTCTACGATGTTCATTCCGAAATGATGAAAACAAGAAGACCAGCTGATTGTGACGCGTTCAAAGGCTCAATTAAGCAACAACCACTCATTTTGCGCGGGAATGTGCCTTATTCAACTAATTTCGAATTGTCTCCCAAGGGTCTCGTTGTCTATAAATACGTTGACATCCTGCAAGCAACTTCTGCAATCAAACACAACACACTTCACTAGAGAATCAGAGGGAGAGGCACCACAGCCACTCAAGAAGCATCTCAGCTGCTCAGGTAAGCTCTTCCTATGTTGATATGCTACTACAGTCCCTCCATCCTGCTGTTGTCCTGTCCCAAATGAGTTTGCCGCAAAAGTTCCTGCAGACCTTGCTAACTAGATTGTTTACTCTATTTGTAATAAATCTAGCCGGAGACTCTGTATTTCAAGTCACCCAAGATATGGATGGCTCCTCCTCTACCCTCTCTGTTGCTCCTTGGCCCTGCATCTACGGATGTTAAGTTGTTTTACGCTTTTGCTGCTATTTTTGAATTGCTCTCAGTTTCAGAGCACTCTACGCTACTGACTCGTTACTCCTCCATTCTGCAATAGGCACACATGTCAGCCGTTGACCAGTTGGTTAGAAACCTTTCCCACTCCATTCACCAACCATCATCTTTCAAGAAGACTCAGCAATCCCTACCACAAGGTTTCAAGGATCCAAATGGCGCACGGCTGGCTGATTATACCACGACTGAATTTCGTGGTTTGCGCCTGAGGGTTGTCTTTCAAGAAAGCAGCTGAGGACACGCACCTCACCAGTGGATGGGCACCTGGGAAGAGCGTATATGCTGCTTACCTGACGTTGAAGAGTCACGTAGAACGGCGGATTGCCAAGAGACAACGGAGAAGCAGCTTCCAAGCTCACTTGCCTTGTCTATCTGGCATGTGAACATTCCTGGGTGATCTTGCTATGTTCTGGTTACTAAAACCATATTACAATCTTCTCGCAGCATTGCAACATGCTGTTCCGGGTTACTTTGGTAGCACGGGCGTCTTCCCGTATTTGCTGTTGGAGTCAAGGAGAGTGAACCCATTCATGGTCCAAGATTTTGGAAGAACGGTACATTGTGCCGGCTCTGCACACGGCGTTTAGCCTAAGCGACACCCTTCAGCACAAGGTAAAGAGTCTTTTTCTACAAAGAATCTTTGGTACCAGCTTGGCGCTCACCAAAGCAACGGTCTTGTAGATTCTCCCTCTTTCAACGCTAGTCTCATCAGACTGTTCGCTGATGCGTTCTCAAGTGTGTGTATCTAAAGCTTTGAGCCTTTCAATGAGACTTTTCATGAACAATTGTCCTTCCCAACGTACAACGTAATAACCTGTAGTATACCATCAAACAGAGAATAGAAACGTGATAGATGTAAAACTTAGAAGACACGACATATACGTGAAACATAACGAACTTTTCACTAACATCAGCGCGACGAGTGTTTCGCCTCGAAATTCTGACTCTGCTCGATTTCACTGAACAAATGAGTCGAATTCGAAGCTTCGGCATCACGCCGTAGAACACACTAGAAGCTCGTGAAATTGACGTATATGATGCTGGCAGACATTGGACCTTCTGCTATTGCTGGATCAACCGCTCTGAAGTTGACCAAACCAACTACAATTGAGCAAAACAAGAACTTGTTCAAGGTGGAATGTGTCGTCGAGTTTAACAATCAAGATCAAGTATATATCTGGTTTGAAACTATTTTAAACTGTTATAAATCATTCCAAACTAACAAAATCCCTCCTAGATCTCATCATTTAGCGACATCAAATCTCTGGCTGCGACCGACATTGTGTGCTTGGCAAACAACAAGGACATTCACATATATGATGCATCGTCATCTCATCAGCATCTGGCTACGATTACTGTTGGTATGGACTATTGATTAAGCTTCAGTTTTGAGCAATTGTTGATTCTGATCAAAACTTCATGATTTCGCAGATGCTCTGCCGGAACAGATAGCCGTGAATCGTGATTCCACGTTCATGGTCGTCGCATATCATATTGGAATGATACAATTCATTCATGTACCGACGAGACGTGTCGTATTCTCACAAGAAATCGCTCAGAACGATGAGGATGCTTCAACGTTTCGATTGGTGCGATTTGCCAGCAACCCAAAGTACGTTTGGCGATACAATAGGACTACAAATACGATACTGAAAAGTCTCTCCAAACTCTGTTAGTGACAAGACAGAACAGTTACTTGTTGTGCTGTCCGATCTTCGATTAATGAGGTTTTCGAATGTCGATCTGCTAGCAGTTAGTACAGCGCTTGCCAAACACGATCTGGAGATGGCTATGAAGGTCAAGATCAATATTATTACCGTACATTGTTTGGACTTTGCTCACACCACCGTTGACACGTAGATCAAGTCCAACATACTGGTTGAAGTTATCACGTTGGATGAGGATATTCAAGGGAAAGCCAACGAACAAGACGGAGGATTACTAGAAGACGTGACAGACATCATACCAGTCTACTCGTCGGAATGGAAGGGTCAGAGGCTCATTGTCGCTGGACGAGGTTGGTGTTGAAAGAAACTAGGCTGGCTTTTTTCTGTGTTCATTATGCTAAGTTCTTTGCAGGCCAAGAGCCTCTATCAGTCTGGACGGTGTCAGAGCGGGATCAGAAGTCATTCAAGCTTGACTTTGTTCGCAAAGATCTGGAAGGATCGTCCATCATAACAACAAAAGTCAATCCAAGTGGAAGGAGAATGATCACATTAGACGACCAAGGCCACCTCATAATATGGAACCTGCCACAGTACGTGGAAATGGCTGTCCTGCCTAAATCTCGCAACTATACTAATTCAACATCTTTCTTCACATTTTATTAGCCTGCACATATTACGCCGATTTGAGATATCTGGCTTGTTGGATTTTGATCTCTTGACCAAATCCACGGACTTCCTAGAAGACTTGGTGGTGGTAGCAGCATTCGAGAACTCGATACAGGTTTTATCGCTACCTACACTGGAAGTCTTGCTGCACATCAAAACGGAAATTGCACCATATTTGATTCATAGCATCTACTCGACTGTCAACAATGGAATGTACATTGCTACCTCAGATGGATCTGCTCTCTGTATAAATGCTATAGTGGAAACAGTGCCATTGCAAAAGTTTCAAGATCTGATTGCTGCGAAAGATTTTGAGGCTGCTCGAGTATTTGCTTCTCAGTATTCGTTAGATCTTCAGGTAACTTGGAAAAGCAAAAAGCCAAACAAGGCGATTTTTCACTGGAGACTTGAATAAGATTGATTTTCTGCGTGTAGGTCTTGCTGAAAGCCAAACTGTCTTCGATACTCAAAGGCCAATATATTCCAACGTATACGGAATGTGCATCTTGGGTGGAAACCCTTCTTCATGACTTGCAAGACGTGAAGGTACATCTGGAAGTTGCTCAGTATATCTCAAGTCAAGTTGTCTGACTCGATTCTGCAATCACAGGACTTAGGCTTTTGTGCGCAATTCTGCACATCTTTGGTCCTTCCATCTGCAAAAGAAATACATCGTCTCTTGTCATTTGCAGCCTCGAAAGTGCAAAGTGCAGACTTATCTGCCTCACTACACTCTGCAATATGTCGGTTGGCAACGTATCAACTTCTTGGAGCACGATCTTCCAACACAACAACAGATATTGTTGATGGCGTAGCTTGGCAAAAATTTCGCATGTTGGATTTGGCAAATTATATGATGGAGCACGCTCGATCTGGTGATATGGATGCCGTCGTCGTAGTTTGGCGACGACATTGCAAAGGTAGAGCTCTTGACAAGACAAATCGCACAGTACGAATCCCTGCTAATCATGGATTCCATCAATTTAACAGATACGGCTGTACGAGATCGATTGATTAATGTATTATCCAGCATCCCAGCGACGCAGCCACTGTCTGACTATCTTCCATGGATTCAAAACGAAGTCATTCCATTGTTGCCATTAGAAGCAGAGTCAGAGTTTATCTCCTGGGTCCAAGACCGTGCTCATGCTGTAGAATTTACAGAGAGGAGACCTCACAATGCATTACAAGTTGCAGCGTTGATAGAGATCCTGCAACAGAAGCCGAAATCCATGCTGGAAATGTTTGGTCTTCCGACACCAGCCGCATATGTAAATATTATGTCTATAAATGCCATGCCTGCGGAGAGTGCAAAGTCCAATGACTTGCTGACTAGGTTGAGGAATTTGAAGAATCTGTGGGATTCTCATCAGATGTACCTGTCACTCGCTGAATATTCGAGCTTGATCCCAAGCGATATTGGTATGTGGTGTCATCAATTACATACCAACCTCGGAAATAACGCATTTTCTTAAAAGCAATCAAACTGCTTGATCGTGTCGCTGCTCCTGAATTATTAGAGGATGCTGTCGTCGTACATTTGCGCTTGTATTCTACCGCACATGCACTATCTAGTGATGACATTCTGTCAGAGTATTGTACAGACTTGATGGATTCACCTGTACAGCCTCATATCGAAGGTAGAGTCAATGTGGAGAAGATGGTACTTTTAACAATCGATCAATGAGTTTTTCTTCTATAGCACCCTGGGAAGATCGAGTGCTCGCACTCATTCCGCTGATTCAGAGTGCCGATATCAAATCGAGCGTTATACTCGAGGTGATGAGGAGATGCCCGGTCCCGTGGTCTGCTTCTGTTGACGAGCTCATTCAATCAACAATTAGCAGGATGCCCGAAAATGCGACTGAGAAGGCTCATCCTTCAGAGCCTGCTCGTCACGCTTCCGAGCTCAGAGAGCAATGTCGCCTAATGTCATTAAGACGGATGTTGACAAAGTATGGGATTTCGAAATTCAACTTGGCCGATTTGGGACAGACACGAAGTAAGATTCAATGCAGTTGCAATCTGGTGACCGTCATCAATTCAACCACTTTTAAAATAGATTTGCTTTGGTATATTCTTGGCCAGGTTGAATCATTGGATGCCATGCAAGATGGGTTGAGACTTGTCGCTGCATATCGTCATCTGAATCGATCAGATGCTCTAGTAGCACGAATTCGTATTCTGTCCTTAAATGGATATACTTCCCGAGCACGTCTCTTGCTACTTGAAGGAAAAGAATCCCAAACCATTATAGAACAAAGTGACGGGATGTGGCAGCAACAATTCGATGTCGAGAATGAACCACCGATAGACGATGCTGAAGCTATTGCGGCTGCCAAAGAAGTGTTTATGTGGTGTGAAGAGACTATTAGCACTTTATCTAAAGGCTCGTTAGGTAAAAACACAACAGCTCCTGACGAAATTCAACACTTCCAAACTATCGCTGAAGCTGGTGCAATGTTGGCTTCGGTAATACAAGATTTATCTGTTCGTGGCAAATGTACTAGTGTTGATACAGGATTTGATGCTGCAAAATGTGCTCATCAAATGAGAGCTATAAAGGTCTTGGCAACAGAGTTTGATATCTTTAAAGATATCAAGGATCTACAGTTAGAAAGTGAACGACGCAAACTTGTTGCTGGATTTGCATTCAAGATCTTCAAATATTCTGGACTCGCCGCTAATGATTCTCCGGTACACCGTGAATCTGGAGTCAACACACGCGACACGACCTCTGTCTCATCATTATATCATTTGGCTGAAGTTCTTGGGTTTGGAAGAGATGAAGTTCGAGGAATGGTGGCTGAAGAGGCAGCCAAAAATGGCGATTTTCAACCGGCTTTCTCGTTGTGTCAGGTAAGCTCAAATCAAGTGTTTGCCGTCGAGTCATTGAAAGTAACGTCGTCAATATTTTGTAGGAGATGTATGATAAGTTTCCTTGCCCCCGCACAGCCAAATGTCTTATGCGAGTTGCAAAATTTGTGACTCAGTATGCAACGGAGAATACTCATGTGTATTCAGACTCAAAGAATGGCAAGGTAATGGCTTGAGTGTTTTAGCAATGAGAACCAACATTTTCCTTGTAGAGCGAGACTAACTGAGGCTACTTTAATTAGCACAATTATCGTTTGACAAGTCGTATACGACAGCTGGCAGAACAAGCATTGACCGTTTGTGATGAAGGAGACCTCTCTGGTATGTTGTGAACTGACAGTCTCGGTTTCTGTTACACATCTCACCGATGCCTCTTACAGAATTCTTGGACGACTTCAAATCATACGATCTTCAACACATCGTATTCACGCAGTGTGATGCTGGAGACTACTCGCATGTCTTGAGTAATCCAACGACACTTGCCTCGTCAAGCCAAACCGCAATCACCGATTTAGACGTAGCAGTTCTCGGTGACGACTATGGATCGTCACTTTTCACCACTTCCTTCCACGAAACTGGTCTCGTCCTCACGACAGATCAAGCGATGAATAGTGTTGGTGAATTTGTTATCAGCACTTTGAAAAAGGATGTTGATACAACTGATTCACGTGGGAAACACAGACCGGACGCTGATCCAGTTTCTCTTGGTCTTTCCTTGACCGAGTATCTGCGAACTTCAAGAAGTTTGCAAACTGCCATGGCGTGCTGGCAGCAAGTATTTGAGATCGCGACTAGAAGCGTAGAGTCTCTGCCACCCTTCAATATAACGGATGAGCATGAGAAGCAGCTGATATCCGTACAAAGTCTTCTTCAACAAGTGAGACCACAGAGTTTCGTCTAATTCTTGGACCATGGAAGTATTGACGTCTTCTTTCGTATATAGGTGCTAAGTTCCCGCTACATTGACGAGTCGTTGAGTATCGGTTACATGTTGTATGTACCTCAAATATATGCATTTGAATCCTTCAAGGTACTTGACATGACCTTATCTCTTGAATCTTTTCGTTTGTCTCATTTTGAACTCAGAGTGGTTTAGCAAGTGTCGCTACAGACTACAGTCGATTGTTGACCCTTGCAACCATTGGAGTCATCGCTGGCACTGCATGGAAACAACGTGGATTCTTGGTGGACTGTCAAGGTTTAGCAGCGAATGCTCAATGGTGGCATCAGTTCCGTCTGCTTGGTGAGCCACTGGGGAAGAGCCTCATGTTTTCTCTGTTTCTTTTCTGTTCCTCATCCATCGTTTAATTTAGGAATACCGTTTGACGATGGAATGTTCCGAAACAGTCGGAATGGAGATTATCAACGCAAGCTTATACCACTATTCCTGGAGAAAACGCAGTTGGATGTCACAACTGTGATCGAATTCGCTCGTGATTATTTTATAGAAGGTATTCTGTCATGCCCGTAAAAGCGTTTATACGCGTTTACTCATGGTGCTTTTCTTAGATGATTATGTTATTTTCGAGCACGCTCGAAAGCTTCTCGTCTCGAACTCACAAGCAACCCATGAAGACTATGAATATCGCATGGCCCTGATTTTAGATAATATTCAAAATAAGGAAAAATTCTTGAATGTCTTGCTCGATAGTATCTTGCCTCGTATCTCGACATACGATTACGAGAGATTACAATATGTATTTGCCCAGATTCTCAAGTTGCAGCCAGTGCATGAAGACGCTGCAAAAGGACAGCTCGTCCTTGAAAATCTTTCGCAGTATAGTAGACATACTAAGCCAACTCTCGAGGAGTTGGTCGAGGCCAAGTCGCGTAAGTACTTTCGGAGTGATTAATTGCACCGTTCTGCGAGTCTCACGTTTTGCGATTAATATAGATCTGTCCGATTCTGATGCTGTCAGGGATGCCGGAATGGCCAATCTCTCTAAGGTATGAATGGGGGCTAGAAATGAGATATAATCAAATCGAGGGATCTGATTGATGCTTCTGTGGTAGATTTTTCCTATGGCAGCCAGACGTCTCCCATTCCATGCACTCATCAAGGACCCATGGCGAGTCTTGAGTGCAGAGATAAACAAGGACACAATTTTGTGTCTGGTACCATTATCAACTCCACTTGGCTTGTCTGAAGACAAGTTTTATATGGACATTTTGACCAAGATGGTGGAAGTCCCGAAGGTATTGGCAAAGCTCTCAAAACTTTGGAGAATGAACTAACGAACACACATTGTGATAGAATGCTGATATAACACCATCAGAGATATCAGCCAACTTTGCAGATCTGAAAACATGGTTCGCAAGAGTTCGAAATTCAGAAGCTGCAGTGCAAATGTCAGTCTATGTTGCTGGCAAATTCGCATGTGGGCCAGATCGAATATCGGCATATAAGCATGCACTTACTCAATGTGAACGTTGGTCGAAAGGAGTTTCGGATAAGGTGGGTGCTTGTGTCGACACGATCGTTCTTTATGTTCTCACTCGTTCAATTTGGGTAGGACGACGAGTTACGAAAGAAGGTTGAGGTTGTGACTAGTAGAGTAAAAGGATTCCTGGTCAGAACGGAATCCGAGTTCCAATTACGTAGTGTTGGACTGGAGGATCTACTTGATTATTTGAATCGACCAGCAGATCTTCTGATTCAGCTCTATATGCAAAAGTCTGAGAGAGCTTTGAATCATGCCGGTATGTGAACAGTGTGTTTCAAAAGAACAAAATCGACGAAGAGCTAACAATATAGCTTTTTTCTAGACTTCGACTTGCATGGTATTGCGAGTGATATCGCAAAACGACATGGATTGGACTTTGATCGAGTTCGAAATGGGTTGATACAGGTAGATCATAATCCCAGTATATGTCATTTTTGCTCTTAAACTAACAAGTCATTACCAGGTCTCTTTGTCAGAAGATTTGTCATCGGTAGCAGAATCTTTGCCGAAAACGTTGCTCCCCTCTGTACGACTACAAGCTGCAGAGGGTTCGCCATACATGAAATCTGAAATCGCTCTAAGATCTCGCCTCGTTGCTTTGATGTCGTATGGACCCATAGAAAAGAGTATACAGTTGCTCATGAATTACGCATATCAAGTGAGTGTATGGGTATGTTCTGATTCTGATATACAACTTTCCTGTAACCTTCTTTTCTCTCTCCCAGCAATCATCCAAAATCCAAACAATCACACGTGTTCGAGCATTATCTGTGCTACTCAAGATTGCATCAGCATCTCTTCTTGCTGAAAATAATATCAACAAGGCGGATGTTGCGTAAGTGCAAAAGTGGTTGTGTTGTAATGCCAGATAGTTCGAACCATTACGCACGCTTTTTTTTGCAGGAACTATGTTCAAATTCTACTCTATTTCTGTGATTTCGAACATCTTCGCATCGTCCTTCAACTAAAGGAATTTGCAACCTGCGACAAGAGGGCACTATCTCAAACTATATGGATGAATCACAACAAAGACCCATTGGCAGTGGAGCTTATATGCCACATTTGTTGTGATTTTGGCATCCATGACCAAGTTTTATGGGAAAACTTGTTGCAGAGATTGGTAGACTTTGGTGAAGTAAGTTGTTGAAATTCGTTTGATCAATGTGACTTTCTCAATGTCTTTCTTTGCTGAGCAGTTTGGCGTCGTGTTGAGAGCCATTGAGTATGTTATGCAAACTCCGGAGCTCTCGCAAATGGTTTCACTTCCGACGCTAGTGTCGCGAGTCATTGTCGGTTACCTCAAGTCACATCAAGATGCAGTTGGTGAGGTCTAATGATTTCACACAGGTTTGCACCTTCGCTTGATACTCAACACTACATTATCTGCAGACACTCCATTACGACTCAGACGAGTAACAAAATTGCTTCATGTTTGTCCATTTGTCACTCTTCTGGACGAAGTATTGCTGGTCGACACCTTGTCATCGATGGTGTCTGATTCTTGTATTGGTGAATGCACACATTTTGTATTGAGTGCCATGTATGCGTTGCCTAGCTCGTCAGTGGTTCAAGATAAGATCAATGTATGTATGTCATCCATCATCATCAATCACCAGAGTTTTGTTTTTCTAACTTACATGTTTGAAAACAGGTGACGATGTCAAAGTTACCAAATAATGCTCTCATACCACTTCTTGAGCACATGCAAACCAATAGAGGACTAGATTTGATGAGTATGCAGGTAAGTGTCCATAACGAAAAACACAACACTGATGATTTGCATTGATTCAGTTTTCCATAGGATGAGGTGAAACATTCCATATACACGCAGATCAATAGTCGCGAATGTTATGGAGTGGTGCTTCGAACATCACATTTGGGATCATTTGGACGCTATCTGATTGAGCAAGATCAGATTGATGGAGCACTGATGTTTGCCGTTCAAGTCTTGAAAAGGCAAGAGAAGCACGACAAAGCCGTTGTGGTTCTGTGCGCCAGCCCTGTATGCTGACGACCATTCTGTTGTGTTGATAGGCCTAGTATTGCAGCCACTCTCTTGAAACTATACTACTCGCTTCGACATCCTTTACACTCTGACGCGTCTCCAAAAGAGATGCTAACAGTAAGTGCAAGCCTCTCATGTCTTTCTAAGTTTGAGTCCGGTCTCTGAGAATATTGTTACATAGATGTACCTTGAATCTCACTCGTTGAGTCAAGATGACCAACAGCTTCTACTTGAAGCGTTCGAAACGAACCTGCCTGATGAGGAGGACGAAGATGAAGAAACAGAGGAGGCCGTTGAAGGAGGGCAAGATACCCTTGAAGACGACCACCAATCCCAGTATTAGATCACGTTGTCTTGTAAAGTTACTTCTAGGGTTTCTATAGAACATACAGCTTGGTTGCTTAGGGATTATTTTGAGTGCATATCTGTGCATTGTTGAGTTGATATAAGCGATATTTGAGTCGAGATCCGGCGCGAAACAATCATATCCACTAGTTTGAGGTAGCAAATGTGGTTGTCTGTGGTTGCAGAAAGTTTCGTGCTTCAGCAAGCAAAGATCTTAATAGTGATTGACTGCAAACCATTTATAGCCTAGCTAGCGTGTACTTGGCTTGTTCTTGGCTTGTTCTGGCTTGTCAACATATGCATCGTATCTCTCTCCCTGTCTCGCTCGTTTTGAAAGAAACTTTAACAGTTGTAATCGTCAGAGCTATTTCAAGTCCAAGAAAATTTTAATCTGATAGCTTCAGGTGCCACTAGTCTTTACCGCATTGTGAGAACGCGGCCATCGTCTCCAGCTTGATCTTTCAGGACCAGCCCCAAAAACCGTCTGAAAAATACAGGATGACGCAACAAGAAGATACCCAGTCAAGAAACCACCCGATCAACCCAACTTCGACCATTCAGCTTACAAATACCTCTATATACGCATCACCACATACAAATGCTCTATATTCTTTACATGCGCTCCCAACCACCAGCGATTCATGTTCTATAAAGATGCCACGAAACTCTTCCATAACTTATGCACGTTGCGTCCAATCAGCATACAGCAATTCCATAAGCGCCTTCTCACTCTCTTTAGACTCTGCGTCTCGTTCCTCGTCACCCTTTTGAAACCTCTCGTCAAGCACAAGCTTGCGTTCACAGAGCTGCAGGATGTGTTCCTCAATCGTGTTGGATGAGATTAACTTGTAGACCGTGACAGGTCTTGTTTGACCTACTCGATGAGCTCGACATTCTGCTTGGCAGTCATTTTGGGGATTGAAATCTAGATCCTGAGAAGTCAAGGAGAGCGTGAGACCCAAGAAATGAGAATCATATCGTTCGTAATGCTTACCATGAAAATGACTACATTAGCTGCTGTTAAATTCAATCCTTGACCACCTGCTTTGGTAGAGAGGAGGAATATAAACGTATTGGAATCGACTGCATTATACTCGTCAATCAAATCTTGTCTGCGAGAAGAAAGACAGTATGGATTAGTAACCACCATCAATCCTTGCGAATACCCTTTTTCTGGGCAGTGTACTCACCTATCCGAAACATCCGTCGACCCATCCAGTCTCGTGAAGCTCATATGAAGCGACTCCAATACTTTCTCGAGTACGTCCAAAACCATGACAAACTATTGAAAGTCAACAAAAAAAGATCAGAAATCAAGAACTTATGATTTAGCAAACGCAAATCGCAACCTCAAAATTCAAAAGAGCATACCTGCGAAAAAATTAAAACCTTATCCTCGTTCTCCTTCATGGGTACAAGTAGCTCCTTTAGCTTCTGAATCTTGCCAGCATCCATCCATGCTTCTTCAGTCAGCAATCTAGGGCGCAAAACCTGTACCCAAAAAAGCTTAGATCTTATTGTCATGGATTGCCAAACTTGACACACCTACCGAATGCTTCATGCACAGGCAGTGAATCTCGAAATCACTCATCACCGACAAGTCTTCACATACAAGATCGTAATCGGTATCATAATATTCCGGAGTTCGTTGCAGTTCATGAGCAATCTTTCGAACTGTATCGTCAGAATATAGTTGTCTGAATAACAAGGGGTGAATGGCCGCCTTTCGTAATTGCATCAAGACGTTAAACGTCTTTTTCTTTGCACCAGCTTGATCCTTTTTACTCTTGCCCTTTTGACTCTTGCTAGCTTCTGCAACTGCCCAGTCTTTTTTCGATTGAGACTCGATTTCTAGGTATAGTTTACGCTGGCGAGGAGTAGATGTGCAATATTCGTTGCGGGATATTTTAGGTGGTAGCTCCTTCAAGACCTGAAAGACGAAAAAAGTAATGCTGAGATGAGTGCCAACAAAAGGCCCGGTAGTGCGGCAGCCAATTGAATGCTCACTTGATCCTTCTTCCTCCTCAACACAAACGGTTTCATAATCTTCTTTGCGACTCTTATTCGTTCAACAGCTTCAGCACCAGTAGACCTTGTCTGTAGCACTTGCTGAAGAGTTGCAACGTGTTCACCAATATCGGGCATGATGAAGGTCAATAATGACTGAACAAAAAACATTTGGTCAAATCCAATGATGGAATGAAGACACTGCGACAACACGAAGCACTCACCAGAAGCTCCATGAGATTATTTTGTAATGGTGTACCAGTCAGCAGCAAACGTTGCTTGACTTTGAGTCTCATTAGATGTGTGTAGCGATTTGACGTCATATTCTAAGCGATGAACCGAATTAGTATCCAACCAAAGACAACAACACGAAGAGAAATGTTTGGTGTCGAACCTTGACCATATCTGAAGGGGAAGAAAAAAAGATTTGAAAACCTGTGCGAATGGATGACATGATATGACTCCACTTACGTCCTTCGTCAAGTATCATTGACTGAATAGGCAGCTTTTTGAAAAAGCTGCGATCTTCTTTGTTGCTCGATATCAGATTATACGTGGTGAGTATGCAGTCATAGCTGTTAATATCGTCCTTGAATTCACGTTGTTGTGCATAACGTTCATTCTGATTTCCAAAGTATGGGAATACTTGTAAATCAGGACACCACTGCTCGAATTCTCTCATCCAGTTATCTAGCAACGAAGGAATTTAGAATGCTGAATCTCAGCCAAAAAAAGGTTGACAACTTTGCACAAGCATATCTTATTATCCACACGTCTCACCTAACACTGACGAGGGCACGACAATCAATGATAGACCACCTTCTTGCTTCTCCTTTAAAAGGGCGAGCCAGGCAATAACTTGAGCAGTTTTTCCTAAACCCATCTGAGAACGAGTGTGAGGCAAGAAAAACAACCCAGACCAACGCTTCTCATGCAGAAATTTGAATATCCACCTCATCAGCCAAGATTCCTCCAAGACCACTTTTATACAAGAGATATAGCCAATTCACACCAATAAGCTGATAAGACTTTAGTTTCATTAGAGGCGATAGTAACTTCGGTGTCACTAGCTTTGACGACACTTCTTTATCGTCCACTGTGAGAAGAGCCATACCGCCATCAGACTCATCATCATCATCATTCTCTATATCCACATCGTCTGCCTCCATGCTATTGCTAGGTATAGTAGGTGCCTTCCTGGATCTAGTTGGAGACACGACTACATCGTCTTCTTGTGCCCACTTTTCTAATGATGCCGCAAATTCTTTTCCAGTCTTCTCACAGGTGTTAACAAATTGATCGACAGAGTCAAAAGAGTCCATCGTAGTGTTGTATTTATCCAGCAGATGCTTGGACTTCTTTTCAGAAGCCAAGGCCTTTTTCATAGCACGATAACTGGAGAATGGCCGTTCTCGCTGTAGTACGAGTTTAGCAGCATCAACAGAGCAGTTCGTATACTCCATTATATCGTCAATAGAAGCCATGGAAAAGAAGGACAGTGCCTTTTCTTCACGCATGAGCCTTTGTTTTATGGTATCGTCATCGTCCTCCAATTCGTCGTCGTCAACTTCCATATCGTCAGAGTTCACTAGTATAGGTGCTGGTTTGACTGGCAAGGTTTTCTTGGCCGGTTTGACGATTTCAGGAGCTAATGTAGGTGCTGGTTTGACTTGTGCACGGTTCTTGGTTGGTTTAACATAATTGCTTGTTGCTCCATCTGGTACGACGAAAACACTACCAGAGGGTGACGACGCACCAATTCTAGGTGCCTTGCGAAAACGTTTAGATCCTTTACGACCTCGCTGTATTACATCGTCATCATCGTCTTCGTCCTCGGTCTCCTGTATACATAATATTTCGGGCACCTTTGATGCGTCGCCTCCACAAGCGTCCAGAGCATTTTGAATCTCAACCAAGTCGGTATCGGGGAAGGCCTCCATGAGAGAAGCTAGCTGTGCATCGTTATCTATTACTGGTATATCGAATTCTGATGGCGGTACCAAGACATTTGATGGCTCGGCAATAAATAAATCAGCTTGAGCCCGTTGGTACTCTATACCGTCTTCTTCTTCCTCACTAGCTTCATCTGTAGCAGGAGCTAGCACTCTCGGCGGGCTACTTGCAGAAATTGTTGTTACTAAAATTGTCGAAAAAGCTGAATGAACAGAAAACCATAACCGACTTGCCTGGCACGAGCAGCAACAGCATACACTTCAGTTTGGCGGCTAGTGGTGGATTGTGGCTGCCCGATACTGGTAAATGTTTGTGGAGGTTTACTACTACTATCAGCAGGTGCAAAGTATGGCGAGGTGCTAATGACACTTGGTTTGATCGAAAGACTATCTATACTTTTAGCATCACTTTTACTATTCTCAGCACCAGCACAGCCCGATTCCTTCTTCATCTCAGGCACGACTTCATGTGATGAAGATGGCGTCGACTTTTCAGACTGCGGCTTGTGCTTTTCAGGCGATCCTCTGACAACCCATTTCTCACCAAAAGGATCATCATTAATATCATCAGAGAATGATTTTAAAGGCCTTTTCGTAGGTTTCATTGCCTTTTTGATCTTGGGAGTGCCATGAGGACCTTGAGGAGGAGTTTCAGAGGCTTTAGCGTTGCCCTTCTTGATGCTAAAGCCTGATCCCGAGCTACTCGAAGCTACGCCCAGTGGAATGACTATGGATAAATCTATGGCAGTATTCCGACTGCCAACAGTGTCTGTCCTATGTAGTTTTTTAGCAGGTTGATTGTGATCAGAGGCATCCAACGGCCTCTTGTTCGGTGGTTGGTCGGCCATGATTTCCAAAAAGATGAATAAGTTATGTATTATAGATAAGTATGAGGAATGATCTCGTCGATAGATTATATCAAATGTCGACGAGAATCTGATGATGTTTGTGGAATAGGTATTTTGGAAGGAACGAGTGAGTAAAGGAGTTCGAAACGGCGCTGAAGCATGTCACGAGCAAGCTACTTGAGCTACTGTACCTCGATTAGCTTGCCTCGACCAGAGTGCGATGTTTGCTTTCCTTTTATATAGAGCGTCTTGTGGTACTTGTTTGGTGAGGATTGCAACTAGTTCGCCAGCTTACATATGTATATACAGATAGGAATATCAGATCTAGCTGCAATCGCTCTTACTGCTTCGTCAAGAGCTCCGAAAGGATGTTGCAAAATGGTCAAAAGTAGCTCGATGATGTGAGAAAGAATCAAGAAATATAGCTACTTGTAACGCGTCACGCATTAAATGAATATATTTATATAATATTTCGACGCGTAATGACCTACTCTCTTTCTGTTCAAAGCGTGTAGCTCATCCAACCAAACATCATGTGGAAGCTTTAATGTTAATTTGAATTCTCTGACAAGACGACGCTATGTCTCGAAGGACCATCTCTGTCATCAGCAGCGACAGTATCGCCGACCGCTCTGCCGAAGTCTACATGGCTGGAATCGATGCCCTTTCCCAAGTGTCCTCATCTCCAACAAAACAGTATCGATTTGGTAGACAGGACGACACTGATGACGACGAAGACGAAGACGACGATGACGGTCGTCCCATCATAGATCTAGATGCTGCTCGGCCTAATTCTGCTCGTCAGTTTGGACTCGGCATGGAAGAGGCAAACAATGGAAATCACAGTCGAGCCAGCAGTCGAGGTGCTAGTGGATCGTCTCTGCTGCAATTGATGTCTTCAAGTCCAACTAAGGGAAAAGGCGCCTTCTCAAAGAGGTACGGAATGGTTGTCGGGTTATGTTTGGACGACTTCAAACAGCGCAACTCTCTCCTTCGACCTAGAACTGGATATATCAATGGAGTCGAAGTCAGGAATCGAGGTATACATCACAAACCTATTGCCCCCTTCATTCATCAAGTCAGATCTCGCATCCTGACTCTGGAACTTTTATAGATCAAATACCATCAGCGTCAACTTTAGCCATGCTCGAATCCCGCTTCCATAGCTTGCAGATATCGCAAGCAGATCTCGCATTCGCTCCAATAGATGTCGTATTCAGCTCGGCTGATGGAATGAGAATGTTGGAAGCTGATCTCCTCAGGTTAATACAGTCTTCAGAAGACACAACTTTGAAGGCTAAAGCTGATGCTCTCTTGGCAAGTGTCTTGCAAGAAGCTGATATGTATGAAGCAGCTTTGAAAGCACAAGGTGAGTATCAAACTGTGTTCGTCAACGACAAGTTTAATTGTCAAGGACACAAAATCCGAGGTCTGAGTCACTTTTTTTGTCACCATTAGATATGGACGAACCCTCCAGACAGAAAGTGCTGCGGCATTTTCCATCAACATCAGATATTTTACCATACAGCACATCAAGACATCTATCTAGAACTCCATCCACTGTAAGAATGGTATTTCCTTAACCTTATTTTTGCGCAACATTCTCACGGTCTTTTGGCGTCTAAGGATACCCTAGCATCTCGCATATCCACCACGAGTACAATAAGACAAGTAGCACCATCAATAGCATCATCTGTAAAACCCCGTGTGCCTCTACGAGATCAAATATCGCCACGACCACCATCAGTAGCCACGCAATCATCTGCAAACTATACCGATTCGTCTTTTCCAGCTCAAAGTAATACAAGCGGTTCTGGAAGAACACCACCAGGTCCAAATGATGTCTTTCAATGGACTCCATTTAGCAAGATTTCAGATCATGTCTGCGCTGAATCGATACAGGCTACTGTTGGTATACCGTCTGTGATAGCCGTGAGCAAAGGTGTTTGGCAATCCAGTGAATGACACCTTCTGATTTTTGGCCTCTGATAGGTGTCTGGGTGGATAGTCATTGGAACGTCTCGTTCAGCACTCTTGGTGTATGATTTAGCTCAAACGCTACATTCAGTGCTGGGAGACAATCAATCAAGTAAAGACCTCTCGATTGTAAAACGCATAACCTTCTGTTTGACGTCCCTGATTTGTTTGTTTACTCTTTCTTAGTGGAATATGGAGCAGTCACATCACTATCAATATCTTCAGATCAATCAACAGTAGCAGCCGGTTATGGAGCTGGATTTGTAGTAGTTTGGGACATACAGAGACGGATAGTCATGAGAGTGCTACCACCTGTGCAGAGATTAGATGGTAGAAAGGATGGACACATGCCAGGTGCTTCCATAATTCACGTTGGATTTGTTGGAGGAAGCAAAGCAGAACTTGTTTCTGCTGACAACCAGGTAAATCCATGAATGCTATATATGTGGTCGAAATTGGTGAATGCTAATTGTATTGTCATCAATGCAGGGTGCTGCTTTTTTGCACATCTTTTCAAAAATGGTCTTGGTAAATACAGTCACTTCTGTCAGGATACATGGAAGACCAGATGCTCTAGGACGGCCCATCGTCCCCTCCACAATATATGCTATGACAGCCATGTCATCGTCCAAACATATTCTTGAGCAACATGGATTGATTGCCTTGTCAACACCATACAAGGTATTCACTGTCTTTCTTCGATTTTTTTTGCTATTTTCAAAACCCTCACGTTTTATGTTTTCTCAAAGATGGCAGTTCTCACTACTCGACCCGTCCCTCAAATCCTCTTCAAATTGTCATGGACGCCAGAAGAGGAGAGGACTACTAGTGCCTCATTAGCTGCAAAACAAGCTGTGCCTTGTGCTTGTTTGGCGTGGAGTCCACTAGTAGCTTCGTCGTCGCAGCTACCAGGTCGACCTGTCACAGATGCATTACATTTGGCTGCTTCCTCAGGCTTCAAATTGTATGTAATGAGAGTCACTGCATCCAGGACACGAACTCTCGATAGTAGAAGAGCCACAGAGACGTCCCTAATATTACCGCAATTCGTAGTCTTGGGTGAATGGCTTGGACCAGAGAATATAGTTGCAATCCAATGGCTCAATCCTCAGGTATGAATTAGTACTCAAGTTATGTTGCTTTTTTTGCTGTGCGTTGTTGAGTTAGCAATTCTTTGCTGATCACTTCGTTTTCCTAAACTCTAGTTGGTGTTGCTCATGACGAACCATCAAGACCTAATTGTGTTCGATATTGCCACCATGCAAGCTGTAGAACGAAGTACAGTCCATCCAAGAAAAGTAGTAACACACGACTACTTTTCCAAAGCATTAGCCTTCTCAGAGTTGGCATGCTATTCCAGCATTCGAATGTTTAAGGGACGGATATTTGTTTTGGTAAGCAGCGTATATTTGCCAAGGACGAGCCCGTTTTTTTTAGCTCGTTAACATTTTGGTACATGTTTAGGGACAAGAAGACGTATCAATGATCCAACTAGTAAAATGGTCCGATCGTCTCAATTCATTGGCTCGAACTGGAAACTTTACAGAAGCCCTAGCTTTAGGATGTGACTTTTACTCTGGCAGTTATCGCAGGGCGGCGGGATCCTTACCTGCTGACGACGCTGAACGACGTAGACAGGTCTCTTCCCAAGTAAAGGATTTGCTGACCACATATGTAGATATGTCTCTGCATTCATATGAACCTCATCAGGAAGACGGCTCCTCATACAAACACCTCGCTACAGTGTGCTTTGAGACCTGTATAGCAGTCAATCGACAAGATTTCCTCCTAACTGAAATCTTTGAGAAATTCTCGGATGCTGATCTGGAAGGTGTATACTTTGAAATGCTGGAGGATTATGCTACTCGGGAACGACTGACAAATGTCAGTCATCCTGCCGTGATTAAAGCATTTATAGAATATTATAAATCGAAAGGATGGCTTGCACGAGCTGAACAAGTTATATTCCAACTCGACCCATCCAGTATCGATGTACATGGTGTGCTCAAACTATGTAAAGCATCAGGACTGTATAATGCCTTGATATTTGTCTATAATCGAGCACTAAAGGATTATATAAGCCCAATTGTGGAGATCTTGACGATATTAGCAGAGAATGAAAAGACGGCAGGAAAACGCCCCTCTACTTCAAACACTGAATCTGCTAATGGCGATGTCGGTGGATGGGCAGAATCTGCACGAGAAGACGCCACATATGCCCTGTATGTATATTTAGCATATGTATTGACAGGAAAGGCCTTCCCTGTTGGTATACTACCACCCAAGGAAGCACTCAAGGCCAAAACGGACGTATACAACTTTTTATTCTCCCTATATCACGCATTCTGGCCACCAGAAGGAGTCTCTGTCGAAGCAACCCTATTACGACTAGGAGATCCACCATTCCCATACGTCCGTTTATTATTCCGACACGATCCACGAGAGTTCCTTAAATTTATTGGTCAAGCATTTGAGGATCCGAGTCTGGAAGGTGAAATACCAGCCAAAGATATTTTTGGACTGAATAGACCAGGTGGATATCATGTACGTGATGAAGTATCCCGGCAGTCGGTAGCTGATACGTTGCTCTTGATTGTGGAAGATGATGTCTTGACGGCTGATAAAGTCGCTGTATATGCCTTCCTTGCACGTAATTACGCTCGGTATACCACCTTTCTAGCATTTCCTGACGACGTGTTAAAAGCTATGGTGACGGATTTATCCATGTATAAGGACGATGGATCTCGGAATGAACGACAGAATGCCGTTATGGTCCTGCTCGAACGATGGAAGTATAGCAAGACCAGTGCCTTCCTGATCATGTTTGAAGAGGCTGGGTTTTGGAAGATATGTGAAGCTCAGTATCGACAGGACGAGCAGTATGATAAAGTATTGGATTGCTATCTGAATGATTCAGTACGAACCGCTGAATCATTCATGTGTATACGAGAACTCTTGTCGGATAAAAGTATCTTGTATTCCGATCGGATGGCCGTGAGGTCTAAAGTCATGTCGTCCTTGGTACAGCTAGTCCAGATAGATGCGGAGAAGACTGCTGAGATTATATCACAGTTCTTTCCGGATGCTCATTCTGGTGTAATTAGTCAGTTGGCTGCTGCATCTAGTAGTGGTCATGTGGAGTATGAGTGGATGTACTTGCGTGGATTGTTAGTACCTCAGAGACCATCACTAATTAGAAATGAGACTATGAAACTGCCTACAGAGATATATGAACGATATGTAGAACTCTTGGCAGTACGGAATTCCGAATCAGTGCTCCCATATCTTATTCATGTGACTGATGAATCAGAAGGGTATCCTTTTGATTTACAGCGCATGTTTCAAGCATGTAGATCCCATAATATCACAGAAGCTGCCGTCTGGATATTAGAACGTAGTGGTGATATACATGGAGCATTAAGTATCCTGCTAGAAGGACTCAAAGAATCATCACAGGAAGCCGTGTATAAGGAAATCCAAGCTGCTAAAAGTGCAGCTGCCCGACAAGATGATAATCCTGTAGGTAGCCGAAGTAGTGGACATAGCATGCGAGAGTCATCTGTGTCTCCTGAACGAGGTGCTATAGTGACTGAAGATCGTCGCTTACGAATGGAGGCTCGTCGAGCACTGAGTAAAGCTCAGGATAGTGTAGAAGCCGCTACTGAGTTGTGTAGACGTGCTGCTACGAGACTGACGAGACCTGATCGTGAAGGATTGTGGTTTCAGCTGCTGGACGTGGCAGTCCAGCCTCAGCAGTTGTTACTGAAACATGATGGTGATGAAGTCAAACACGAAGCATCAGTTAAGCCACCAAAAAACGATGCAAGTCATAAACGCATGCTGGAATCATTCAAAGCTCTATCTCGAGCCGTCATGTCTGGAATGATTGGACAGGTCGCACTACAGGCTATACTACGTCGTCTGGTTGTTGCGCAGCCACAAGTACCACTAGGAGAACACCGAGCACTTCTAGAAGAAATGCTGGCTGGTCACATCCATGAACGTGAAACACTCGTAATCGCCGGTCGTATCGCAGCATCAGATGTCGACACGTTGGAACAACAAGTTGTTTCATTGCGTGTTGGTGGGATACGGCCGTCACGAGCTACATGTGGCATTTGTAAGAAACTTTTGGGTGTCTCTTCATCATCATCGAATGTGATGCATCAACACAATCCAGACAATATCTTGGTGTATAAATGTCGCCATGCCTACCATGAGACGTGTATGAAGGATGTATGGGTGATGGATGTTGATGTGGAGTGTGTCTTGTGTCGAAATCCAGCTGGGGTTTTACGGAAGAAGAGTGATTTCTTGTCGAGGTTGCCGTCTCCTATAGCGTCTCCTGATCGTGGGAAAGGGAAGGAGAAGGTATGAGTGATGGTGTGCTAAAATGTTTGACCAATACGTTTTTTTGTTGACTTGGGTATTTTCTTATAGGCATCAGAAGAAGATGAGACAGCTGAAGGAATGATATCCAAAGAAATGCTAGTTAGAGTAGAAGCCTTGACGAGGTTTCACTCTGTTAGTAGGACTACTCCTACGGTACGCATACAATTGCAAGGCTTGGGACAAAACTGTTGATTCAAGTCGGTCAGTACTTGGCTTACATCTTCTCACCCTCACAATAGGCTGAACTTCTCACCGTCCTATCACCAAACGAGCGGGTATACGACCTCGATGATGAAACATCACTGTTCGCTGCTGCTGCAACTACAGCAGTATTCAGCAATTCACAGAGTTTTATTGAAGAAGACTCGCAGCATGATGATCGACCGTCTCTGCCAGCGATACTTTCGAAAACACGTATGAGGCATCAGCTTTTATTGTCTCCGCCACATCTACCTGCGGTTGATACCGCATGATAATTCTGATACAGCTAGCGCCTTTTTTGTATATTACAACACACGCACTATATAAACGCATACATAACATGTATATCTGAATTCAATTCTGCTGAAATGTTGACCTGCCCACGAGCAACTTTACAGGCCATCAACACCTTTGCGACATCGAAATTTGGCCCTAGCCATCCGTTTCTCCTCCAATCACTTAGTCAGTTGAAACCACACAGTATGCCGATCCTGCTGTGTTGGCTAAGAGTTTCGTTTGGATTCTTGCGACGCAAAAAAACCCTGGACCAATACGTTCGCAATACATTCGCAGTATAGATCTGCTCAAGCAATTCACCTCTATTTGCAAACTTCCCAATTAAAAGGAAAGGTTTAAACCCCCCGCAACAAATATTTCTTTTATACAAATTTTATGCCCTTCCCGTTTTTACCGTTCTACTTCCATAGCATTATTAGCTGATGACAATGAAGATGAGGATGCCATAATAGCCTGTTCAGGTTGTGTTGTAGCTGCTGGTGCTGGTGTTACTATTTCGGTTGTAGCTGTCAATGTTGCCGTTACGGGTGCAATAGCAATAACAATCTTATTTTTCATCTTGTTGTTGTTACTATTATTTTTGCTGCCACCATCCTTCAGAGCAAGCTCATCTCGTATCTTCCAATAGCAAGTATGACAAACTCGCTTGCCACTAGGTATCGGTCCATCAGGTCGATACTCGATTAAATCAGAGCCTGGGTTTAGAGCTTCTTCTTCCATCCACCATATGGGACTGATGCCCGTCTCACATCTAATACATGTACGTCTACCTCCTACCGGATCTGGTGCTGATACTCCCATCGTTATGGGGATGGGTGGTGGTAGACTCTCTATAGCTGGTGTGGCCTGCGATGTAGTTGACGGTTCTGTTCCGTTGCTGTTCACGTTGTTGTGGGTATGTGGTCCAGTAACCAAGTGACATGTACATTGCGCTCGAACTGCGGATGCCAGAGCACGTCGCTGTCCTAGTGTTCCTTCGGATTTACCTCCTTTATTGGCCATGACGTACTCTTTGAGCATCGTCGAGCGAGTTTCTGGAGGTGCATTAGCATTATACGGTAGTGTGGGTAGCGTCGATGATGGTAGTGAGAAATTCTAATGAAAAAGCAAGAGCGTGAGATTTAACGTTTGCTGGTGCGAAAAACATTTCTATAAGATCATTCAAGCATGGAACTTACAATGTAAGGATTCCTTCGATGCTCATTACAATAGACTTCAGCATGCAGCTGACGTTTAGTAACAGGTGCCGTACCACCATTAGCAGCTCGACGTTCCTCTTCAAACGTCAAGTCAAATCCAGCAATTTGACCACACGTTACATGAAACGACTTTGTACATCCAGGTTCAAAGCATGTCACGCATGTTCCATAATGCTGATGACAAATCACACAAGGCTACAGTGAAAAAGTAAGGTTTGATAAGTAAATTGTAAAGGAGAAAAAAAAGAGACCATTAAATCTGATGCATACCTGATTCCAACGGCTCCTATCAACCAACCCAACACCCTCAATAGGTTCCATAGCCACCAAATTGGAAAACCGCACCTCAGGAGTCCAGACAGCACAAGCAACATGCACCCAATTCTTTCCAATCGTCTTCTTGATTGCACAATCGAATGCATTCAATTGTGTTGGGCACATGACACATGTATAGTTCAGAGATGAATCTGGATTGGCATTATTCATACATCGAGAACATGCCCATCTTTGTAATGCTGGGACTATATGATTGTCTGGTATACCGTAGCATGCTGTGTTGAAAGATGACGAGACAGTTAGTAAGTATCAATTTATGGCGCTTACTGTTTTTTTGTGTTTAAGTGTGAGATAACACTTACAAGGATGAACTCGAAGATGACACTTTATACAAGCCACCAAAGGATTATTTGGATGATTGCTCCATTCTCGACATACACCACATGGCACTGGCTGAGCTGGTGGTGGATCTGTTGGTTCTTCCAATACACTATCTGGTACAAGCGATATGGGTTTAGGTGGCTCAACCTAATAACGAAAAGCGTTTTTGTCGGTAAAGCTCTAAAAAATCAAGTCTCACAGAATTCTTCTTTTTTATACCTTCGCAGGTGGCGGTTTAGGTTTCTTTACAGTAATCTTTGGTATAGCTGGCATTGGCGGTGCTGCTTGTTGTTGCTGTTGTACTGGCTGTAGAGGTTCGTCTTCCCGTTTTCGTTTCGGTGTGGGTGCTTGTATTGGTTTGATTATTATGGCCGGTAGAGGTTTGGGTGCTGGTGCATCTGTCGTAAAAAGTAAAAAAAGTTGGCAAAAACAAAAACGTAGAGCCCTACCACCAAGTGATTGACACTCACATTTCTCTCGATTATGCTTCTTTACAGTCTCAGTCACAGGACGAGTGCCAGCATATTTCAACCAGTAGTCTGTACATTCAGAGCACATCATTTCACTTCGACCATACAATTGTCGAACCCTCCACTTCATTGATTTATGAGTGAGGCAGTTGGAGCACTCCCTGAGTTTTCGTGCTGCCCTTTTCTCGTCGTCATCGTCTGAATCGGATACAGAGAGTTCAGACAAGTCACTTGACCCTTCACTGGATGCGTCTGCTCTGTCTTCTTCTTCAACCTCTGAGGGTGGTACTCGTCTTTGCAAGTCCTTGAATACTTTGCTAATAGTCAGAAAGAATAGCGTCGAGTGATCATGTGAGACAGGAGTCCTAGATAATTACAGTCAAGGTTTTTTTGCTTACCCAGGACGATACTTTTCACAGAATTGAGAGTACACTGGTCGATATCGTTCAGACTACAGAGTGGAAAGAATGGTCTCAGGCCCATTTGGGATAAGTTTCCAAACAATATTAAAAATCATCTCATACCCTCTTCCATTTGTAGAAAAAAATCACCACCTCCTTCATGGTCTTTGTCCAAACCTTTAAAATGAAAAGTGGCAGTTAGAAGAGGAAAAAATGTCCCTCAAAAGCCATTATAGACGTGTCCAGTAACTAAACCACATACCTCTTTCTGAATCCAATGCAAGTCATGTCCATATTTCACAATCCCATCCTCAAACTTTTTAACTTCTTCCTCAGACCAATCTGCAACTCGCACATCAGCCAATGTCAACTTTGACATGATTTTGAGTGCATCCTTGGGTATCCAGTTGCTACGATGAAGGACTTCCAGGGCTCGATCTGCTACATCCATTGATTTTGGATGGATGGCATCCGGCGATGCTGGGTCTGTGGATTTTGGAAAGAGTTTGACGGCTTCTTGTAGATATGTGTCCACTATCGTCCCGGATGAGAAAAGAATGTCAGACAAAGTCCGAGCAAAAACCAAAGCACGACCAAGTCAAAAGACACCCACATTCATCTGAAGGTAACTTGTCTGGCATGAATATCCTCACATCGGATATCCCTCTCTCTACTGTTGAATCGACGTCATCTGTTTTGCATGCAAAAATGGAAATCATAGTGAGTCGACAGAACGCAACATCCTTCTAAACAACCAAGAACAGCAATCCTATTTAAAGCACTACCTTGCATGACCTTCTTTGGTGCCTGCTTTTTCCTCCGATATCCACCACGTTGAGGTGCTGAACGTGATGTCTCTTCTTCAGTTTCAGCCTCGTCACCAAAAGTTGGTATTTCAGCTTGATATCCTTTACCAACTCTCGATCGAGCTTTTGGAAAGCCTTTGTCTTGTTCATCGTCTATTTGGTCAAAAATGATAAGAACGCCGAGAGGAAAAACCCCCAAACAAAAATATGAAATAGATTGTGGACCCCCTATAGAAGAATGAGTTTCTTACCATCAGTTGCTTCTAACCGACTATAATCACCAAGATAATGAAATGGCCATATATGTTTGTATGGTGTGACTGGTTTCTTGGGTGTCGATGATGTTGACGTCGCGGCTATCATATTCATTATGTCAGTTAACCAATCCGAGCAAAAAAAAAAAAAAAACTGAACGACGGTACAATCAATACCATTGGCAGGCAACATATACTCTGCGGTATCAAGATGATTCGACAATCCATTCCTCAATACCGGTGACGCCGGCACTGACGAAGCAGCAGATGTACTCGTCACTGTCGTAACAGTGTCATCTGTAGCATTCCCCGAAACACTACCGTTCTTGGCAAGCTTGGCAGCTCTCAGACATTTATGACATTGCCAAGCAAAACCTTTAGGCAATTTACGTTCCATTTCGAGACAGACCAAGTGGTATGATTCACCACAATGAGCACATCGTATGCAATCGGATGTCTCACACCATTTGGAGCATGCTTGACATGCTCTTCGGTCGGTGAAGAAGTTTGCTTTGCCTGCTTCTACTAGGATGTATGGTACGTCGATGAGTTTTTCTTGTACAGATGGAGGTAGGTGTTGGCACTCTTCGACGGGTACGACATCGTATAATCTATGTGTGTATCGATCATATAGCTAATAATAGAAATTAAGATACGCATGTTAATAAAGCTGCTGTGATGTTTGTGCAAAGTGCCAGTCCAACATCACAGGATGTTTACCTGATGGAAATAAAAGCAATCGTCCTGAGCCTTGAACTTTTCCAAATCGGGTATATGATTTAAATGTCGTATTTGGCATATTCCGCGAATGGAGGCGACAGGATTCAAGTCAGAGTGCTGACTTGCAACCAGCAACTTTGCATCATAGTGCTTTCTTCTTCCACCGAATATAACGTCCCGAGGACGATAAAACCATCTGTGGATGTTGTGATTCATGTTAATATGGATGCGGCTGTCATCATCTCGCATCAAAGAGTATGGCAACATACCCGACTCGAACCATCATGGCGTTTGAGGCCTTGGCTTGCACAAACTCCATGATGCGACCCGTCAAGAAGCTAAGTAAGAGAATATGCCTGTAAGTTGAAGCTTGACAAAGGAAGCCATTCATCAATTGCAAGCTTACGGTTCCTGAGGTAGTTCGCTTGCCAAATAGACATGGTCTGTGAAAACAAGGACGAGGCAACATAAGCTACGACAGCATATGTAAACAAGACAAGGAATGCAAATATGAGTAGTAAATACCATTGACTCTATAATTCTCTCCATTCCTGGTGGTTACTTCCAAGATTGGCTTGCTTTCGTCGTTGTCGTTTGCAAGAGCAGCACTTGCACTTGATGACGAGATGTTTCCTTCTTCTTCCAGTGGTTTTAGAGCAGGAGCATCCTCCATGACGGAATCCATGCTTGCAAGAGTGACTCCTCCAACTCGATATGCCCTCGGAGCAATATGTCCAAGTCTTCGCTTGATGTCTTTGATTATAAAAAAATGTTGGTATTGAATGTTCAAGTTAATGAGCGTTGAACCTGGAAGACGACACGCTGCATAGGAGTACATAGCCTGAATTCAGCTCTCCTCCATTACTATATATCCATTGCTTACTTTCCCTCGACGTGAATCGCTCCCTCGTCACAAATCGTCACTAAATTCAAACAAGACTGTGTACTTTCACATAAGCTACTATTAATCTGTATGTATTTATAGAGTTCTGTATTTATTACAAGCCAGTTCCCTTATTGACCATGTACAATCTTACTAAGCTTCCTCCTTGATCATCACAAACAGTTGACATCAAACAATACTCTCCTTATTAGAAATCCAATCAGGACATTACCCAACAATGAAAACCGATCTCGTAATAGGCATATTGGTCTGTGACTGGCCACGCCAAGACGTCGTAGACGAAATCGGAGGCTACGATATCGCATTCGACAGATTCCTACACAGGGCAACAGACTCTTACAACGACGAATCAAAAGACATGGACTCTGTAACAATCAAGAACGTGATTTTTGATTGTACAAGGGGAGAACTACCGGCGGATGCATCACAATTCGATGCGTTTATAATGACTGGATCAAGTAAGCAAAGAACCAACTGGACGAACGCGAACCCATGAAGCTTCTTTAACTCCCAACTCTCAACTTCTTGTATAGAGTACAGTGCATACGATCCTGATGAGTGGATCAAGAAACTGATTGGTTTCGTGGCTGCTACCGTACAAGACCTACCCACGACGAAATGGCTCGGTGTGTGCTTTGGGCAGCAGATACTAGCTCAAGCTCTGGGTGGAAAAGGTATGTTGGAAATGATGAATATGGTGGTTGATCCATTTTGAGGTGCTTACAGATCTTTTTGCCTCCACAGTTGAAAAGAATCCTGAAGGATGGGAGGTGAGACTGAATCCACTAGATAACGAAGCCAGGTTTGTTTCAACATGCTCTTACGAAACATAGGCTGGTTGGGCATATGCAGCATTCACAGAGGAAGGATCAAGCATTCTACGGACGTCGAAACCTCATTTTGTAGGATGATGGGCTTTTTTTGTCAGTAGACCACTTGGATCTAACATCTCGATTCTCCCTCTTTCTGCTAGGCTCTTCAGTATTCGCATCAGGTTAGCAACTGTCACCAAGAAAAATGAATTGCAAATCACTAGTAAAACACTGCTAGAAAACCCCACACTGGAATTGTTTGTATAGGACCACGTCTCTTTACTACCACCAGGATTCAAAATTCTCGCATCAAATTCCATATGTCCTGTGGAAGCAATGTGTAAGGATGACAAGATACTTGCAGTGCAAGGTCATCCTGAGGTATGTAGCAAGTGTTTGGAAGTTATCCAAACATTGACTATCATTTTCAGACCCTTTTTTTCTGTTGACATTCTCCCTCTTACCTCCGTGATCTAGTTCACACCAAACGTCCTACGATGCATCCTAAAATACAGGCACTCAATCGGGATCTTTACAGACGAGTTCTACAACAAGTCACTCTCCACTATTGATAAACCGCTGGACAGTCTATGGATGGGACGTAAATTTATAGGATTTCTGGTTGGGAATATACTCGAAGAGTGAAAGAACATGTAGCATTGTAATGGTAATCTTGGAATAGAGACGTGAAATACAACCTCATCTTAGAAACAGACGTCACTGATGTAGTATTTGAGAACTTTGGTTTATTTCCTTTGAAACAATTACACAACGAATCGTTTACAACTTTACAACTTTTCGACCAATCTCAGATGTAAGCAGGTAGCACCGGTTCATGTTTCTGCATTGCAAAGTCTGACAAGGAGTTTTTTTGCTAAGGTCTTCATGCTGGACAAAATGTACAACAAATGAGCTCAATTAAATATATCAAACCACAATATGGTGTTCAGCCCCACAAGAACACACCGTCTTTGCTTCCAGTCGTTCAATCTTGTCCTCCAGGTCAATTGTACAAGGAAACAATAATATTTTTGATTGATTGCAAATCACTATACTTTTTATATTATACAAACTGTTGCGTCCAGCATTTTACCGATGAGTTTTAAGATGTGTCTTCAGCTTTGGCAAATCTGGTGACACTTTTCCACAAGTTGGGCACCGGAAGGCACCGTTTTTGATGATGTCTTCGTACTCGGCCTTGTTGTACTGGAAGAAAGGGAGAAAAAAGTCATTATTACTCAATCCAGATACATGGGTAACAACGACATGGTGTTTGAACACTCACATGAACACGCCCCTTTGCTTCCAATAACTCAACGACCTCCTGCATATTAGTAAAAACAATTCAGTTTCATCAAAAGTATCCAAAAACCACTTGGGAAACCAACCTCCACACTCTTGAAAAACGAGCTATTAAACGACACCCAATGCTTGCGATGCTTCAACTTATCCGACACGAAATCCTGGCTTATGACATGTAAATGCAGCTGTTTCATAGACGGGATAGCATGGAATCCCATCTTGAAATCAGCAGCCTTTGGGTCTTCGACCTTGATAGAGTCCGCAATTTCTTTCCCTTTAGCTTCCATTTCGTGGAGAAGAGGGATATGGGATGGCTTTAAGGATGCGAGGCCATCCATTGGTACTCGAGGCATTACCAGGAAATGATATTTGGCCTGTGAGAGACGAAACAAAAAGAGGACGACGTGTTAAGTGAATACTGGGAGCTCACAGAGCCATAACTCGTGCTGAAACAGAAGAAATTACCTTTGGATATCCATCACGCATGACAGATATATCATCGTCATAGTATACGATTTCGTTAGGATACTTTTCAGGATTTTTAGCGTATTTCAGGAGGGCGTCAGACCAGGCACCTCCTCCTGAACTGCTGGAGCCACCCACGGCTGGTACTGGTGGTGATTGTGGTAGTACCTTTAACGGTGGGCTATCAACCTCCATTTGTACTATTAATTGATATCCCAAAACGTTAGCGACTTTTCATAAAATCAGAAAGCTCCTTTTTTGCCGGCTACCCAACCAGATTCCTCACCAGACTTTCGAGCTTCCTCTTCAACTCGTGACTTTATCCCTCCGACCTGCGCAAACACCCCAAACAAATTCCTATACGTTTCACCCAACACCCTCAACGCCTCTACCTCATCTTCTATAGGATCCGGTTTTTCCAGATTCATGTTTGGTGGACAAACAATCAACACCTTTGATACTCCTTCTTGAGCACACAAAGGAACATGGTTTGCAAGTGGCACAGAATACGCTTGTCCAGTGTTTATCGTAGTGGGCAAGGTCTCCCGTACCGAGTGGGATAATAGCGCAGGTACTTTTGACGATATTGCGATACTTGCAGCAAATGTCGGCTTGTATGCCCAGTTTACTTGCATGGCGACATGGCTACATGGGTGGGTAAATGTGAATAAATCGGATTTAGATCTTCAAGGATCAAAAAAAAAACGGCTGAAAACCAAACCTCCATTGCCCACCTTGCGACACAATCATGACCACTCTTCAGACTGGAGATATCACCAACAAGTGTTCTGAATCTCGGATTTTTAGCGACAGCCTGTAACAAAAAGAGGGAAATACATCGAGTAAAGCAAATTACATGATTTGCAAAAACACATCACATACCTGATCATACGCAGCTGCGACACTGGCATCAGAATCCACAAGCACTAGCTCTCCTCCACCATAAGTCGACAAGAATTTCTCAATCTCCATAGCAGCCACTGGAGCGGCCTTTTCCAAGTTGATTCCGTATTCCAGGGTAGATAGTGATGGGAATGCTAATCGTAGTACTATAGCAATGTCGATGCGGATTGTTTTGTTAGTGAAAAATCACCCCAGGCATCAAAATCCTCTACCTTGATCAGAAGCAGATTGCTGATTCTCATCATCAACGTCGTCATCACGTTGATTTGTATACTCTTGAACATGTGGTGAAGCGGATGATGACGCTGCTGTTGATGGTACTGTTGGTTTTGGTGCTGATGAAGATGTGGACTTCTTCACAGGAGAAGCTGCTGATACCGAAGCGACACGAGGAGTGCGCACTGGCGGCGATGGTGCACGAGGTGGGTTTGGTAATCGTTGGCGTGGAACTGTGTTTACCAATGGAGTTACGGGTGCAGCTGCTGCTGCCGCTGCCGCTGCTGTTGGTTGAGACCGAGTGGGCGATGATGCTGCTGTTGGTTGAGGAGTACCAGACGACGAATGCCCTCCTGTATTTGCAACTTGAACTTGACTATTACTATTACTATTCGACGGTTTTGGAACATCTTTGCGCCAAGGATGTGAATATTCAGCAAAATGTGCTGGATTTTTACGAAAGCACTTTGTACCCCATTGACACACTGGTAGATCATCAATCGGTGGGGGCTGCTGCGTATCTGGCAGTGTGTGTTGATTATGTGCGTTGTCGTGGTCTTCATCCTCCTCGTCCAGAATTCTTCGGACTCGTTTACTAGCAGAGGGGGGAGGATCTGACGACGCTGCATCAGGAGAGTTTCTTTTATTGCTAGAGAGGTGCAATGTGAGTGACTGCTGCGACACGAAGCTTCCAATAACATCACTGTAGGCTGTTTTGACACAGGACAGTTCACGCAACTGACCTGGACTCGATGATGACATCCAGTTCGCCCTCATTTGCAAGCACATAGAGCTTGTCACCGTGATGAATCTCAACCTTGACATTCTTGTCGAGGACGATGTGTTGGGTTGTGCCAGCCGGCTGAAGGAAGGATGGATTGCCTCCTACCTAAATATATAAAGAAGACAATGAATATAAGAGTGATCATATAAAAACAGTATGCCACTCAACTCTTTCGACAAACAGCTTGTCATCAACAATGGATATTTCCAGATGTTCCTTGGAGCACTTTTGAGTATTGATGCCCAGCAGCGTCTTTCTGCCAATGCATAGAGCGGCGTCCTGGTCCACTTTAATACGTTCATTGTTGCTGTTGCTTATAAAAGCTCGCATCGCTGTTGCTGCTTGAAAGTGCTTGCAAGTTCAAAAGCTTTGCGGGTTTTGACTTCACTGTACAGGCTTCCAGAGACATTATAAACGTGCTGTAACGCGGTTTTAAGACTAATTAATACACCGCGTACTTCTCTTGATTTGACACGTCCGCTCTTTCCTCTGTTGTCTTAGTCACTGACACGTCGACACCACATTCACTCTTCACAAACCATAAACGACGCAAACAACCGTCAAACCTCCAATTTCAACTCGGAACACTCAAACTCAAAGGTACGTACCCTCATATCCCTTCCCTGCTATTGCAGCTACTCCTTAACCTTGTGCTCTTGCAATGCTTCATCCAACATCTAACAGCACATTTCTCATCTCAGATCATGTCCAAACCCCTCGTCCTCGTCACAGGCGGCTCCGGCTTCGTCGCTTCCTGGATCATTATACACCTCCTCAACGAAAACTACCCCGTCCGCACTACCGTGCGAAGTCTCAAGAAACAACAACATCTCATCTCCATGCTCCAGGCTTCAAAAGCACTCACTTCCGGAACCGACAATCTCACATTCGCAGAAGCTGATCTAATGAAAGACGACGGCTGGGACGCTGCTACAAAGGACTGTGTATATGTAATGCACGTTGCATCACCAATGACGCTGGGCAACGAGGTTGGTGGGGAGGATGCGGTTATTAGACCAGCTGTCGATGGGACGTTGAGGGTGTTAAAGGCTGCAAAGGTACCTGTCAAATATCTCTTGAAAAAGATGCAACACATTATGGACTAGACGTCTCACGCTCCTTGTTTTGTTATTACACACAGGCATCAGGAACAGTAAAACGCGTCATATACACCTCCTCATTCGCAGCCATCGGGTATGGCAAAAACCCAACCAAAACACCCTGGACTGAAAAGAACTGGACCGACCCATCCGACAAATCCCTCTCGGCATACGTCAAATCAAAAGCACTAGCTGAACGTGCCGCATGGGACTGGATCAAAGCCAATGGTGGCGGTATGGAGCTGACTGCAATCAACCCAACAGCTATTCTGGGTCCGTTGATGCCTGGGCAGACTTCTGGTGGTAGGCGCCAACACCTTCTCCAGTTTTTTTTTTTGTTTTGGCAAGACTAAACCATCTCTTCATTAAGGCCATCATATGTTGCAAATCCTCCTCCACGGCACGATGTCCGCCGTCCCAAATATTGATTTCGGCATCGTGGACGTACGCGACGTTGCATCACTCCACGTACTGGCCATGACATCCCCATCCGCAGCCGGTGAACGCTTCCTGGCCATCTCAGGCGGCCCGATCCTCTCCTACCACGATATCGCAATGATGTTGAAGAAGAATCTGAATGCTCAAGAGTCGGTGAAGGTGCCGATGAGGGTGTTGCCGGATTGGGTTATTTGGACGGCAAGTTTCTTCAGTGTGCAGGCAAAGACTGTACTGCCGTTGATGCACAAGTTTAAGGTGGCGAGTAATGAGAAGGCTAGGAGGGTGCTGGGGTGGACGCCGAGAGGGAATGAGGAGGCGATAATGAGTGGGGCGAGGAGCTTGATTGATAATGCTGCTAGTAAGACTATTGCCGCTAAAGTCTAATTACAGTGGTGGTAGACTACTGAGAGTATTGTAGTATCGCTGCAGTTCATGTAGTCTTTAAGTCATCTCCAACATATAAGGATAAAACAAGAGGAAATGCAACGCAGGTTATGGGTTCGACGCACCAACATCTACAAACAACACATCACCAAATAATCTGGTATAAAAGCACCCGACTTCATATATTAAAAATAACAAGCAAAAAGGGTTCTATGTACATTTACATTCCACTCTAAGCTTCCTCTTCAGCATCCCCCTCTTCACCTTCCCCCTCTTCATGTTCCTCCTCCTTTTCAGCTTGAGCTTCTTCAAAGGCCTTTTCTTCTTCAACAGTGGGATCCTTCTTTTCTTCAACAGCTTCTTCTCCCTCCTTGGGTGTCCATTCAGCTTGGACGGGGCCAAGACTTGGTCCAGCAAAGAGTTCTGCGCCTGGTGATAGTGCTTTTATACCATCGCCGACATACAAAGAGCAGAATCGGTCAGAGTGAGCTACAACTAGAGCACCAGGCCAACGGACGGATCGTAGACACACGGGGCGGAAACGGGCTGGTGCTAGACGTGACGTTGCTAGAGATGACCAGGCTGGGTACGTTCCAAATGCTAAGAAAAGGGAAATTTGGTGAGCCAACATTGCGCAGGTCATCCGCTAACATATTGTAAAACTCACTCTCATCGTCAGCCAAATTACGCAATATGGCTGGTCCACTCTCAGGTTCAACTGGCTCCTGCTCTGGTTCTTCAGCAGCATTCTCCTCGTCTCCACCTTCACCTTCTTCCTTTGGTGGATTTGGGTTGGCCCAAGTAGTTCGTCCTTGAGGAAGAATATAAGGGACGTGATGTACCCATTGGTTTGGATCAAGTAATGAAGAGTTGGGTGATCCAGGAAAGTCAGGGTTGATGATGATGGTTGTTGGATCTAAAGGGTGACGGAAAATGGTGTCAAAGTTGGGGGAGGATTGAAAGATTTCTTTGCTTACGATCTGGATCTTCATCAGCAGCTTCCTCTGGATCTGCTGTATAGTATCCTGCAGGACTGGCAACAGTAGCTGCAGAAATACGAGCAATTTGACAACGAAGATATTGGGCTTCACTGCCATCGAATGGTGGATAGCTTACGATCTAAAGACCCAAAAATTTGGATGAGTCCACGTGTACCAAAAAATTACAGAAAAGACAGCTATATGCATTGCTGACCTTGCGCTTCAAGTCTCCAGTCAGGAATTTACGAATTTTACGTGCTGCTTGTAATTTCTCGGGCGATACATCCGGTAAACGTGTCCAAGGACCACCAGCTATTTGAAGAAACATGCGGTGCATCAGTGATTCGCCACTAAATGAGTTTTGAAACGCTAAGCAAAACACTCCGAAGAGATCAAATTACTTACGGTAATGGCATACATAGTAAACATACTTGTTTACACCAACACGTTCCTCCTTACGAAGCGGCGGTACCACTTTCTGTTTCGGCTTTGGCAAGAATTCACCATCATCAGTACCCTCCAAGAACTTGTCATCCTTTTCAGCACCAGGAGACTCAGCATGTTCCGCATCTGTTGGTGACGCAGCTCCAGATTCAGCACGATACATCTGGTTTGCCTGATCACCTTCCTCATCAGGTTCACCTTCCTTGAGTTCACCCTCGATAATAATATAGTTTTTGGATGTACCGAATATCTTGCCCCAGACTCGTACAGACTTGAGAGGACGAGTGTTTACAAAGGAGCGTATTGAAAGGGCTAGTGTCTGGGTATCGGTTTGGGTCCCAAGGGTGAAGCCCGACCATTCCCATAGTGTGGCCAAGTCCATGATGTCTGGGATCTCGCCGGCTTCGGGATTTTCTTCCAAGTCATTCTCTTTTGGCTTTTAGTGAATTTTATACTTGTTGTAAGTAAATGCCTTGTATGTGGTTTGTGATAATGCGAGCATTTACCTTAAAGATCTCGTACTTTTCTTGAGCCAATGCCACAACCTTCGATTCATCTGTGGCAGTCTAGGTACAAAGAGAAATGGTTATGACTACAGATTCAGGGAAACATACCAATGTGTTTATATAAAACATACTCGTAAAGCCGTTGGTGCATTAGGGTTCTCTACTCTGAATTTGGACCTCTTTACTTCAGCGGAAATGTTTTCAATGACATCTAGATATAGACCACGTTCATTTCAGCTACATGAAAGCCACTTAAGTCATATATCACAAAGTACAAACACATACCAACAGGATTACTTGGCCTACGATCCAAAATCTTCATAACAGTCTGCGTCAAATGCTCAAAGATACTACCCTTCTTTCCATCCGACTGCTGTAAATATGCCTTTGCGCGGGCCAATGCTTCCGTTTCCGGTACTTTATTGGCGACATTGAAGAAGGTATCCCTGTCATATACAGCACCATACGGAACTGCATTTGCTTCGTTCGTCGGTCCAGCAGCGGGAGCAGCATCTACAGATGATACAGGTTGCTCAGATGCTATTTTGGATGGTTCTGCAGTTGCATCTCGCGATGGTGCAGATGTTGATGACTGGCGGGCAGCGAGGTTTATTTGGGAGCCAGGGCGACTGGAACGGGATGCTGGTGGTTCTGTAGATGGAGGTACGGGGGTGGCTGCTAGTGCTGCTTGAGATGGTGTCTTTTCCAGCTCGGCCATCTTTCTATAGAATTTAAAAGTGGATTTTTGAGTTTGTGAGTTTAACGAGTTAGATCCTGCGGATAAGACAGGGAGAATGAATAGTTCCAGCACGGTCAAGTAATTAAATGCATCATATAAATATCGTTCATGTCTCACTTACTCTGATCCTAGTGTAGAAAACGTGTGTTTGACGTTGCAAGAAACAAAGAAGAAGTGCATAATGAATTTAGTACACGACAGATTTGCTAGTTAAAGGACGCGTCAAATCGAAGAATCCGCTTGATTTACCATGAAAAGAATCACTATTCTATTAAGTTACGTGAAGTGCAAATGATTATTACTACTATTATACAGCTTCCTTGCCCTAGTATTGACAATGCCCATACCACCTCGGTACAGGAATCAAGTCACGTACATGACTCATTCCCGTAATCCACAAGAGATATCGTTCTATTCCCATACCAAATCCACCATGAGGTGCACTACCAAATCGACGCAGATCTATATACCATTCAAGTGCGGCCTCGTCCACACCACATGCCTTCATACGTGATATGAGCACATCCAGACGCTCTTCCCTCAATGATCCTCCTACCAACTCACCAACTACAGGTACTAGCAAGTCGGTACATGCTACAGTCATAGCCTCTGAATCTGCATCCGTATCATTTACACGCATATAAAAGGATTTGACCTTGGCTGGATAATCAGTTACAAATACAGGTCCACCCATATCACGTGCCAGCCATTGTTCATGCTCGGTTTGAAGTGGCACTCCCCAAGACACTGGGTATTTAAAACTGGCCTTTGGTTGTGCTGTGAGCAGTTTGATTGCTTCAGTATAAGTGATACGGGTAAACGGCTTATCAATCAGGGCTTCGAGTTCCGCTATCGGTGCAGCCTTGCATTGAGACCTCACAAAGGCTATGTCATCCGACACGGTCGACAAGACCCGTCTCGTCACATTCTTGATTACGGTTTCTACTAGATCTACAAGTCCTGGTATATCAAATAAGAAGGAAGCTTCCGCTTCCAGCATCCAAAACTCTGCTAGATGCCGTGTAGTATCTGACTTTTCGGCTCTAAATGTAGGTCCTAGTACATAGACCCGAGATAGTGCTGATGCCATCAATTCAGCGTGCAACTGTCCAGATACTGTTAAATACACGGGCTTTCTGAAGAATTCCGTTTTGACGCCATCTGCAGATATAGAATCACTTGATACTGTGAAGGTTTCCCCAGCACCTTCACAGTCGTTTGAAGTAATTAATGGCGAATTTATACTGAGGAATTGGAGCTCCTACAGATATGGGTGTCAATACAGGCAGCTACGTCAATGATAACAAGCAATAACCAACTTTAAAGGCCTCCTGAATAGCAATCGTGACTGCATCTCGTATCCTCCATACAGCGTTGAGAGTTTTCGTTCTCGATCGAAAGTTAATGTGCTCTCTTAGATACTCGAGAGACAATTTTGTTTTACTCAATGGATACTCCTACGATAGGACACGGTTATCCCCGAATCTTGAGCTCTCTGATACAACTCAAACACACATTTGGAGGTGCTTCACCCAACATCTTGACTTGTTCCACCTTAAGCTCGATAGATTGTCCTTTGGCTGGACTTGATGCGATGATCCCCGTTATATGGACACAACATCCCGTAGTCAGACTAAGCGAAAAAGCACGTCAGCTTGATAAAAATTGATGTCAACACAACGCACAAAAGCCATACTGTTTAGCTTGTTCAGGAAGCATAACAGCCTGAATCCCACGTTCAGTCGATCCATCTACGATCTCAGCAAAGGCCACAGCACTCTGTGAGCGTGCACTGTGAATCCATCCAAATGCATCGACGCGTTCTCCTATGTTTGCCAGATCCAGCAGCTGCTTAATAGTTTTGCTAGGTAATCCGCTAGTCGTAGAATGATGCCGTATGTGTCCTAGTCCTGCCTTGCAAACAGGTATGAAGCGATGCATCGTAGTTTCGAGTTTTGGTGACTTGTGAAGACTGTCAGGACTCCGTTACAACTTCGAATGAGCTTCAAAGTGGCAAAGTGAGCCAAAATATGTAGGCTTGCGACGTGTTCAATTGGGACACAAGTCTCTTGCAATCCTGATGTTTTGTTCGCTGGAGGACGCAACTCCCTAGTTTTTCGTCGAGGGACCTCTCCCTTGACTTACATTTTCGATCAAATGATTAAACGATTCAAAAAGGAGAGTCCAAATCATATCTCTCCTTCTTGACACAAGTTCGTAAACCGCCCATTTGTTTTTTTGCTCAAATGGCATCTGACTCAACGCTGAGAGCTGAGGGGTGAGGCTAGTGAGGCCATCGCATCTTGCATTGTTGATTATTTGAGAGCAATCATTGATGTTGTGATGCAAAAGGTCATAAAATATGGCCTGAAGATTGAGATGAAGATCATTTCCGATAATTGAGCCAAACCATCAATTAAGATTAACCACTTTAACTCATTGTTATTTCTATTAATAAGAGGCATGCCAGATAAAATTGAATACGTCTAAGAAGTGCAAATAGGTTAAAGGCTTGCTTTTTGCATTGGAAAATCAAGACTACTCTTGACAACGAAACTTACAAACGGATTGAAGGGTTGAAGTTGGCGAATACTTGTTTTTCTAGCACGAGACAGTAACTTTACATCACCACCTCAATCTAAAAGTGTCTTTGAGTCTCTCTTCGCAACCATGAATGAGCCTATGTATCGTCATCTTAAACTCTGAGAGAATGCACGCAAACAACAAACACTACACCAGACAAGAACCAGTCGCTCCGAAATCAACATTTTAACTCATTATAGATGTTATTTAACAAAGAGGAACCTGCCTCTTCAAAAAGTCCCTTCACTAAATTACACACTACCCGCACAATTATCCAGCTGCATTTTATCAAACTGGTATGTCACACCGCCAGTGAATCCAGTAAGCACTATAGCCTTGATCCGTTTTCTAGACGCAGCATCAGTTATCGTCGTCAGCAGTGGGACACTGACTTGTTGTAACGTGGCAGATGTTATCGTGGCTGCAGCCACGTTGTAGTAAAACGTGTTTGCCTTGTTTGTGCATGTGGCATCGTAAATGTCGATACCGATGGCGATTCTAAATAGAGACCAAAAAATCAGCACAAGAATTCAAATGATGGTACAACAACTAAAATCACTCACGGTCCTGCTCCCTTCACCAACAGGTTCAGATACGTGTATGCAGACACGTCGTAACAGGTCCCAGATATAGACGTAAACCAGTACGAGTTGGCAGCAGGTATCAGTTGGGATATTCCACCAACAACAGAGTATCGCATGTTGGCGTCGAATCCAGAGACAGAGTATCCGACTACGTCGGCGGCAGCTACCCAGACACCTTGTGTGTTTCGTACACAACCTGTTGCTGGTGCTGGTGATGCTATAACAGCGGCGGGCGCTGGAGATGCTGCTACGGCAGGGGCAGCTGCTGTTGCTAACGGACATGTGTCGAGTGATATTTGGTCGAATTGGTATGTTGCACCAGCCGTGAAGCCGGTTAGAACACTATCAAAATGTTATGTAAGTGAGTATGATTCTCGAAGAAGCCAAAAAAGGTCATCCTGTAATGCTCACATGGCTTTAAGTCTTTTGATGGAAACACCATCTGTGAATAAGGCTGCCAAACCAACACTTATGGGCTGTAACGTGGCTGACACTATCTGTGCTGCTGGTATATTATAGTACAGCGTGTTGGCCTTGTTTGCACAGGCTATTCAAAGAATTGATAATCAGCATATTTGTCCTTCTGGCAATAAAAAAAGTTTTGGAGAATATCATTTTAATGACATACCAGCATCAAAGATATCAAAACCAATCGTCAAAGGTCCCGTCCCAGCACTGACTCTAACCATCAAATTCAAATACTTATACGCCGAGATATCACGACATCCTTGCCCCACACTCGTAAACCAATATGCGCCCGCGACAGGAATGATTTGCGTCAAACCTCCAGGGAAGGTATACGCACTCTTTCCATCATATCCAGACTGTGAGTATCCGACAACGTCAGCTCCAGCCTGCCATACGAATTGCTTGGCTGTTGATGTGCAGGCGACTACTACTGGTGCAGCGGATGGTTGGACTACGACTGGTGCTGCAGAGGGTTGGATTATTACTCCTCCGGATCCGACTGGTGATGGTGTTATGGAAGGTGCGATACCAGGCGATGGGTTTAGTGATCCTGGCATTCCGGATGGGAGTGGTGCACCAGTTGGTTGTACGTATGTGCAGTTCGTGATTCGGATGTTCTTGAATACGTCTAATAATTGTGTCGATTATTAAGTCTGCTTTTGCAAATGAAAGGAACATTGTGAAAGGAAACTTACAAACAGATCGAACAGGATTGAAGTTGGCGAACACTAATTCCTTGGCACGAGACAGTAGTGTAGCATTTCCACCCGCAATCTACGAGAAGTGAAACAAATGGATGAGAAAAAAAATAGTATGTCGGCGGATGACTATGACCTAACAGCACAAACACAAATACATACATCCAATAACGGTATAGCCATCTCATACCACAATCCACCCAAAGCATAGCTAGGTGTAGCGTAATAGTACCACGAATAATACTTTAACGATGTACTATTATCTCGCGTGGCACAATCAGCCTGGTTGAATGTCAATGCAACATCAAAGTATGCTGTCGTAGTGGGCATCTGAACCAGGAAGCGGAGATATCCTTTAGGCCAGTTCAGGTTGTAGCATGACCCTGTAGCGGTAAATGCTAGACGAAAAAAATGGTATTAGACATGGCCGACGTCCCATTTCTTAAATAATTTGTCTGTCTGCTATATACTCACCAGTAACAAAAGACGATGTAGAAACCGTCGGGAAGATATTTAGCAAACTGGTATCAGCTCCCTTGTACGAAGTACCTCCACCACTGATTCCCTCATAACCACCCAACAGGTTTGAAGTCGTACTAGAAGGATTTGGATCCATCAGCACTGTAGTACACGTTCCTGCTGTTCCAGAAGCAGCTGGCGATGGTGTCGCAGCTGGTACCGGTGACGGCCATCCAGCAATCTGTGTCGGCAATACAGCAGGTGGACCTGGTCGAGGCACTCCCAGTCCAGGAGCAGGAGCAGCGTCCGCTCTCGGACAAGACGCGAATTGTATACCGTTTACGAAATACGGCCCTGAATTCGTCCATCCTACCCACAGCATGGCTTTAAACTTCTCAGCCGACACTGGATCGAGATATGGTGCTAGTGGTATACTGACTGCCTGCCATCCACCGACCAGTTGGGCGTGATCTCCCACGTATGCCCATACGGTACGGTTCTTGACGGTACATGTGTTGTCGTATATATCAAACCCAATCGACACGGTAGCGTTATACTCGTTCGTCGGGATGGCCATTTCGAAATTCAAGTAATTGTACGATCTGATATCCATGCACCCGGCCGGCTGTGGCTGCAAGAAGAAATACGAGTTGCTGTTGGCTGGTATCAATACTGCTTGGCTGAGCGAGTTTGCATAGTAGCCCATTCCACCGCCATATCCAATCGTGCTGCCTAATCCAGAGTAGTCTTTGCCATCGTAAAATGATGTGAGACGGGGACATCCATCTGTTGATGGAGTTGTCGGAAGGTTCATGGGGACTCCTTGGCAGTTGGTGAAGTAGATTTGTCGCAGACTGAGATAGTTGGCGTTCTGCAGGTTGGTCCAGATTACGGAACGGATACGTTGGATGGCTACACTATTTAATTGGCCAGCTCGTATCGGGATGTTTACGACTTGCCATTGTCCATTGGGACTGGTTATAAAATCAGTAGATTTGAATACGGCTGCACCTCCGATTGTTGTGCATCCAGAATTGTTGTAATACTAACCAAAAAAAAAAACAGTCAACAAAGGAGTATGTCACAAGGTCCAGACTTGTCATATCCTACCTCAATCTGAACATCAAACGTAGCCCCAGCTGGAATATTCGTAGCAAAACTCAAATACGTATACGACTGAGCCAGATAACACATTGGATTGCCCCATCCAAGCCCATTAAGCACATTCCTGAACAGCAGCTCTTGGAAGTATGCGGTTGGATCATTACGCACGTTAGGCTGGAAGGTCAGAGTACCATCATACACATCGTATATCCCATTCTTGGTAGTCAAGTTGTTCCACATGGCGCTCAGTCCAGATAAAGCCAATGGGACATCGGCAAAGTCGTCTACAAGTCCAGATACACAGTTGACTTTCGATGCTCCTTGGACTGTGAGGTTGGATAGTTGTGGTGCGGCGCCGAAACTGTCTAGTGTTGGTACGCCTCCACAGAATGATTCCAGAGTAACGTTTCCGATTAGGATTGGTACGTCAATAGTTAAGTTGGTGAATACTATGGCCGTCAGTTGAGTCTATGATGTAAAATGTGTTGGCATGCAAAACAGGAGGATCATCTAATTCATGGATTTGGGTCACTTACCAAATCAACTCCAGCAATATCAGCAAATGGAATCCGAACAGTCTGTAATTGGTTTGCTGAAAAGTTCATGTACGGAGATACCGACATGGGAAGAGACTGAACTCCAGTTCCATCAACCAAGTAAACGGAGAATGTGCCAGAGCTAAAAAAAAACATTAAAACAGTGGTCAAGAACTGCATTAGAGTACAGTCCAATAAGCAACGCAAGACATACTCATAACTTCCAGCGACGAACGAGAAATGAGTGAATCTGCTACCATCTAGCGGCGCATCAATCCCATAATTGTTCAGACCCTCCGACCATCCAGTCAAACTATCCGCGGCTTCCAAAACCAGCATGTAATCCGCGGTATCAACAACAGTAAAGTGTCCCTGCACTTCACCAGTTGGGAATCCAAGCACATTTGCACCAGAACTTCCAGTCGGTCCATCGTCCACAAGCACAGCGGATTCAGCACAATCGGTTGGAGCCACTGCCGAAAAACGATGTCAATACTGGAGCTATATTGAACTCAAACCAGATGCGCATTTTCCACTCACAGCAATACTCGATATATCCAGCCGGAGGATTCAAGCTACTATACCCAATAAAAGAATCACTGGTTGGACCTTCTCCAGCAGCTGTCAGAGTGGATAGCTTGAATTCCGCCTGATTCGTGGCATACATTCCAGTCAATGTCCATGTAAACGTGTTTGTTGGAACCAGGAAGGACGTCCATGGTCCAACTGACGAGCCACTATACACCATACGGTAGTAGATCCGGTACCACTGAATACCAGCGACGGCAGGTGCAGACCAATCCAACGTGATTGTCTGATACGCACCCGTTGCATTGGCGTTGATGGGCGCAGCAGGTCCACTTACAGTGTTGAGTGTGATGGTTACCGGATTGTATGTTGCCATCAGGTAGTAATTATCAACGTATACGTTTATAGATTGTGAGAGGTTGCCGCCGTTATTCCATTTCTGGAAAGCGTAGAAGGCTCCGTTTACAACAGCCAAAGAAGGGACTGAGAATACGGTGGATCCTTTGGCGAGGTAGTAGTTGGTGAGGGGTGTCATATACATGGTACCGTCTACGGTGATTGGGATGCCGGGAGGTGTGGTTTGGTACAAGACACGGAAGTTTTTGGGGTAAAGGTTTTGTGTGATTGTTTGCTTGAAGGTTGATACTACTGGGTCTGTTGCAGTGAGGGAATAGAAGGAGTATGTTGGATAGTTGTGATCTGGTTCGATCTGTCATTGACGAGAATGTATGTTTAAGTTTTTTTCTCTCGATTTTTCTTAACTGTCAAAACTGAAACATACATATGACCCAGAAGTTCCATACTCCGCATTCGAGATATGTTCGTGACATGAAACACCTGGAGCTTGTGCACCGAGCGACATATCATATGTTGCACCTGGATAGAATGCACAAGCTGGGAAATAGCAATGGCTAGCAACAAAAAAAAAACTTGAGCGGAATTCACACCTATAGTCTAATGACTCCACAAACTCACTATAACGTCATCAGCCACTGCATCTGAGCTGGCGGCACTGCGATGTTGTTCTGGTTGAATGCATAACCAGTAAACCCAACAATATCACCAACGGCATAACTCGAGACATTGAGTGTGATTCCCATTGTCATGCTTAAGCCAACATTAACGACTTGGGTAGATACGGCTGTTAAGCCAATCAAGTTGGTTACTTGCAGTCGGGTTGTAACGGTCGACGCTGAAAGGTTATAAGTATTTTAGTTGGCATGCATTTTGTCGTCGATGAAAAAAATGGCATCAGGTACCTGCTGCAGTGCTGTACGTATAACTAGCTATAGCATTCCCAGCAACATACGTTCCCGAATTCGTAAAATCCCACGCATACGTAACCGGTCCACCGTTATCGTAACTGGCGGTCGCATTAAACACAACCGTGGTCTCACCACTAGCGGTAGACTGACTCGTAACATACGACGCTACAGGTGGTGCCGACGCACCAACATACGTCAACTTATCAATCTTCCCATCCCACACACGTACAGTCCACAACGATCCATCAGGCCCCATCTGGATATCTGCAATGTTGATGGCACCATACAACATCATCGTCGGCGTGGTAGACTGGATTTGCCCAGCGCCGTTGGTCAAAAACGCAAACATGGCTCCTGTTGCGTAATCGACACTGAACATGGCGCCTTGGTATGCGGCTGGGAATTGTGTTCCGTTGTAGATGGCGAGTCCTGTGATGCATGCTTCCCATGGTATGTTTGGGATGTTTGGTGTGCCAGGCTCGGAACCGTGGTGGTAGGCAAAGAATGGTTGAAGAGTTTGAGCCCCGGTTGGAGTTAGTGATGTGCCAGCTGCGTACATGGCGTTACAAAATGACTAGGCGAAAAAAAGGCATTCAAATTTCTTCTTAATTTTGAACAAGTTTCACAGCAGAACTCACGGTATTGAGCGCATTAAACCCCGTATCAGGCTGCGGTCCCTCATAACAAGGCCATCCTCCGTTGATCGGATTATTTGGATCAACCGTCAACGGCGCCACAACATGATCAATCTCTTCCCACGTACCATCTCCAACATCACCAATAAAAATCGACCCATCAAACGGATTAAACGTCCACCTAAACGGCTGTCTCAGCCCCTTCATAACCAGAATCGGAGCCAGTATAGTGCCATTCGCCGCATTAGCAGCCAGATTCTGGGGCGTGACTCTCATCAATTTACCATAGAAATCCAACTGCGACTGAGATTTAAACGAGCCCGAGTAGAATGCATTATTCGGGTCTACGCTACCGCATTTATCGATACCCTGTGATACGAACTGTCCGTAATCTATTGTCCCAAAGTAGGAGCCTTCGCCTGTTGTCCACCATAGGCCACCCTCAGCGCCGAAATGTATGTCACCGACAGAGTGGGACGACCATGTGTCGCAGTCGTAGTCGAGGATTGGGGTACGGGTTCCAAGCATGGTTGCCATGTCGATTACGATTCGAGATATTCGAGAGTATGTGACACATGTCGCGACACCGCATGCGTCGTGGTAGACTGGTGGTTGTTGGCCGGGTGGCGCGTCAACGACGTATATGGCGTATATGTGGGGAGTAGCTGGGAAGTTGGGATGTATAGCGAAACTCAGCAATCCCTTATCGAACTGTTGCAAGGAGAAAAATGTGTCAGTTCCAGCCTTGTTTTCAGCGAAACGACATGATATTCTCATACGTTATTGTAAATCTCGACATTCATATCAATGACAAGCTTCTGCGTCGGATCCGTGATATTGTTAAAGTAGTATAGCTGTCCATCCTTTGTTCCGACAAACACCATGCCATTGGGAGCAAAGCGCACACATGTTGGCTCATAGAAGCCTTCCCAGACAGTACTACTCAGCAAAGCAGATCAGTATCGTGAAAGATGCACCCTCACGAGTGAAGTCAAATCGACTATTTGATACGGCAGCGAATTTGCGATGCGGCAGCGCACAAACAATCCAGCACGATGTGTCCACATACCTGTATCTGAAGAGTGGATTGGTCACAACCACATCCGCAACAGCATGGTATGTGCTGGCCAGCAACAACACAATTAGGCTTGCAAACCAGCTCCAATATCCTAGTTGCATCGTTTTGTTTGCCTTGGCTTGTTCTGCTGCTAGGAAGCTCAAAGATGCCCAGAGAGAGCCTACCAAAGTCAAAAGCAGCTCCTCAAGTTATTATTTTAACCTGCCAAGTAAACTTGTGTTTTGGTGGAAACGCTAGGCAACGGTCTAACGGTTTTGAGAAAAGAGAGCAAAACCCAAGGGTGCAAATTCCAACACAGTCTAGTTGAAATCGTTTCGAGTCAAAACGACGAAGCGAGCTGGCAGAGCGTACATGCTCAAGATATCTCCTATTCGTACAATATATGCATACATAAAACCATCCTTCTCCCACATCCGAGCAATGTCATCAAAACCGAAAATATATGTGACGAGGATATTGACTCCTACATTCCAGGACAGGCTAGAAGCATTAAAAAGGTGATTTTTACTCGATATTACAACGTATCGTGCGATACAGTTACTACTGCCTCGCAACATTTGAGATCTGTCAAACAAATTCCAAGCTGATCAAAATCATGAATGTTTTATAGCAAATACGACATCAGGCAATGGACTGAGGACTCGCTCATCCCACGCCCAATAATGCTGGAAGCTATCAAAGGATCCGCTGGTGTCATCGTGCTAATCACAAATCAAGTCGATCAAGACTTTCTTGACGCTGCTGGTAAAGCTTTTCTCTCGTGTATTTCACATCTTGTCGCTTCATCAGACCGCATGTCTCTATTTACAAACCTTCTTACCGACCACATAATCCCAATAGGCCCAACCCTCAAAGTCGTTTCCACAATGTCTGTCGGCTACGACCACGTCAACATCACCCTCTGCAAATCACGGGAAATACGGATAGGAAACACGCCTGATGTGCTGACAGATACGACTGCTGAACTCGCTATTGCGCTGCTCTTGGCTACTGCACGTAGATTTGGTGAAGCGGCTGCTTCAGTGAAAAATGGGACTTGGGGACCATGGGAGCCTAATGGAATGCTAGGGTCTCAGATACGGGGAAAGACGATGGGGATTGTTGGATTAGGGAGGCTTGGATTTGGTGCGTATTATACGTTTTAGCAACATGCTGATAATCCATTAACCGAAACCACGAATAGGAGTCCTCGAAAAAATCCAAGGCTTCAAACTCTCCACCCTGCTCTACTACAACCCACGCGAGAAGCGCGACCTCGCCAAAAAAGTAAACGCCATATACTCCCCCTCTCTCGACGCGTTGCTCTCGCAATCCGACTTTGTAGTAATCACATCGCCATACAATGACAAGACACACCATATGATCAATGCTAGCACACTGGCGAAAATGAAGAAGACTGCTGTGCTGATTAATATATCGCGGGGTGGGCTTGTGAATCAGGAGGATTTGTATGTGGCGTTGAAGAATGGGGTTATTGCGTACGCTGGGTTGGATGTGACGACACCAGAGCCACTGTCGACATCGTCCCCGTTGTTGACGCTGGATAATTGCTTTGTGATTCCGCATATTGGGAGTGCGACGATAGAGGCTAGAGAAGCCATGGCGAATCTGGCGTTGGATAACTGTATTGCTGCGTTGGAAGACAAGGCAATGCCTGCTGAAATATTATAACATCACATTGTACAACAACATACACATACAACGTTCGCACTCAATCATCAAGACAAGGGGTTGTGTTTCTCAATGTCAATAAATGTTTATTATGCGCTCTTGTCAAGACCAAATGGTGTCGTTCTGTGACGAGGGCTTACCTCGTTAACCCTCCTACCTTTACACTGTTCCTTCAGAATAATACATTCTATGATTTTGTTTCTACATAGCGATACTTGGGATGCTGGGCACGTTTCTCCTCCTGCAAATCAATGGTGAGCTCTTGAACGAATCTACACTTTTGACGACTCGAGGCACTTACCACAGACACCAGATTATCTCCATAGATAAGATATGGCTCTCCTGGTTGACGAACAGGGGCAGAGGTTGTATGCACAGTACTCTCACCTGTACTATTGACGGCCGAGATTTCCCCAACTGGACGTGGTGCTGGTGGTAGACCTGGCATACTTGGCATTGGTGGCGGCCCTCCAGCTTGAGGATTCAGGAAGGGTGGTGGTGGCATCATCATCATACCCGGCCTTGGTGGTGGTGCAAACTGCACTGGCATTCTTTTTGGCAGAAAAAAATGTTGTTAGTATCCTTCAGGCTCATCAACCAATCATCACATAACCCACATGAATGCACTTACCCTGGTGGTGGCATAAACGGCGGTGGACCTCCCATCATACCAGGCGGCGGCCCTCCCATCATTGGTGGAAACCCAGGCTGCTGTTGATGCATCATTGGTGGAAAACCAGGCATACCTTGCATAGGCGGAGCTCCATACGGTCCAGGGAATTGAGGTGGCATTCCACCACCCATCATCCTATGCGTTCCCGAGTTCATTGCTTGCATATGAGGAGGTATCATCATCATAGGCTGTCCATATACAGAGCCCGCCCCACTAGCACCACCTGTATTATTATTAGAACCCGATCCTACCATGGCAGCCATATTTGCAAACTGTTCTTGTGAAGCTCTCCATTGGTTGAGTTGAGCCTTGATTTGGTCTTCGTCCATGGTGGCGAGTTTGGGTCTTTTGGCGGCAGATATTGTTGGATCTACTTCGGCGAGATGCTTTTGAAGATCGGCTTCAGGGATGCCCTCCATACCAAATATTTCAATGTTTGGATCGTCTCGGCCTGCTATAGCATTTGGAACCCTATTTGACTTAGAGTTAGCGACATGCGTATGGAAGAGATACTCATATTGTAAGATATGGGGGAATATGCATACTCAATGTACCTACTTTATCAAAGTCTCCTTGTGGACTTGAGTGAAATGAACTTGTAAACCACCAGCTGTATTCAGTTTCTTGTTGCAATTAGGACACTTCAAATGCTTTGCCTTTTGATGATTGATGAGAACCTTCTCGTCCTCGAAGTCTCGATCACAATACCTATAAAAAACGAAATGGTTGAGAAAAAGTTCAATTCTTCGATGTTGGTTGAAATGAAGGATTGGTTTGATGATGGCCCGTAGCAAAGGCAGAATACAGACAATGACTGCTGCGATCGAGTGACCGATGCTTGTCCGAGTGTTTACTTACCAACACCAGGGCTTGACTTCATTCTTCTTCTTCTGTGAGAGTTGGAAAGAAGCGTGTTAGCTGCCAAGCAACTGGGATAGCTTAGCTCGGAATAGAATGAAACTTGCCTTTCCCATGGTCGTTGTTATCAGGCTATATTAGCGGTCAACAACGTACTTATTGGACTTTGATGTGTTTGCGATGTTGACGTTGATGTGAAAATGAAAGAGTGGGAGCATGAAAAACGAGAGAGCAAAGAAGGCTCGTGTACATCTGTACACGAAGTATTGGGATTCAAGCTTTTTTCCTATCTTACTGATGTCTCCACATACTGACTGCGATGAGCGATCCTGGATGCGTTCAAGAAATCACAGTCGATCTGTCATTAAAGCTTGCTGAACAGGACACCGTGGCTACTTTCTTACGTGCAAATTTATTCAAAATTCAACATGAATTGCCTACTATCTACTATCCTTGGACTTTGCCAGCAGTGTTCTAATCTTCCAATGTCCTGGTCGTCGCGTCAAAAAGCAGTGCGATATGTGACATCTTTTGGATCTAGGCCTACTTGAGCAGGTCTGAATTTGAAACAAAATCGAAATTCGATGCGCGATTCCAATGCAAACCGTTCGTGACGTAATGACTTGATCAACTTAGCAAAATTCTCCAAAAAGAGCTTCCGTGGATGCTGTCAATCCCGCTTGTAAAGAGAATTTCTGCACAAACATAGGTACGTTGCGACTCTAATGCGGCATTCCCCGTCTTGATACATTGCATCGTTAACCTTCTTGTTGCGCTCTGCGTCACAATTCTCAAAGCTTGACCCTTTGGTTAGACTGCTGTCACTGCATCAAAACATTAAACGAGATGCCATATCCAGCTCTATCTGTAGCAGAATGCCACAAGATCTTGACTGCTCCAGGCGCTCCTTTTGAATTGGAAACCACCACGATCAAGGGCATCGAATACAAACTCTGGAAGGCCGCTCCAAAGACTTTCCGTGAACTATGGATCAACTCGAAGAAGTATGGAGATCTAGACTATATCGTATATGGAAACACGAGATGGACATATGCCGAATCGCATGTTAGAGTCAATCGATTGGCTGCGGTACTTATCAAAATGGGTGTCAAGAAGGGAGATCATATCGCTATTGTGGGACGCAACATTCCAGAATGGATATTGCTGTTTTGGTCTTTACAGTGTATTGGAGCTGTTGCCGTGCTTGTAAACGCATTTCTAGTTGGACATGAGATGAGTTATTGTATACAGAAGACGGATTGTGTGATGGTGTTTACCGATGTGGAGAGATACCATCGACTGAAACCTGAAATCGAAGCACTGAAAGCTGCTGGTGTAACACATTTTGGGCTGCTAGAAGATGGAGCAGAATTGCCGACTCTAGATGATGTGCTGAAACAATTTGGAATTCCAGAACAAGTGCCTATGCCGGATGTGACTGTGAGACCAGAAGACCATTCCTGTATCGTATTCACGTCTGGCACATCAGGAAAGCCTAAGGGCGCTCTTGGAAATCATCGAAGCATGTGTGGAAACCTCATAAATCAAACTATTGGTGGTCCAAGAGCTGCTTTGAGACGAGGGCAACCAGTGCCGCCACCTCCACCACCTGCAACTAGATTGACTCAAAAGGCTTGTCTGGTTACATCACCATTATTCCACGGTTTGTATTTTGAAGGTTATCGTTCACCAAGGGGTTTTCTTTATTTTATTTTCTTGTAGTAACTGGATGTCAGTCTGGGTGCGCTGCTGCGACATTCAAGGGCGAGAAGGTCAGTTTGCTGGCTACTCTCTCAACGCATTCGATGCTAATCAGAGAAATCATCGTCGTACTTAGGCTGTGCTGATTGTAGGAAAATGGAGGCCCGAAGAAGCTCTCCGTTTAATCGAAAGTGAACGTATCAGCAGAGTATCGGGCGTGCCGGTTATGGCGTGGGACATCGTGGAGAATCCTGATGTTAAGACACGAAACCTGTCATCTCTGGAAGTGCTGTACTATGGAGGTGCTCCTGCTGGTGATTCTTTGCCATTGCGCATAAAAGAAAAGCTTCCGCATGTCTCTTGTGGTCAAGGTGAGCTGGTTATTATACTCCCAGAAACATCTCATGCTAAGATTCTTTACATTTCAGGGTTTGGATTGAGTGAGTCACTGGCGACTCTTGCAAATGTCGTAGGCGAAGACTACACCACAAACCCTGCAACAACTGGCCTTGCACCTCCTACAACCGAGCTCAAAATCCTCGACCCAGTATCACTAAAGGAAGTACCTGTAGGCCAGATAGGAGAAGTGTGTGCTCGCTCAATCCAAGTCTTTGAAGGATACTATAACGATCCAGAGGCAACTCGTGCTGCTATGACTGAAGACGGGTTTCTGCGAACTGGGGATGTGGGAAGAGTAGATGAACAAGGGTTCTTGTATATTGTTGAGTAAGTTCTGAAATCTTCAGAACTGTGTCGACTTAAACTGAAAACAATGAACTTTTCTCTGAAATAGCCGGATTAAAGATATCTGTATTCGTGGTGGTGAAAACGGTATGTTTTGATTGAAGACATACTTTTAAACGACTGCAACTTACAACCTCGTTCCACGACAGTGTTTTGTCAAGAGGTAGAAAGCGCACTGTACAGTCATCCTCAGGTTATAGATGCTGCCGTAGTTGGACTACCGGATACGCGTCTCGGTGAGGAAGTAATCGCAGTAGTAACTCTAAAGCAAAATGCTCCAAACGTTACAATGGAAGAATTACGACTTCATCTCAAGTCGTCACTGGCTCCATTCAAGATCCCGATATATATTGACATTGTGCGTGAGCAGCTGCCAAGGAATGCTAATGGCAAGATATTGAAGAAGGATATGAAGCCCGAGTTGTGGGCAAAAGCTTACAAGTTTTTGGGAAGGACACCACCGCCAGCCGCGAAACTTTAAAATTACGATAATACGATAATAATTGACCGTAAAAATAGAGTGTATTTCCCTGTTTCAACAGCGTGTTTCATGTTTGGAGCCGGTTGGTGGTGTCAACTCCCAACGATTTTTTCGACTCACAAATCCATGAAATCGGACAAACCGAGTGTTCACGGGGATTTAAAGACTAGCTTACCAACGACAAGGCACTGCACCATCGAGTGCAAGCATTGAGCTACCAGTTGCTTGTTATTGAGGAGACAATTCCAACGTCGTCATCATCAGCAACAAGAGAAAGAAAACCGAGAAACTTGGTGGCTCGCATAACATAAACTACTTGAGTAAAAGGTATGTGCATCGCTCAAGACCTACCATCTAAGATGTCATCGACTCGTATTTGCTTTTGCATATACGTCAAAATTTGCTCTTTTCTGCCAAGAATCACATTGCGTTTGGAAGGGAAACTTGAACTTGGTTACTGCAGTTGCAAACACATGTGGGAGGCATTGGCATTCGGACATGTCATCGCTAGTGGATTTGATATGATTTGATTTAATGGAATACTTCCCATCGTCATTCAACCCCTTACCAAACCCCCTTCTTCTTACATCTTTTCCCTTCTCAACTTCCGTCCAGGTTCTTGGGTCTTTAGCACTGCCCTTGTCGTGGATCAGTCTTTTATTATTATAGTTAGTTGGAGGGGCTCGTTAAGAGAGGATCATGAATGGCCATCCAACAATGAATGGGGATATGGATGATCCAACTCCAGATCAACAGCACTTTCTAGATGCAATGAGTATCATGCAGCAGTTTGGAACTACCACGCCCACTCATGTTACTCGGCAGACTACAGGCGCTCGTCGGGCTACCAGACGCAACCAATCCGCTCCTTCCTCGCCACCAACACCAAATTCAAATGGAGCTGCGCCATCCATTGACGACGGAAACGGATCAATGCCGTATAGAACAATGTTGAATCCTTCTAGTCGTCATCCCCTAGCTCAGGAAATGTCATTCGATGAGCAAACCGCTGCCGCTGCTCTTCGTATCAACACGGCGAGAAACGCATACCATGCTCCTCCATCAACAGCATATTACACCCCGAAAATGGAAGATAGTCCCATGGCCTCCCCGCAAGTAGTCACCAGCGATCGGCTGGAAGAGCATAAATCTACTATATTGAACGAGACCAAGAACGTATCGTCGTTCGTAGTCATTGGGCAAACGCTGCACAAACTCTATTACGATGACAAGCTGATGAAGACGCAGAAAGAGTTTCTCAGTTGGACTAAAGCTAATTTGGGATTCTCAAAGTCAACCACGTACGAGTATATCATATCTTATAGAGTCTACTCGTCCATCGCAAATGCACTGCCACCACAATATAGACCACCCGCATATCAGTCTCATTGTCAGCTGCTAGCAAAAGTACCACCGAAAAAGCTACTAGAAACGTGGATTAGTGTGTGTCAGGAGGCTCCCAATGGCACCATCACAACCGCATACCTCGAAAATTATTTGGATCGACACAACTTGCTGGGTACAAAAAAGGAAAAGGGAGAGAAAGGAGATAAAGACGGAATGGAGTTAGACTCTCCATCGGTGTCTATGCCTGGTGGTATGGCTGGAATACCAGACATCCTCCACAATAATGTAAATCGAGCCAGAGAATCACCTGGACCATCATCAGCATTTGGAAAAGAAGTAGATACTCCACCACCAACTCCCAATTCTCCGCTTACGCCAAGTCTTCCCATAAACGAAGCTCTAGTCTTTGAACTTGGGAAGAATGCCATGACTGCCAAGACATACGATACGGTCTTGCAAACAATGGCAGATTATACACAGGCTGAGACTACGAGATGGTCTGGACGGCTCTTTGCCAATATGACGATGCTCAAGCCTATTTCGACTGCATCCTTGTATGGTGGTGATGCTGCTGTTGCTGTGTTGAGAGATTATCACGGGTTTGATGGCGGTTTGGAACGGATATTGCATATTGTTACTGCGAAATTCCAGGCTAGAGAGTTTACAGAAGCACTCTTCTTGCTAAAGGCTGAATTTGGAGCTGATTGGTTTGCAAAGACGGTCCTGAAGCAACCGTATTGTGTTATACGTGAGTGGTTTTGTAACATTTTTTTTTTCGTTGAAACATTCACTGATCAAAATGGTTACCTTTTACCTTTAGACCACACCACACCTCCACAAGTCAATGGTAGGACAGGTCCACCACCTGCAAAAAAACAGCGAAAGTCTAGCAACTTGACTACCATTCTGACTCGAGTGAATGCCATACCAGCATTCGAATCATATGTTGCCTTTTACGTTGGTCCACACGTAGAGGCATTTACTACATCGTTTGCTGCTATTGGTAGTGTACCTGGTGCGAATAGCTGGTAAGCAAACGGGACCATGGAAAGTTTGCTAGTCATCGTTTTTTGCTCAACCTCATTCGCATTTTTCTTGTTATAGGACCAATCCAGGTCTAAATCCAATAGTTTTGACAAAGAATGTAGTCAACCCATCCGCTCCCACTCCGTCACCCGTAGTGTCATCAGCCGCTTCGACACCTACATCAGCACCTACCTCAAGTTTTCCACCTTCAGCTCGAACTTCATTGAGTTCTGAATTCAGTGAAGCAACAGGAGCTGGAGCACCGGCTGTTGGTAGATCACAGTCATCATCGTCTGAACCGCCTGCATCATCGGCAATGCAGAATCAGATGTCGTCAGATTTGGTGGCTTCGTTGGCACAACATCAACAGGCGCATCTTAAACATGAAGCTGCAGTCGCTATTGCCGCACATAATGCGGCTAATGCTCGTGCTGCTCAGGTGAGAAAATCAGACAGTTCAAGCTGATTTTTTGTCGTTCTATTGCTCACTGTTATGAACAAAAAATTAGGCTGCTATGGATGTGGTCAATACACAGCACTATGCTCATCAAGCTATAAGTGCTGCTAATGGTGCTTTTGTACCAGCCCATTCATTGCTGTCAAACGTGGAAGTAGTGCCTGCTGCTAATTATCTGCAGCCTGCAATGGTACCACAACCTCAAAACCAGTCTGAAATGGCTGTATTATTAAATCATCAGGCAGCCCAACAACATGCTGCGGCAGCACAGCAGCTCTTGAATGAATTGGCTGCTCAAAATACTTTTGTAGCAGCAGCAGCTGTCTCATCAGCTCCAGTAGTACCATTGCCAACTCCTGCTGTGGAATCGGCTATGGCTACTGCCAGTGCTATTGCCCAGCAACACCAACAGCAGACTCTGGCTAGTCATGTATTGTTGCAGGAGACTGCTTCTGGATTGCTGCAATCCATTCAAGGTTGGTATTTTCTTTTTAGCTTCTCTGATTGATTGAATGACTTGACTAACACATATTTTCTCAAAACAGCTCAAAGTATCCAGCAACAGTCCATTCAACAACAGCAGCAAAATATTCAACAGCAGCAAACAATTCAACAACCGCAAAACATTCAGCAACAGCAAGTCCAACAACAGCAACAGCAAAAAGATTCCTCGCAAACAATACCATCGCCAGCAGCAAAACAGCCCATCATGCAGCAACAACAACAGCAGGCACCTCTCAGCCTCCAATCAATCGAATCACCACCAACCTTTCCTGTTGTAGCAAACCTACAAAACAGTGATCGGAAAGTAAAGGCTGGATCACCAGCACCTTCCTTCCCAACACTACCAGGACCAGCACCGTCAATGGTACCCGCAACTCCAGTAGTAACAACAACGGTCGTACCTGTAACCGTCCAGCCACCTGTAGTATCCCAACAACCACCTGTAGTAGCTGTAGTCCCCGTTACGGTAATCCCAGCAACAGTCGCAACCTCCGACTTGCCTGCTCATACCCTAGTAGCTCAAGCGCTACAACAAACGCAACAGCAGCAAGCTGCACAGGTCCAACAGACTATAACGCAAGTGGCTGCTGCTGAATTGGAGAGGTTGCAAGGTGCTTTGGCTGGGACGAGTAGCAATCAACCAAGGTAAATCATGATCTGGAAGTGAGAAGCTTCGTTGTTGCATTCAACGATACTGACAGCCTGTTTTTTTCCTCTAGTCCCGTAGCAGCTCCCGTTCAACAAGCAGCACCTCCACAACCTGCCTTCGCAGTTGCCACGACGATGCCTAGCCCATCGTCATCGTCTGTCCCAACACCACCACCAATGACTCCAGCTTCGACATTAGGTACTCCGACACTGCCTGTTATGCAACAACAAAGTGTTGTCGCACCAGTGTCCAACAATCCACCATCAGCTACATCGACTGCTTTGGCCATGCTGGGAGTTCTCAGTGAAGCCAGATGAAACTAATCGTAATGTTTAGTGAAGCTTTTCTGATTCTTTCTATTGTGAGTCCAGTAACTTTTTTTTTTCGCTGGGTGAGGTGATTGAAAAGGTTCGAGCGCTCACATAGTTTTATTTTCCAATATAGCACTATTATGTTTTTTTTACTGCTACGGCCCCTTCCAATTATATTCAGCTCCTTGTATGATAACTTCAGAGATTAGAATTCTATAGTTTCTTTTATACACACACAGTTTCAGTAAGAAATAAATAGCGTACATTTTGACAACGGCAAAAAAGCGACAAGTTCGGATGCGAGCTTTCAACGAAAGTTGATGAGCGCTTCAAGCATGGTCATATATAAGAAAATGCATCTCTAACTACAATATGACGGACCACGTCCCACTAGTCCTCAATTATCATACAAGCTCAAAAACGCAGCCTTGAGCAACCGAGCCTCATACGCAACAGTCGCTTTCGACGCCTGCACATTAGCTGGATCCAACGCGGCAGGTATATCCCTCCCATGCAATTCACACCCCTGCAAAAACGCAATGATTTCAGCAAAGGCCGCATCACGTAACAGCAGCATATGTCTCGACAATGTTTCTAGCAATGCACAGAAGGGCCGTTTTGCGTAAAACCATGTATCTGTTCCTAGCTTTTTATTACGATGGTATTTGTTTGGTAATGAGTTTGTAGTGTGAGAGAGAGAGAGAAAAAAAAGGCAGCTAGGATTGACACATACCTTTTTATTATATGGTTCCAGGCTCTTGCACACTCTCGAGATCCCAAACTCGTAGTTGCCCTTGGCGCAATACAGGGTTCCGATAACCAGATTCACAATGCAGAGATGGTAGCATCGTCGGTTTGGGTCTTCGTATGCTACCCGTTCTTCTTCCTTTTCAATCCTTCTCATGACTTCTTCGGCCTCCTCGTTTTGGGATGTCATGATATAGGCGACACAGAGGTTGGCGAGGACGATGGCTTGAATGTCCAGGATCTGTGCAACAAAGAGGGGGTGAGTGGTTAAATTGATTGGGAGCGTTCAAGTCAAGGATATTTCCAACGGCAAAAAAGAAGTCGATAAACACTGTCGGAAACAAGATGGTGCCAATTCTTTCTGTCTTCACTCATACTCACATGATCATAGTTATCCTTGACAATCGGCTCGTAAAAGGATATAGCTTCTTTATACTTGGACTCTTGCATAAACAAGACATGGGCAACATTAAGCTTCCAAACACTAGACTCGGCGCAGAATTCCACTGTTTTGCGAAACAGTCGCTCCACAGATGCGTAATCTGCTTTATCCCAGTATATTCTTGCTTGGTGCATTAAGGTTGGAATGTACCTTTGGGAAATCGTGGAAAGAAAAGAAATTAGTAAAGATGTGGAAAAGACACTCAGGTACAAGTTTATGAATTACACTCATACGTCTTCATTTTCAACATACCTATCAACACCCTCATCATATTCACGAACAAGCTTCTTGACAGCAGCATCGTCATGCTTGGCACGAGCATCAGCGACATTTTTGGCTACTTTACGTAGTGCTTCTAAATGTCTGGCTCCCATGTCATCGAAGCGACGATACGCTTCATCCGGTGCCGACCTCCGTAACGCAGCGGCTTCCAGGAATTCTTGCACATACTGTTTCGAAAATAATAACAATGGTTGGTGTTAAATGTGATTTGCAAATCCGACGAGCAAAAAGGGGTGGTGATTCATACTCGAGGTATCAGTACTCACTGGATCAACCACTCCAATACTAGATCCCTGAGCCAGCAAATCAGCAGCCAAATCATAATACTCGAATTTGCAATACAGCAGCAACAAGTTTTCAAAGGTTTCAGGTGGACAGGTAGTTCCATTGTTGATTAGGAAGGACAATTTCTCAAATCCACCTGTTGCATCTTGCTCCATATGTGCCAGTGCCAGATTATGGAGAGTGACTGCATCCAGTTCGTGTTCTAGACGTGGTGGCATGTCCTGAAGAGCTTCCCTTGCTCCTTCAACTAGGTCAGAAGAAAAAATCAGCATGACGCTAGTGATATTTACGTCGTTCAGCGGGACTTACAGTCTCTCGAGTCAAATAAAATGGTCGCTTTGAGATTAAATGCTTCCACTAGACAGGTTTCGTGCAGTGTCTGCGAATTTCCAACACTTCGTAATTCTACTGCTTCATGTGCCATTCCGACGTTCAGTTCTAATTTTTCAATCGGAGATAATGAGATGGACATTCAAACTTCGATGGTGTAACTTTTTTCTTACCTGGATGCTCCTTGATACCCTTTTCAACGATTTCTCCCAAACATTTTAAGGCAGCATCAAACTGTTGCAGGCAGTAATGGCACAATGCCAAATAATAAGTTAAATCAGCTTGAAATCCCGTCATTTTCAAAGCTGTTTGATACATGGCCAGAGCATCTGCGACTTTGCCCTCCTGAAAAAGCCCGTGAGTAAGTCTATTTTTTCAGGCGGAAAAAACTTGAGCAAGCAGTTGGTGTATCACCTTGTAGATGAGGCAAGCCGTATTGATCATGGTATCCACATCATCAGGTGAACATTGATCTAGTATCGATTTGCATCCAGATAGATCGTTTGCATCGTACTTTAACGCAGCTTGAAGTTTCAAAGTCTAGTTGAAGTAATTGTGTGAATAGAGAGCGTTTACAGACGTCCAGCAACATTACCTTGGACGCTAGCTCTGGAGCATCGACCGTTTGACAAACTTTTGTAGCAGCAGGGTGATTTCCTGCCTTGTATAAGCACTGAGCATAGTACAGCTTGTATTCCTCTACTTCAGGAAACAGTCTAGAGAGTTGCTCATAGCTAGATATTGAATCGCCTGATTAGATCAAACACAATTGTTTCTGATCATCGTCACAATGCTCTTCTGCTGTTCCAACACAGCAACCGAGGCTGATAAAAGAGTAACTTTTAGCGCTGATTTACCATGATACGGCATTTTCAAAATCCTGCAACTGGTAGTAGCAGTAGCCCATGAGACTTAATGCAGCGCGAGATTTTGGGTTTACGTTTGCCTGATTTGACAGTAATCGAACGACATCGGCGTATCGTCCATCCTGAATGTACGCATAGATCGTATATGTATATTTTCCGTCCTGGACTTGAGTCAACGACGAGACTGGGACGTGATGGTTGATGCCCGATGATGTCTGCAGAGCAGTTCTCAGTGCTGCTGTGCGTGGAGGAAGAGACATTCTATTGGGAGATAAGAGTTAATACGATGACAATTACGGTAAACAAGTTGATCTCACCTTGATCTTGCTTGATCTCCCTGTCTCTGCCTGGAACTTGATGGATGTTGATTGTGTTGGTGTTTTGAATTTTGGAACGATGCAAGTGAACTTGAGGAAGCAAAGGAGGACGTATTCTTTATTCGACAAAACGTGCAAGAATCCAGAATGGCGTTAAAACGTTAACGCGGGTACAATGAATGCTTTTAACATCTCACACTGCTTCTATTTTTTCAAATTTCACAAAAACACGTTGGATTCATTGGACTTTCAATGGAGAATTTAAACCTAAACTTATATCGCTGTGTCGCTGGACCTCAATAAATCTCATCAAGTCTCATTCCTCTATGTCGTTCTCTCTTTTGCTCCTCCCAACGACTGGTGATTTTATCAAATCATATTACAACAAATGCAATGGTGAATCTGATAAAAGGCGCCTGAGACTGCTCGGTTCTGATGTAAATTTCTCGGCTGGCTTGTCTTAGAAGTTGCTCTGTAATAGTTTGCATTCGGTTGACTTGGCATTTATCGTCCAACAAGCTCATGTAATTGTATCCGTTGTATTGCAACTCACAGAGCCAACGAAAGGAATGCGACGTTCAGCTCAAAGAATCTTAACAGTAGTCTGTCTGCATTGACAAATGCTCCAATATTGAAACTACCATAACGGTAGCAAGACGATGGTAAAGGGCGAGACCGGCGAAAGAGAATTGATTGTTGCAGCACATGCCATCTTTGCGATCTTCTACTAGCAGTCTCTTAAATCCCAGCGAAGGCTTTCCATGTGCTCCTCATCTATGAACACCCCGTTCTCGAAACAGCTCGAAGCCCATGAGTTACACCATCGGCCGACCAGCAGTATTCATGGATACGACACGTACATGATTCATGGATATGACGATATCATGAGCCATGAACTTGTATGTGGTCTCTTCTGATCAATCGAGTCGTTTTCTTTCCGTTGCCACTAGGCTTTGAGGAAAGACGTCTCTTATGCCATTGAGTAGTCTGTCGTGGTGCTCGTTTATGCCCACGCTGCTTGTTTTCGGCTTTCTATATGATTGTGAACGTGTGGTTTGGAGTTAGAGCTCGAAATCCTTACAAAATCCCTTCCCGTATTTTTGCTTCGTACCGATATAGTATTTAGACCTCAGCGGACTATCATTTTTGTAAGCAGCAAGAAAGAACTCCAAATTCTCTCAACCTGAGTGTCCTGAATAGGAAGGTGTTGGTCTCAAATGTCGTGTGGTGTTGGTTTTCGACGCGTATATCAATGGCAGACAAATCAGAAAGCAAAGAACGAATCTGAGAGCAAAGCGCTTCTCGGGCCTAGGGTATTTTCGGCGTTAAATAGAGCCTCTTGTATGTTCGCAACAAGATTTTGATCAACTGTTATTTTCAAACACATACCGAGCGAGACGTCACGGCGAATCCGTTCAAGAATCCACGAAGATTTACACGTATAAACCCTCTCGTCAGATCACGGTTGATTCTTGAATCGTTGCGTCTCGTTCTGAGTTTCAATCTTCGATCAACCACATAGGAGCGATGGGAAAGGGACCAAGTGCAAGAGAGGGATTGTCCGTGATTAACTCATATCTCCGGCGGTCATGGAAGTATATGAATCAAGAAGTTCAATCAGGTATGTTCGCGATTGCACTGTTTTTTCAAGTAATTGTTGGATTTCAAGAAGAAACTAATTACATCAAATATACCATTCTAACAGGCCTCAAATTCGATTTACAATGGGCCAAGGAGATGCAAATGTTCCAATTTGGAACTGTAGATGACTTGCAAGAGTGGATTGTCGGCTCTGATGCTGACATTGGAGGTAACGAGTTGGTTGAAGCTAGACGAGGACAACCACCACGGCGTATGTGGCAGTAGATTCTTATTTTATGCTATCGTGTCAATAGGATTATCGGAAGCTTATTGGGGTCTGACACCACAAAACACTGGTACGCTCTGAAACTTGAACGTGGTTTATTCGCTCAACAGTTCCTCATCGCCGCCCATTTCCTTCCGCTATTCAGGTCTGTTTTGGGGTAAACTATCAACAGAGATACCGCCAAAATCAAAGCTAGTGCGGAGTGGGTATGCTGGAATCCGATCTCGAGTAAGAGGATAAGTGTTTTATTGAACATAAGAATCAACCAACAATACTCATCATATCACTCCATACACTCTCTAGGAACGCCCTATAACACTGTTTCATCGCCCGACATTCGATACCAGTCTATTTCGATACTTGTCGATACGAGCAAGAGGAGACTCACGATTATGGTTTGTGAATTTACAAACCGAAACACCATTTCATGGATATCTATGGCAGCATCGATTACAGTTTCATACGCCTGGAGAATGGGAGACTTTAATGGTACAGATACTCCACCCAAAGACGAGAACTTTTTTTTTGGTTGTCTGCCAACTCACTCTCTCCAAATACCATCTAATAGATTCCATTACGTGATTTCGTACTAACAGCAAACGGTATCATCCAACCAAATCAAATAACCATGAATCGTGAGAAGATCAAGAATGTAGGCTTCTCGATAGTGCGACAATCAGGAGATTTTGCACTAGAACTAGACTGGATTAAAGTGTGTAATACACCCCGGACATTTGGTGACTTGGATTTAATGAGGCCTGGTGAGACTATTGATGATGATGGTAATATTATAGCAGAGGATAAGAAGAGGAGTAGTAGCATCAGTAAATCGAGCAAGTCGCAGCATGAATGGGCTGCTGAAAAGGAAAAGGTGGAGGAGTGGAAGAGTGAAGGCAGAGAGTCGGCGATGCCTGTTAGTGAGAGTGTGGCTGAACCAGTGTCAAAGGATACTGATGAAAGCAGCATTAGTAGTAATGATTCCTCATCGTCACGTAAATCGTAGAATCATAGTTTGCATTTTTGTATACATATTATAATGTAAGAATCATTTTTTGCATCTGTCAAGTAGCTAGTTGACACGTCGTGCCGTGATCTGATAACCCACACGGCCTTTTTCGCACCAACAGTTTTTTTTTTTTGACACAGCAACTTCGCACTGGAAACGAGACAGTGAGCAATAGCTATTGATCAGATAGATCTCATATAAACAAGATGAAGTATATTCTAGTAACAGGAGGAGTCATCTCTGGAATTGGCAAGGGAGTTATTGCCTCATCAGCTGGATTGCTTCTTCGTGCAAGGGGAATGAGAGTGACGAGCATCAAGATAGATCCATACTTGAACATTGATGCCGGCACTCTGTCTCCGCTAGACCATGGTAATTGCATTATTACATTACACTTATACTGGTTTGGAACCAGCAAACACATTTGGAAACTTTTTTTACAATGTTGTGGGGGTTGATTGTTTGGAATGGGGGAGTTATTATGATGTGAATAAGAGCGATTTGACACTTAAATTACTGATCTTTTGTCGTCATCATATCTAATCCCATTTTGGCAATCGTAGGTGAAGTCTTTGTATTGGACGATGGTGGTGAAGTTGACTTGGATTTAGGAAACTATGAACGTTTCTTGGATGTAACTCTATCAAGAGACAACAATATCACTACTGGAAAGATATACAGGAATGTTATTGAAGACGAGGTAGGATCCAGCTGAGATCTAATCCAAATTTCATATGTCAACGGTGAACGTTTTTTTGCTCCTTATAGCGAAAAGGAGCCTACTTGGGCAAAACAGTACAAGTAGTACCTCACATCACTGACGCTGTGCAAAACTGGATTGAACGAGTCGCTATAATACCTGTGGATGAGTCTGGTCAACCTGCTGATGTTTGCATCGTCGAGGCAAGTATTCATATCTTGATGCAAAATACGCAAAAAAGCACCATCCGTTTCAACATGGAGACTTGGAAGCAAATTCTTAAAGACAACCAGCTTATACAAACTCGAATTATTGATTAGATGGGTGGTACTGTAGGTGACATTGAATCCGCACCATTCATCGAAGCCATGAGACAATTCCAATTTAGAGTCGGTCCAGACAATTTCTTTCTAATTCATGTGTCTCTTGTACCCATGGTTGGTGCTGTGGGTGAACAAAAAACCAAGCCCACTCAGGCCAGCGTGCGAGATCTACGTGGATTGGGATTATCCCCTGATGTGGTATGTGTATTGGTTATATGTTGAGGTGGTGTTGAGCTTGTTATGTTGAAAGTGATGAAACGTCACATTCGTAATTCTACAAGCTTCGGTTTTCTCCTTTCTGATTTACTGTCTTGTCTGAAACCTAGATTGCCTGCAGAAGTACGAAAAGATTAGAACCCAGTGTATCAGCTAAGATTGCAATGTTCTGTCATGTTCCTCCCGAGCAGGTACGTTGCGTTGTCGGGTCTTGTGGTTGTGCTGCTTGACAAAGTGTGAAGGACGTTTCTAAAGAGGAATCTCACACCTCTTTTACAACTTTTTCCAAGGTCCTTGCGGTCCATGACTGTCCATCCGTATACCACGTCCCACTCTTGTTACATAAGCAAGGTCTTGTTTCTGTAATGGAAAAGAAACTCAAGCTAACACCACGACAAGAACCAAAAACCATCAACTTGCTCTCTAAATGGACTACATTGGCCGAAAGGTATGTTATGAGACAGGAACAGAATTGCTTTCTGGATTGAAGCTGCAAAAAACTGTTGTCTGAAACGCAGCTAATTGACATTGATTGCCGCTTTTAGATTCGACCGACTTCACGACTCTGTTGAGATTGCCATTGTAGGCAAATATACCGATTTGCATGATTCTTATCTATCCGTGGTCAAGGCATTGGAACATGCTGCCTTGTCTTGCAAGAGGAAAGTAGAAATATCGGTAAGTCGTCTTGTAATGTGACATACATGTGCACTTCGGGATGGCCTCTTTGTGTTCGATACTGAGCTCTTCTGATGCAAAATCATTTGTTTAATAGTGGATTGAATCCAAATATCTCGAACCAAAAACACAGACAACGGACCCTAAAAACTATTACGATGCTTGGTCAAGATTGTGTGGTGCAAAGTGAGTAAGAGGCTATTTACGATGCATGTATCAGTCTTGATGCTTGTTTTTCTCGCCAGGGGTGTATTAGTACCAGGTGGTTTTGGAGATCGTGGATGGGAAGGAATGATATTGGCAGCTCAATGGGCTCGTGAAAACAAGCGGCCATATCTTGGCATTTGTCTTGGTTTACAAACTGCTGTTGTAGAATTTGCTAGGAATGTTTGTGGATTTGCAGGTAACAGAATATTGCATCTCGGATTGAACTCTAGCAGTTTTTGTCTTGATCTGATCTTCTTTTCGTTCTCCGTGAACAGATGCCAACTCTACTGAAATGAACGAAATGACAACGAATCCGTTGATTATTTTCATGCCTGAAGGATCTCGAACTCATATGGGCGGTACGATGCGATTGGGCAGTCGACCAACAATCTTTACCCCTGAGAGTCAAAACACTATTATACGTACGTCTTGTCATTGACTCTGATATGTCGTTGTAGTTGAGTGACGGCGAATGCTTATATGCTGAACCATCTGTTTTTTGTTGAATAGGCCGCTTACATCACAACCAAGAAATTATTCACGAACGTCATCGTCACCGATTCGAAGTCAATCCCAATTATATTGACCGAATTGAAGCTAAAGGATTGCACTTTGTTGCTAAAGATGAGAGGGGTGAACGGATGATTATTATTGAGCTTGAAGGTAGGCTGTGCTATACTATTTCTCTATTGCTTTCTTTTTTGGTCGACTTGGATTTCACTTGAAATGAAAAAGTGATTTGCTCAGCATGCTATCTCTCCTACATATAGATCATCCCTTCTTCGTCGCAACACAGTACCATCCCGAATACAAGACCAGGCCGCTGGCACCAGTCCCAACCTTCCTCGGTTTCGTGCTAGCTTCATGCGGATTACTAGAAGACTACCTAGCATCCTTATCAATCGAAGGAGGACTAGATGAAAGTATCAAAGTGCATCCACAATTAGGCCGATATGCTTCTTCAGATTCGTTAAAGAATGCTGATTTGGCTTCCCTCAAGCAATCACCAAAACAACAACCCAGTAATAACAGTGTTTTGAATGGTGCAAGTAATAGTAGTGCAGCAAATGCTAATAGTCGTAGTGTTGCTAGTACTACAAGTGTGCTTGCAGGTATGGTTGGAGTTGTTGAAGATGAGGAAGACGAGAGTAGTGATGATGTGTGTTCGGATGCTAGTAGTGGTAAACCACCAACTGCTGCATCACCTGTGGTGATGAATGGTAAAAAGGGAGGAGTATCGTTAAGTGGTTTGGAAAAGCAAGGAGCTATTCTTGAGCGTCTTGGGAATAAGGTTTCGTTGTATTGAAGGTTAGAGAGGTAGTACGACGAAGAGATGGTGAGGTGTTTAGTGTATAGTTTTAGGAAGAGAAGGAGAGCATTCAATAGAGAATCAACATTTGTCGATTTATTTGTTTTTGGAAGTATTGGTTTTGGATTAGTTGAAAGTGCTTGGGTGTTGAGGTTGTGGAGGAGGTGTGAAGGGGCCCTCCATTTGCTGAGGTATCGAAAAAAAAATCCGCCTTTCATCGACTTGTGACGACGCAAACAGCTGGAAGGCACCAACCAAATTTGTACTGTTCCAGAAGTGAACAAGACCTGTAGCAGTTGTAATACCCGGAGTCTTGTCTGATGACTTGCCAAAACTTTCATAAGCTGGTATGTGCAATTTGAACAAAAAAAGTCATTGAGTGTGATTCAGTGTATCAGCCAAGTTTGGCACGGGTTGTCATGAACCTCCAGAGCAGGTAATGCTATTCATACATCCTCCGTTCATTTTTTGCATTGCAAAAAGTTATTCAGAATTCCGATCTCACACCCTTCCAACCATGTTTAAAGGTCCATACGATGTATGTCTCTATATCTGTACCACACTTTTATTACGAGGTTTTGTCTCTGTGACGGAAAGAAAGTCAAACTGAGCAATCGAGGTGACCACAACGCATGAATTTACCCTCTGAGTGGAGACAATGGCCGAACGGTAAACTCTACCATGTCACAAGATAGAAGCAGAATCCATGCTTTCCACGATTGCTAAAATGCAAAAATCTTGTTGCTCCCATTTGACACCAACTGTCGTCTTTAAGATCGACCTCTTTCTCACTCTGTGGAGACCGCTATTGTAAGAAGATACGCACACTTGCACGATTCATACTATTTGTATTCGAGGCTCGGGCAAATACTGCTCGTCCACCAGTAAATTAGATATCTCTGTAAGTTGTCGAGAAGTGTGATGTCAACTCCGTCCACGGTGGTCTTTTTTCTCTCTCCCGAATTGTCCTGATCGTATCCAACTCTTCCCTGACAGTGTATTGAAGGTCAATGTTTCGACCCAAAAATTCTGGAACAAGTGACTGGAACAAGGATCATAATGCTTGGTCATATTGTGGGTGCAAGTGAAATAGATGCTGTTTCGTTGCATGCTCTCCTTGTATTTTGATTATGCTCTTTCTTCGCTACCACTGGTGCATTAGCATGTGGACACTTATTGAAACACCTTTCTTCCTGCTTTTGTGTTCTTCACTAGGTCGCTTACATCACAATCAAGAAATCATTCACGAACGCCATTTTCATCGATTTGAAGTCAATACGGAGTATCTGGGCCAATTGAAGCTAACGGATTGCAGTTTGTTGCTAAAGATGAGAAAGGTGAAAGTATGATTATAATTGAGCTTGAAGGTAAGGCATGCACTCCGCTGGGTTACGTCTCCATGTACCGTTCTCACTTGAAAAATAGCTAGACTTACACACAATTGCTTTCTTAGGAGGGCAAAGACGCAGACGCTCTGGTTATGTATTAGACTCCTTTCTGTCTCTTGGTGCCAAGTGTCATCGAGATGACTATTCTCTGAAACGAGCTGCTTTTGAGTATGTTGTCAAGAATCGAAAGAGTATCATGGAGTCGACTGTGTTTGTCGACTGGGTAAAGGGAGACGATACGTCTCTGCTGAAGATGGAGATTTTGGAGGCTTTTAGGAGGAATATGTAGTCGATCCATGGTATGTGCTTGTCTCTAGAATGCTATGCTAACAGAGAACTCATATATCGTTGTCCGTAGATCTGTTTTTCTCCTGTTTTAGTGCAATGTAACATGTTTACGGTGCCTGAATTTGTTTGCTTTTCATGTAGTCAGAGTTGTAGAACAGACAGAGCCTTTGCTAATAAATCAATTGGAATGATTGTGAATTGGAGAAACAAGATCAAATGCTGATGTATCTGTATTCTCTAAACACCAACTTTCAAGTTTCAGATCATTATAGGTCTATAAGTCCGTAATCCCCAAACAAACAACAAATCGTTTGTATTTCTCTGTCAGTCTTTCCTCAATTAACGACTTTTAAAGGTTTCCTAGTCCGTGATTCCCCAGCTCGTGTGTAGTCCTTTAGGAACAAACCATCTTGGCAGGACAAGATGCGTCAGATTGAGACACCCCTACTACGCTCGTTATCAACTGTCCAGGAATCATGTAATTATAAGGGAATGTTCCCGTCGAGGCGTAATTGCATACAGCGGATACTGTGGCAGGAGATCCAGCTGGCCCATATGTGCACGTCACCACACCACCGGCAGTTGCGGCACCATGGAAAGAGTTAGTTCCAAGTGTAGTTGGGCGATCCTTGGCACAAGAGGGAACTCGTCCTAAAAATGGGGTTGAGGGTTTTTGGTATTTGTTTGGGGGTTAAAATAGACGACAAAGTAGGAAGACTCCAACCCTGTCTTCGAGAATGCAAAGTTCAGAACTTACGAATTCAGGCAAAGAGCTGTCAAGGGACAAACGGTAGCCTCCTCCTGTCCTACAATTTGAACGAATTGACAATTAATTCAACAATACATCAAGGATCGAAGAAAGGCGGGACGGGGCTTTTTACCAACAAGTGTGCCTGTTGGTCCACTCGTATATAGGCAGGATAGATGCTGAGGGCCGTAGAGGCATCCGTAGCTATCATCTTCATTCGAGATTTCACCAGTAAAGGTGAGACCTGAAAATGGAAGGATTTGAGAATGGGTGATGCTTTGCAAAAGGGAGTAGAAAGCTCTGAAAAGCATGCTTAACTACCTCCGGAAGTCTGTTGGGGGCAATACAATGCCTGGTTTGTGCCATTACATGAAATCGGAGAACACATCAGAGACGGGAGACATTGACCAGTTGATAAGCGAGCAATTGAAGCTCCAAACGGCACTCCAATATGGTTCATACGGAATGAGGCGGTAGCAGGCGACACTGCCTGATAATAGCATGTACCGGAATTTGTACGATACTGACAACATCGGAAAAAATATTGAAAGAGACAAGAACGCCCAACATTCTGAGAGCGTCTTTTTAGCACATACTTTAGACATCCGCGTCTAGGCATGTGAGTAGTCTTGGACGCCTAAAAACACGTACCTCCTTTTGACTCAGATGTCTTCTGGGTGTCCGGAGCTAATTTCATCCACGTGTAAAGGACGCCCTTCTTGGACGCCTAAGGCTATGGTCGTCCTAGAAATGATCACATTCCGCATACATCCACGTGCTTTGGGTGTTCTTAGTCTCGGCCATCCCAATTGCGTCTGAATCGGATGAAAATTGACGTCCTTGTTTCCTTTTGTCAGTGATCGATTGAGGCGAGCTTCCAACGAGAAGAATTCAACTAATGATGCATAGGAAGTCAATGCGAAGGCAGGATAACGTTTTGTTGATTAGCCGCTGCTTGTTTTGTACCTTTACAACTTTAAAATCACCAAAACAATGAGATTGCTATTGTTCAACCAAGAACGACGCTTTGCCAGGGTACCTACGATTTCTTCCAAGTTTTTATCCTCAGATGTGCGCTATCTCCATGCTTGGCCTCCTCAGTTGGCATTCATTGAGACAGAAACATCATTTTCTTTGAACCAAATCCCAAAGTCGCATTTAAACCCATTCCATCATGTCAGGTCCACAATCTGGACACCAATGCAAGCACTGTATATATGTGCTTGGCTTGTAGACAC